AAGAGTCTGGATCGACTTCACTCGACCAACCGGAGGTAGAAAAAAGAAAAGAAAAGGGTGGTCAGGCTGAAATCTTCCCAAAAATAAAAAATAAAAAGGGAAATAAAAAAATAAAAATAGAGTTAGGGAAGAAAAAATATAAGAAGAAAAAAGGAAAAGATAGGGATGGGTGTAAAAAAAAAAAAAAAGTAAAAGTGGTATTTTAGGTATAGGATTTTTTTTATTATTACTTTCCTTGTCATTTATTTTTATTTTATTTTTATTTTTTTTACCTGCTTATATAGAATAATTTTTTTATTTGGTATTTTTATTTATTCTATTCATTTAATTTTTCTAGCCTTGTTTACTTTATTTCTTGTAGTTTTTTTTCTTTATTTAGAATTTTTATTTCAATTTTTTTTGCTAAAAATATATATATATATATATATATATATGCATATATATATATATATATATATATATATATATATATATATATATATATATATATATATATATATAAATTTTGACGAAGTCTCCTATCCGATAGGGACCGACGTCGCAAAAAGAAATGCTCAAAAAATTTTTTGGCGAAGTCTCATATCCGATAGGGACTAACGCCACACGAAAAAATCACCTTGTAATCAAGACGTCCTCCGACACACCGGTTGTGTCAAGGCTTTTAGTGGATCCGATGTTTGAATCAACGTGTCACCCAACAAAGGGGACCGACGATCGTTTCAATATGATGCCACGCCCAAAACTAAAAAATTTTAGTCTAAAAAATAGGAGTTTAAAAATTAAAAAATATCTTGACATAGATTTTTAGGAGATAATTTATTACTAAACCGTGCATGGTACCTTTTTTCAAAAAGAGCGCTTTTAGGTGATTAATGATCTTTCTAAAAGCGTAACCAACTCCTTACCTTAGGAATCTCCGAACCGAGTGCTACTTTTAGGTTCCTAGTTCCTAAAATACTAGGTGGCGACTCCGAATTCGTAAATAATCTTATAATTAATTAATGCCCGAACATTTTAATTTTTCTTTTTGGTGGGCCTCGTCCGACGTCGTGTAGCGACAAAGCCAAATGTAGAAAGATGAATTTAAAACGAAAAAAAATTGAGATACGATACGATAAAGACAAAAGAAAAAATAAAAGAATCTTTGTAACCATGAACTGGTGAAAAAAATAGATGTACAAGTATATATAGAGTAAATATATCTATTTGTTTTTATAATACTCAAAATCTCTCGTATGTCTCTAAATTTTTAATTGTACCCCAATTTTCCTTGAATTTTATTTATTTTATTTATTTTTATTTTTTTATTTTTTTGCATTTTAGTAAAATGTATTTTGGTTAAAAAAATTTATTTGGTCGTAGAAATTAAATGGAAAAACAACTTGAATATTTTAAACACTTTCGAAACAAATGGAATGTAATTAAAAGTTTAGAAACATGTAAAAAACTTTGTGAAATAATCGGTATCCACTAAAGCTGTATTAAATAAAAATATAGGATCTATTCGTTATTAAAGGCCTTCCGCAGTGTCATTTACTTAAATAAATTATAGCAAGATTATAGTATCTTATTAGTTTATATTCATTACACTTCGAATAAGGAGTTAACGGTGATAATATTGTCAACCTATTAGGTCCTTGGATGGGGATGTTATACTTTAAATATTATATAAGAACATACGAGTATATTCACACTTATATACACTAATAAATAAGACTAAATTATAAGTTAGTCCCTCTAGTTTCCGAAGCAAATTAATTAGTCTTTTTTGTTTGAAAAACTATTATTTAATCCTTTAACCAATGCTTGATCATATTTAATTTAATATTATCTTTATTCTATAAAATCTCTTATTTTCTCATCAATCTTTTCATAATTTTTTCTTGTCTCTATTTCTTAAAATAAAAAATTAAAATAAATTAAAAAGCAACAAAAGACTAAATTATAAATAGATTTCAAAATATAAAAACTAAATAATCATTTTATAAAACATGAGAGACTAATTAATTCATTTCTCAAAACAAGGGGGATTAATTTATAATTTACTCCAATAAACGATGAGTGGTTCTTGCACCAGGTAACAGGAGACACGGCAACTTGCTAAAAATTAAAGAGAGAACATACCGTTTTCTTTGGGTTAAAATTAAAGAGGCTCTTTCCTTCCTGGCTAGCAGGTCAAAGACTTGACTCGTTGACCCTTCTAAATCAACTTGGAAAAGAACCAACAGTATTAACATGATCTATTATGTTGGTAAAATTCAAATTATTAGTTTAAATTTCAACGGTTAAGATTTTATTTCACTAAGTCAATGAATGATTAAAATTTTCTTAAAAATTTGTTATTGTTTTTATTATTAAACCATTAACTAATGTGATTAATAAATCAACGAAAGGCAAATTCACAAATGGCTGCTTTACGCCTTGCTAAAAATACCAATGCAAGGACAAGAAAACAAAGCATTACTCACATTTTCCCAAAGAACTCAATTTTGCAAAAATAACAGAGTTTAAAAAGATCGATGTTCAATCTATTTTTATATTTTTAATTGAGTTAATTGTATCTTTGTAAAATAAATAGGTTTTTAATATGTATTTATAATGATATTTTTTAGCCAAACAATCAAAATTAGTTATGTGATATCACTTGATATTATATAAAAAATAACTTCACTTAAAAGAAAGATTATTCCAATTAGTTCTTACATTTGAGATTCAGTCACCAATTTATTCTTAAAGATCTAATTTCTATCTATCTATCATTATATTTTACGTCATAATTTAATATACCATTCTAGAGGATATTTCCATGCCAACAATTGGAGAACTTATCTCACCTTTAAAAGAAAACAAAGTATGAAAAGAAGAGCCACGTATCATATTTAAGTTTTTTGGAATGAAACTTAATCTTAATTTTTTAACTTTATACAAATTAAAAAAAATGAGAAAATTATAATTTAAGTATCTAATTTTTTGTTCGAGTGTCTAATTTTTCATTTTATATATTTGAGTGTATAATTTTTTTTTTAATTCTAGTTTCCTCGAATAAGTAACTTTGAAAATACTAATGTAGCCAGGATCAACTAACATATGACAACCCTTAACTAACATTGGAAAAAAAGTAAGTCCACTTGTATTTATTGAGAAAAGAACGAAAAAAAAAGGGTTTCAAAAATTGGAAAAAAAAAAAGAATAAATAAATCAAAAAAATAATAAATTCAAAAATAAAAATAGTTTTCCTTCCAATTTGAATTTAAATTTGAATTTTTGAATTTTTTATTTGTTTATTTCTTTTTTTTTAATTTTTATGACCTGTTTTTTAATATTTTTCTTAATAGATATAAGTGAGGCTTATTTTTTTTTTATGTGTCCATTAATGTCAACGTCCATGTCAGTAGTTTCATAATGCAGATGAGAAGGGAATTCAAATAATATATATATATAGAGAGAGAGAGAGAGAATAAAAGGTTAGGCACTCAAAAAGAATAAAAATAAAAATTGAACAACTCAAATTTTTGTTTTGTCTAACAAAGATACCCTCACTTTAGAAACTCAAACCCCATTTAATTTATTTAAAAAAAATAAATAAAAAAAAAATTCATGTGGTGTTAAAATTTATTTTTTAAAAAATAAATTATGTTAGATTTGATTTTTTCACGAGTATATTATAAATAAGTCACTCTAGTTTTGCAAAAAAATGAAATAGTCTCTCGTGTTTTAAAACTAATCAACTAGTCACTTGACCGAGTGTTGATCATGTTTAATTTTATATTTTTTTTTGTTTTAAAAATATCGTTTTTCTCATCAATATATATATATATATATATTTTCCCATTTTTTTCAAAATAAAATAAATTGAAAAGGAACAAATAGATTAATTTATATATAGATAGCTTGAAAAGCATTGAAACTAGAAAGACTACTTAATTTATATTTTTACAAAACTAAAAAGATTAATTTTATATTTAACTTAGCTTCTCATCAGAGAATATTTTCATCAATTTGGATGAGAATATCTAATAAAATAAAGATTGAAAAAATGATACAATAATCATGGTTAAATTGAAAGCAAGTAAATTTGTAAAGGAAAATTGAAAACTAGACATAAAGTACGGAGATAAATTACCCTAATTTTCAATTAAAATATAAAAAACAAATTGGACAATTACCCAATTACATAAATACATAATAAGTCATTTCTCCCATAATTTTTTCATAATTAGTTAATGCTTTTTTCACAAAGAACTTAATTTTCCCAAACACAACAAGGGCGACACAGCAATCAAACTTCCTTTTCTTTTTCTTTTTCTTTTTCTTTTTTCCTTTTTAGGCAAAGGAGAGCTCCATAAAATTTCAAACCTCGTTCTTATCCTTTTGCTTTGTCTACTTTACGCAAATTCTGCACTGGAGATGATCGTGGCAAACAATTTCATTTGACTAGTCGTGCCAACGTGGTCCACTTGAACCCCAAAAGAGAGATCATCATGATCAATGATCACAATGTAAGCAATTAATTACCCCTAGCTAACACAATCGAATAAAATGAAGAACAAAAATAAACTATATGTTCAATTAGCAATGCTTTTGATTCTTTGGACAAATTTGTTGCCTTTGCTTACTCTTTTTACCATCACTAAACTAACTATTAAGATTGTTTTTAAGAGAATTTCTTAAAAATTTTCTAAATACATCAACTTGATATATAAATATATATATTTAAAATCATTCGAAAAAAAATAATTTTGATTAAAAGCACAAATTGAGTTGAAGATACTTCTTAGTATCAAATAAAAAAGAAAAAAATGTAATGTAATGTTGGACAAATTTAGAATAAATTATAAATTAATTAGTCCTTTTTGTTTTAAAAATAAATCAAGGTTAGTCAATACTCATCATAGTACTAAATAATCAGTTTTAAAAATAATAAAAAATAATTTGTTTATTTTATAAAACTGGAGGGACTAATTTGTAATTTACTCGACAAATTTGGAAACGCGAACTAAATGATGGATACAGAGTATGTTGGTCCTACATTCTCCCTAGATTTAATTTCACGGCCAAATTTTCTAGCTTCCACGCCTCTTTTCTTTTTTCTCTGTTCTCATCTACTTAAGCACATGGATCTGGGTTAACAGTTTCTACTTTTCTACTAAATCCAAACCCTGTTCTTCCTTGTTTAAGCTTTGATCAATTTATGTCACTGTCATATCTTTTATTCTATATTCAGACAAAAGTATGGCCTGTCCCATTGGACCCTCCATAACTACTATAAGAAATGCGCCACTAAGCCAACTCCAAGGTCATCTCATACAGCAAAACTCTCCTTTCTTCTTAAAAATGCAGAAGTTTTTTCAAGCCTGGATGGCAATCTTCATAATCTTGTTGTGCTCAAGGATCGAGTCTTTCCCTGAAGCTTACAAACTTGTAAGATTGCCGGGACAACCACATGTTAGTTTCCAGCAATTCTCTGGCTATATCACAGTGGATGAGAAGCAGCACAGATCGCTTTTTTACTACTTTGTGGAAGCAGAAACTAACCCTGCCTCAAAACCCCTTGTTCTTTGGCTAAACGGAGGTAAGAATATTACTCTAGCTCACAGGAGCTTACAGCAAAAGCTTTGGCTTCTCTATGGACATGATCCCTTGACTATTCTTTTTTTTTTTTCTAGTTTGAATAAATTACAATTATGAGTAATGATGTTATGTAATTTTTTTTTCTCCCTTGTAGGGCCTGGTTGTTCCTCTGTTGGAGCTGGTGCTTTTGTCGAACATGGCCCCTTTAGACCAACAAAAGGAAATAATTTAGTCAGGAATGAGTATAGTTGGAACAAAGGTACCCTTCTCGATTTGATATAAAAAAGAAAGGAATTATTATTCATTTCTCTTTTCATTCTGTTTGCATTAACATTGTAGGAGCCACCCATACAGTAAGATCATCCTTATCAAATACATGATTTATCACTTTAATTAGTTGAGAAACTGTATAGTTTCGTTGTTTTCACCTTAAATATTGGAGCAAAATTAATGTTTCAAAATACTTGGTTTAATCAGCCTTTTCAGCGTCAAAAGCCTACTGCTTAATTGTTTTTGTGTTTCTTTGTTTCAGAAGCAAATATGTTATACTTGGAGTCCCCGGCAGGAGTTGGTTTCTCTTATTCTGCTAACCAAACATTCTACTCCAATGTCAATGATGCGATGACAGGTTCATTTTCTGAACCCTTTTTTCTTTGGCCAAAGTTTTGATTGATAATAACAAGAACATGTTAATCCTCTTCTCTGGCCATTGTACAAAACTAATCAGAACGAGTTGATGTTTCTTAAGCAAGAGACAATCTGAAATTCCTGCGGCGCTGGTTCATCGAATTTCCACAATACAAGCAGAGAGATTTCTTCATTGCAGGAGAGAGCTATGCAGGTATATATGCCTCAAATCAATGACTGTAATCTACTGCGAATCCATTAATCTCTGAAACCTCATAGCTCTAATGTTCGACCAGGCCATTATGTCCCACAACTTGCACGGCTCATTATTAGGTCCAAGGTGAATTTCAATCTGAAGGGGATAGCTGTAAGTAGAAAATGGAACAATTTGTTTATCCTGAATTACCTTTCCTTTTCTCGCTTTTTAATTTTTTTAAATTGATCTTAAATGTTTCAAATTTTTACATGATTGCAGATAGGAAATCCCCTTTTAGAATTCAATACCGACTTCAATGCACAGGATCACTATTACTGGTCACATGGATTAATATCAGATTCTACCTACCAACTTTTGACATCAGTTTGCAACAATTCCAAGCTCATGAGAGAGGCCATGACAGGCACTGTTTCGACTGCCTGCTTTGGAGTATATATCAAAGTTGAAAAGGAATTATCTGGCTCAGTTGATCTATATGATGTCACTGCCGATGTTTGTCTATCATCTAATCAATCACAGTTCAAGATTTTCAATCAGCAACTTTCAAGGTCAAGACTTCATGAATATTTATCACCTCAAGTATACCCTCAAGTTTTACAACCGGATTCTTTCAAAGACCAGAAGAGGACAAAGGTTAGTTATTTTCTATAAAAGTCTGCTTAATTTGCCATATTTTATTGGTAGATTAATTCTGATTTTGTTTACAGCAAGTTATGGGGAAGGTAGATGTTTGTTTACAAGAAGAAACTACCAAATATTTAAACAGGAAAGATGTGCAAATGGCTCTCCATGCAAGACTTGTTGGAGTCACCAATTGGCATATTTGTAGCGCGTAAGGATTCTACAACCTTGTTTAAGACAAACTATTTAAGAAAATCTTCTCTTACAAAACTCCAACTTAGATTTTTAATTGCTATTCTTCATGTCTTGATTTCAATGAATGTTGATAGCAACTCAATAGGGCATCTTCATTTTTTTCTTCTGATATTGGGTTTTAATTTCCAATCTCTTGATTCAGGGTACTAGAATATGACAAGACAAATGAGGAAATACCAACAATTCATGTTGTACAGTCACTGGTTAAGTCTGGCCTTACGGTCCTAGTGTACAGGTAATCTTGATTGGCGAAGCTCTAATTCATGCTCGAAAGCTGGTACAAGCTACGTAATAAAAAGAAACTAGTGTAACTAAAATTCTGAACAGCCAAACCATGCGATCCTCCTTTCACTCATGAAGTTTAGCTTCAAAGCATATTTCAGTGAATTTTGAAAAATACTCTCAAGTCATAATATTTATGTTGTTTGAATTAAACTTGACAGTGGAGATCAAGATTCAGTTATTCCATTTACTGGGACTCGAAGTTTGGTAAATAAGCTAGCAAAGGATTTGAGACTAAAACCAACTGTGCCTTACAGAGCTTGGTTTTCAGGCAAACAGGTCAGTTATTTTTGGCCAACTAAAAAGTCTTGGCAAGTTAAGCACATATATATCCTCCAATTATCACCCAATTCTCAAAATTTTTTTTCTCTGATGAAGTTTGAGAATCAAGTCATAGTTAGTGGACAACTATGTCCTTTTCTAAAAAGTCATCAAAAGGTATATAAACTGTAATTTATTCTCTGAACACTCATCCATTGTTTCCTGCAGGTTGGTGGATGGACGCAAGTTTATGGTCCTAACCTAACTTTCGCCACAATTAGAGGAGCTTCTCACACGGCTCCAACAACACAACCAAAGAGATCTCTACTATTGTTTAAGGCATTTCTAGAAAAGAAACCACTGCCAATAGTGTGAATGAACTGAACTACTCAAAATCTTCAGTAAAGAATATTAGAGATTCTATGGATGGTATCATTGACTGGAAAAAGGTTGTTTCCCACTTCATATTATGGTGCAAGTTATTTTGTTAATATCAAGATCTTGACTTTTGCATGCTTTATTGACATATGGTGGTGATAATTAACAATAACCATTGACATAGAATTTCATGTGTTAGGAGTGGATAAGGTAAGACTGTTTGTCTACTATGCTCGATTCCATTTCAAAGTTTATGTGATCAGAGAGCATTCCGAATTTCAAGAGAATGAAAGTTAACGAGCGTGTTCTTAAATTGAGACTTAAAATGGTTTAAAAATACTTTTTAGAAAAAAATTCTAAATTCCTAATAAAATGTAGAAATCTGACAGTGGGTTATGATTAGGAAGAAAACTCCAAATTTTGTCCAAAATATTCCTCAATATTCATCGGTCCACTTACTTGATAGCCACATGGGAGAAAAGCAGTGGATGAGGTCATTCTGAATCACCACTCACCAAGTTCTTCTTGGATATTGATGGTTTATGGTTTAAGACATCATAAAAACATGCCTATCTGGGCCAAACATAAAAACAACTTGGTCGACCAATTCATCGGTTCAACTGGCTTTTGATGCAAGCATCTCGCTCTGAGGAGAAAGAAAGGGTCTAAATTGATTTGGGATTCCTGAGTTGCAGTTAGAGATTGAGAAGTGAGAGTAATTGAGGTTTTTGTATTGGATTTTTTACCGGTAATAGATCGGCGCTTAGTTGGACTCATTATAATGGGCTATCTTAAAGGGGTTAAGCTCTCTTTTACTAAGATTGAGCAAGAACAAAGGGATATAGGAAAATTATAACAAAATAAGAAAAATAAGAAAGTATAATTGGACTGTCTTTTTCTTCGCCGTCTCTCAATCTCTCTCTCTCTCTCACTCTCTCTTCCGTATCTTTTCATCCACCTTAGACACCAAGAAACTTAACCATGTTATCAACTAGTATCAAAGCTTGCGATCCTTGGTATTGCTTTATGGCTAAGAATGCAAAGATGGATGACCTGCTAAGGTTAGAAGAATCGATAAAGTTACTAGCCCAAGAAACCACAAACAAGATTGATGAAATAAACCGAAGCACAACAATCCATTCAAGACTCTCATGGCTTCTTCGGTTACTTCTTAAACACCTACTACCCATAACCAGATCCTTTAGCTCAACCAGCTTTTCTCCACCACCCACCTAAGGAGCACTACCCACACCTATTAACACAAACCCAATCTTACCTACACTTCCCGCCACCATGATGCAACCCCTTCCCATAATCATTCGCTAGTACACAACACCACCCAACCCTTGTCCGAGTATAACCATTGCCGCAAACAACAAAAACCCAAAAAGGAATCTTGCCTTTGATGGAGATGATATTAACAAGTGGTTGTATTGGTGTCACTAGTTTTTCGAAATTGAACCCATGGATGAATATGAGAAGGTTCGATACTCCTCCTTCTTCTTAGATGGTAGAGCCTTGTATTGGCATCAAGCTTACAAGCAAAGCTTGGATAGGAAGCCGAGAGGGAATATGTTGCTGCAACATCAAGTAGGTTTGGAGCCAAGTTTGATCCACTAGGTTAGTTAAAAAATCTCTTTCAAACTTCGATTTAGAGTCATATGTCCATAAATTTGATGTTTTGTAGAATAGAGTTGCCATTAATGAATAACAAACTCTAAGCAAGTTCTTGGCTGGATTAAGAGAGAATATTCATGGTCATGTATCAATGTTTGAACCCCAAAACCTAATCCGAGCTTAAGAGTTAGTCCGAAAGCAAGATAATACGAACTCGTATCACAAGAGACACTACTTAAAACCAAGCAACACTATATTTCAACAAGGTAACCAACTACCGAAATTGAAGAAATTATCTAAATTCCAAAGACAATATCCCTAACACCCATAAGCTAAGCTATCAACCAAAGACATTATCTAACAAGGAGTTTGAGGAGAAAAAAAGGTTAAGAACTAGTGTTTTTGGTATGATGTCACTTTTGTTTTGGGGTATAGGTGAAAACAAAAAAGATACTTCTCTATCTAAGTGATTGATGAGGATATAGAAGAATTAGGCCAAGATGAGAGTCAACCAATTATTGAAATTTAAGAAATTTTAAATGAATCAACTTCACGAGATATCTATGAATCCTTTGGAGGGTTAGGTTGGATTCAAGACTCTAAGAGTCTAGGGACATATGCATAAAAAACCAATGCAGATTCTAATGGACTCGGGTTCTACCCATAATTTCTTCAACTATAGAAAACAAGGAATTGGGATGCTACTTGACTCCTATTAAACCAATTATTATAGAGGTCGCTAATGGAGGTACTATGTTATACACTTTTACATTCAAAGGGTTTCAATGGGTTATGCAAGGTACTAAGTTCTCTACTAATGTATTTGTCATTATTTATATAACAATGACATAGCATTTAGTGTACAATGACTATCTACATTAGGAAATATTGTTTCGAATTATCAAGAGATGTGGATGACATTTTAATTAGGAAGAGAAGGAATTTAAGTTATCTAATCAAGGAGAGATCAAGATGAAAGCTATTTCGGAGGTACAAATACGAGAGGTTATTAAATAATTCGAGCCAATTAGCTTCGATGCGGTCGTGCAACATTATATTGAATGGTGCATAACCACTAGTGGCAACTCATCCACATATTGTTTTGGCCAATCAAGAGCCGGTTTTAGTGGCACTTTCAACCTTGCTAGATGAATTTCATATTGCCTTTTTCAAATCTAATACATTACCTCTCAATAGGCCACATGACCAACAAATTCCTTTGTTAAAGGGAACGCAACCCGGAAGCAAATGGCCATACATATATTCAAGATTACAAAAGGATGTTATGGAAAAACTAGTGAAGCAAAATACTTACTCGTAGGGATTATTCGAGTAGAGTATGAGCTTCTTCTATGGTTTTGGTTAAGAAAAAAGATGGATTATGGCAATTGTGTATTGATTACAAGGCTTTGAATAATAGCATGGTCAAAAATAAATTTTTCATTCCCCTAATTGATGAACTATTAGAAGAGTCGCCCGTAGCCACCATTTACTCCAAATTGGATTTATGTTTAGGATACCACCAAATTCATATATTTTCTCCGAGATATTCCTAAAATCGCATTTAAAACTCATCATGGTCATTATGACTTCTTAGTCATGTCTTTTGGTCTCACTAATGCCCTCGCCACCTTTCGGGGTTTAATGAATGAAATCTTTTAAGACCCATTGTAAAAGTTTATACTGGTAATTTTTGACAACATACTCATTTATAGCTGAAACTTAAAAGACCATTTTGACCACCTCGGATTAGTGCTAACCCTCTTAAAAATCGACTAGTTATATGCAAAATGCAATAAGTGTGTTTTAGGGGTTGATAAGGTTGAGTATTTAGGACATTTTATCTTGATCAAAGGAGTATCTATTGATCCAAGAAAGATTTAGGCGATGGTGGATTGGCCAATTCCTAAGAACTTAAAGCAATTACGAGGATTTTTGGGTCGACATGCTATTATCCCAAGTTTATCAAAGGGTATGGATTGATTAGTAAACCATTAACAACTTTATCGAAGAAAAATGCCTTCCATTAGACCGAGGAGTCTACTATAGCCTTTAACAACCTCAAGACAACCATGTCTTTAGCCTTAGTTCTTGCCTCGCCCAACCTCACTAAGTAGCTTACTCTAGAGATCGATGCTTCTAACACTAGGATTGGTGTAGTTTTGATATAACTAAGGCACCCAATTGCCTTCCTCAAAAGGCCTTATCACTTAGGCATCAATCTCTATCAATATATGAGAGGTAATTACTAGCAATCATACAAGCTATAAAACAATGGAGGCATTATTTAGATTTAAGACATTTCAAGATGAAAAAAGACCATCATAGCCTCAAATACCTCTTAGAATAAAAATTTGTTAAATCCAATCAACACATATGGTTGGCTAAGTTATTGGGTTTTGATTATGAGATCCTAGACAAGAAGAAAAAGAAGAACTTGTCTCGCTCATGCATTTTTCGATCTGTTTGGTTATGAGATTCACTCTATAGCTATTTCCACTATGTCTTCAAACTTACTTTGACAAATGAGAAACTTATGGGTAACTTATCCTTCCATCCAATAATGTTTGTTCGAGATGACTAATAACTTAGCAACCCACCCCCTTTATAAATGGCATAGTGAACTTCTAACTAGAAAGGTAAACTAATTATGGGGAATGATAGTAAGTAGACATATTATAAGCTTGTTCCATGATTCTGCATTGGGAGGACACTCAAGTATGGCAACCACTCTTCGAAGTTAAGTGGTGTCTTCTACTAGAAGGGTGTGGTGTCTTCTACTAGAAGGGTCTACTAGAGAATATGAGCTAATATATCAAAGAAGATCTCATCCGTCAAGCCTATAAGCTAGAGTTAGTGGCCGATCCTGGATTATTGTAACCTCTATCCATACCATGGGGAGTATTCACCGATATCTCTATGGACTTCATTGAAGGACTTCCTAAATCTAAGGGAAAGGAAGCCATATTCATGGTAGTGGATTGGCTCACTAAATATGCTCATTGAAGGATCATACATCCTATGAAAGTACGGGAACAAACAAAAATTTTTCTCCATGTAAGGCTCCAAGATCAAGTCATTGAATCTATTAATCATATATATATGAATAATAAGCTATAAGTAAAGGATTATCTCTTGTAGCACAGATCTAAATTCCCTTTTAGAAAAGTTATCCAAGCATTCGACCTCTATTGATGATCCACGCAATCCAAGTATCTACAAAGAAGCACTCAAAATCGATGGGGTGTTAGCTCCTCCTTTCCTAACTTAGTATTTTCTCTAGAAAAAAATCCTAAGTAATTTTGTGATAACCTTAAAAAAGGAGAAAAGAGTATGGTTTTCTAGGATTTAGAAGAAAACTATTTTTTTCTATATTTCTCTCTTGGCCGTGTGCCTTAGCTAATTTTAGGGTCAGCGTAAAGTCTTCCACTTCTCTTTCTTTTTATGCTTGGTTGAATATACTCTTCTCCATTAGCCCTTTTATGCCGCACCTCTCCTCCTATTTATAGAGGGAGAGTTTTTTTGTCCTCTAAGGATAAAGAGAGAGGCGACCTCAAGTCCCTATTAAGACTTTAGGTTATTGCTTCCTTATCCTCCAAGGTTAAAGAATTATTTTATATGTGGACTACTTGATTATTATTTTTAAAATATTCAACCTTATCCAATAAGGTTAATGTTTATCTTTAAAACATTCAACCTTATATAATAAGTTTGATATTCATCCCTCTACCAAAATTACCTCAAAACTCTTAATTAAATCTAATGGGCCAAAACTATTTTAGCCCAATTAATTTATTTAGACTATCTAAATAAATATTCTTAGATTATTTTGGCAAGGTTCATATTAGGAAACAAATTTTCAAAATACTCTTTAACCTAAATTAGGAAACTCCTTTCCTTTTAGGTTCTTAATTTTCAAATTTGAAACTAGCTTCTAAATTAGGAAATTGATTTTTAAAATAGAAAAATTTCCATTTTAGGAAACTTCCATAATTAAGGAAACTTTTCATTTTAGAAAACTTTCTATAATTGAAAACTTTTTCCAATATCTTTGCTTCTCCTTTATAATGTGAATACTTAAACTTATGCGTGTGACTCAATAGGCTCCTAGATATATTGACAATGTATCAAGAATAAAAGACTCCTCTTTCATCTCTTGATACATAAAGCAAGACCGGCCTCTAGTAAGGCATCATAACTATTCAATTCTTTAAGAGCATTAGTTAATCCATTACTACCTTTCATAAGCATGATTACCATACAATTCAGTCCTCATGTCAACTTATCATAGTGTGATCTCGAACTTGGTTATTAGTCTTGTTCGATTATCATCACACAAGTTTTCTTTGATTCCTAAATGTTGTAACTCTTAGAGTAAACCAACTATGCTCTATTGGTGTACTCTTATTGTGGCCACGCATTTCTTGAGCGGACATTTATCAAAGTGCAAAGTGATAAGTCCTTTTGCATACAAGGAATGACGTGTCCTATCTTAGTCATATACTTATCTCCATTGAATTCCTAGTGCACCTAACGAATTGCCCACGTGCAACCCATTAATGGGTCCGTCGAAACGAGTGTCAAAGTGCATAAGTCCTCTAATGAGATAACCACGATGACTTCAAGTCTAAGGACTATTTGTAACCATCTCGTATGAGATTCCCATAGACTAAAATCAAATGAGTTCTCATAGCGAGTTAAGTTCGATGATATATTCTCTAACATAAATCACCTAAGTGCTTGTTTTGGCATTATCATGCTAATAGGTATAAGATCTCTTACTCGTTATCATATAGCATGAGCTTATCACTTATAAGTATATCCACATATTGTCAATGTCCATTCTTGACAATACTACGACTTGGGACATTTAATTATATCATTTATGTGCATTAGTATTTATCTCACATCTTTCAATCAATCACTATTGCAAATGCATATTATAAAGACTTCTATCTAATTTTACTCGAATTTATCAATATGTAAACATAAGAATTAATAGAATGAATTCTTTATTATTATTAAAATAAATTATGTAATAATATATTAACATGAGCCCATCCAAACATAGTTGAATCTTGGACACCAACACTAACACTCATTTCATGAACCTCCCTCACCCATATATAACCTAAGTAGTAGCTTAGTTGTTCTTGGATAATGCCTTCAAGTTGCATATGTTACCATCTATAATTGTTAGTGATAGGGATATAATATTTTTGAGCAACTTTTAGAATGAGTTGTTTTCTTTACAAGAGGTTGACCTACACTATTCCACTACTTAACATCTCCAATTAGATGGTCGAGCGAAGTGGTGAACTCGTTGCCTAAAGACTCATCTTTGTTGTATGGCAGGAGACACTCCATCGAATGGTCCAAATGGCTTTCTCTTGTCGAATGGTGGTACAACATAAACTTTCATTTTTCTACCAAATTGACACCATTTGCGACAGTCTATGGTTATCCACCCCTAATACATCTACTTTACATACCCAATGATTCTCATGTGGAAGTCGTAGACCAATATCTTAATACTAGGGAAGCTCTGCTAGCACATCTTACACATAACCTTGCTCATATATAGAACCATATACGTTAACTATCAAATAAACACATAATAAAATGCCAATTTGCGACTGGTGACTTGTTTATCCAAAGTTATAGTCCTATAAATAACACTCGGTGACCAAGCACAATTTCCACAAATTATATGCCCGTTACTATGGTCTATACATGGTTGAAGACAAAGGGGCTCAATAGCTTATCGATTGAAGCTTCCGAAGTAGCTTCAATTCACCTCATTTTCCATGTTTATGTCCTTAAGAAGGCTATCGGGACTCATATAGCACAAAAGGAGTAGCTCGCCTTTCCTTCTAAATCTTTACCTTACCTATTAGCTATCATTGACGGACTTATCACAAAGAAACAAAACAGAGTTGACAATACAATGGTTGATACATTGGCATGACCTCTTTCTAGCAGAGGCAACTTGTGAATTTACGGAGGAGATGGCTCCTTGTTTTCCATCTCTTACCCTTAAGGACAAGGGAATTTTTGAAAGGAAGGCAATGATGCGGGCATCTCACTTTAAGAGAACGGAATAGTTAAATCAAGATTCTTGAGTTGTAGTTAGGGATTGAGAAGTAAGGGTAACTAAATGTTTTTATATTAGGTTTTTTTTAATGATAACGATCGACACTTAATTGGGCTCATTATAGTGGATTGGTTTAAACGGGTTAAGCTTTCGTGTACTAAAATTGAGTAAGAACAAAGGGATATAAGAAAATTATAACGGAATAAGAAAAAAAAATTATATTGAGATTGTCTTCTTTTTCACGCTTCCGTGTCTCGACTTCCGTATCTTTTCTTCCACCTTAGACATCAAGAAACATAACCACACTATCACTTTTATGGTTTACTTAGCAATGTTATTCCTAAGAAATCGTACCAAAACAAACTCAATCACGTTTTATGATCCAATTGAACAGTATAATCAAGTTCTAACAATTAACCCCATTATACTTTACAGATCACTTAGTTGTAGAATTGTTAAATCGGGTCCAGTGATCCATCGGATAAAGGATCAAGTCATTTGGGTCAAACTATCATGTTATTTTGGTAAAAAAATTAAAAAAGTTTTTAATTTTTGATATAGCCATGTTTTGATTGGAATAGAAATCATATTTTTACCAGATTTGATCCGTTCAATAGACTAAATAGTCCAATTATGAATCTGACTTATCCAACTCCTACTTACTGGGTTTTTAGATCAATCAATCAGTCGGATCAATTCAACAACTATGTCTCTCTCGCTCTGTTTTTTTTTTTTTTTTTTGGAAATTGAAACTTGAAATCTCTTGACCACAAAATAAGGATACTAAAGTCAGGATGATTTTTGAAGGAAGAGCCGGCAGTATGGCCATTTGCGTCAGCTGTATAGTAGACAATCACATGATCGGAGGTTAGATTCTACAGAAAAGCAGGAAACAAGACGCCTTTTATTATTGATAACGTTGCAATGCTCAAAATCCTCCAACTAATTCAATTGTATTTTTTATTAGGGAAGCATTAGGAAAACATATTTTTGGTTCCTCGGCTTCTTAAATTATTATTATTTAGTTTTTTTTTCTTTTTTCGTGCTATTGAATTCCTTAAATTTGTAATAAATTATTTTCAACCTAATCTGATTAAACAAATAAATATAAAGTGCACTTGAATCAATCAAGCGCTTAAAAAAACGGCACTATTTAATTTAATTACATAAGAAAATAAAAATACTTCATCATTACACATTTCATATGTCAATCCCCTGCTCAAAGGCACACCCCTTTCCTTTCCTTCCAAATGCAGCAGCAGGAGCCATGGATTGCCATTGCAACAATTTGTGCAACTCTACTCTTTTTAAAAACAGGGTCAATCTCAGAAGCTGAAAAGGTTGTAGCTTTGCCAGGCCAGCCAAAGGTCAGTTTCCAGCAACATGGAGGATACATAACTATTGATGAGAAGCAGCGTAGAGCTCTTTTCTACTACTTCGTTGAAGCAGAGACAGGTCCAGCTACAAAGCCTCTTGTTCTTTGGTTAAATGGAGGTATATATTTCCGCTTTATCTTTATCAAAATATCATCTTCAAATTTGTATTCTTCTGATGGTTTAAAAGAAAGTGAAAGATCCTTGCTGGGATTTGTAGGGCCTGGATGTTCATCCATTGGAGCTGGAGCTTTTTGTGAGCATGGACCCTTTAAACCAAGTGGAGAATTATTGATACAAAACCAATATAGCTGGAATAAAGGTAACCCTGTTAAAGTTTATACTTTTTTAAGTTTTAAAGATTTAAAATGCGTTTAATAAACCAACCAGTGGTTAGGTTCTTACGCAAATTATCTACTACTGTTCCGAACAAGATTAGTCTCAAGTGTGAGATGGGATGCTTGAATGTTTTTCTAACTATCAGGGGACAGGCTAACTTTGGATATGCCCACCAGATCAAGGTTGTGAACCTCGCAAACAACATTAATTAATTTACATTGATAACCATTCTAATTTGGTAGCTGAAATATGTTTTGCCATGACAGTATAGCACAACTGGACTTGGACCATGCAGATGTGCCTTAGAGTGTTAGGTTGATACTGTTTTTTTAACTCAGTTTCCTACATTTATTTGAGATTTAAGTTGAAGTCATTCTTTAAGCTGAACTTAAAATTTTTAATTATCGTTTTTTATTCAAAATTTTATTGAGTGCAAAGAAACAAAGAAAGTGTGATTTAAGTAATCTTTTTACAGCATTGTTACAAATACTTTTCCATTTAAGTTTGACACGATTTTTTTTTTTTTTTTTTGATGATGAGTAAATACAAAAAATCATGTCAAATGCATTCTTAAAATTTTTAAAGAAATGACAGTAAGGGAATATCCATTTTTTTCTTCTTCTTTTTCCCTGCAGAAGCAAATATGTTGTACCTGGAATCACCAGCAGGAGTTGGCTTCTCCTACTCTGCAAATGGATCTTTCTACTCCTATGTAACTGATGAGATTACAGGTTTCTGTTCATAAATAGATTCTGTCAAGACAGAATACAAAACTACACTTCATCAAATCCTCTTAAAAATTTAAGTAGCCAGGTTGCTTTAGTTCTGTTATAATCTTTGCTGTAATCTAATAAGGGCTTAACTCTTTAATAGCACAAGACAATCTTGCATTTCTTGAGGGCTGGTTTGCCAAATTCCCAGAATACAAAGTCAGAGATTTCTTCATCACAGGGGAGAGCTACGCAGGTATCTTTTAACACCATAATAAGATCATAATTTGTCTGTTCACATTTTGAAGCTGCTAGATGATTTTTAGAACGGAGATTGCTGCTTACGATCTAGCAATGGCGTAAAAGGTTATATTTTCTTACCAGGTCACTATGTTCCACAACTCGCACAGCTTATTGTCCAATCTAAAGCAAAAATCAATCTAAAAGGAATAGCTGTAAGTGATGTGAACATTTTAGATATGCATATCCAAAGTGTCTGCAGTAACATCTAATTCACTCCTATGGCTGCAGATAGGGAATCCACTTCTAGATTTCAGCACAGATCTCAACTCTCGCGCTGAGTTCTTGTGGTCGCACGGATTAATATCAGATGCAACCTATGAAATGGCTACCACAGTTTGTAACTACTCACAAATCATGAGACAAATTCAGATTAGTAGTTCCCTTTCCCATTCTTGCTCGAAAGTCAATGGACAAGTCTTAAGAGAAATAAGTAAATTCATCGACACAAGTGGCGTAACTCTTGATGTTTGCTTATCAGCAGTTGAATTACAATCACAAAAGTTAAATCAAATGGTAAGCACTATAAGTTATTTTCTTTAGTTCATTCATTTTATATTTCTGACCTTAGGGATTGCTGTGAACTATAATGCATTTGCCTCATCTTTGATCATGGGCAGGAATATTTAGGGAAAATAGATGTCTGTGCAGAAGATGAAACTATGAAGTACTTAAATAGAAAAGATGTACAGAAAGCTCTTCATGCTCAGCTTGTTGGAGTCAAACAATGGACTGTATGCAGCAAGTAAAGATCTAAAGCTAAAAATGCTAATTCCATCAAAGAAATTATTATTAGTTGCAATTTCTTCAAGTTTTATTTATTTCTTTTCTAATGGAGTTTTCTATGAATTTCACACATTTGTTTGCTCCGAATTGTGATCATGAGTTTTTTCCTTGTGTTTTATCTGGTATCTTTTAACAGTGTTCTCAAATATGACATGCAAAATCTAGAAATCAACACAGTTCCTGTTCTGGGCAAAGTCGTAAAGTCTGGCATCCAGGTTTTGGTTTACAGGTACTTAACTTGGACACTGTAGGATTACAACTGAGAGACCACCTCTTTTGGCATATTTACCATGGCATTTTAGTTACAGTTCAAAAATTCTGCAGTGGAGATCAAGATTCAGTCATTCCTCTCATTGGAACAAGAACACTAGTGAATAGATTGGCAAAGGAGTTGGAACTGAAGACAAGCGTTCCTTACAGAACCTGGTTCCAGGGAAAACAGGTCTGTTAAATCCCATCACCAACGGATTTTAAGAACTTCAGATTGATTTTATTTTTTGTAATAATCTAAGACTAGTTAATTAATTGGTTCCATACCTTTACCATCATTGTTTCAGGTTGCTGGGTGGACGCAAGTGTATGGTGACATCTTATCTTTTGCTACCATAAGAGGAGCATCTCATGCAGCTCCATTTTCACAGCCAGAAAGGTCTATTGTCCTGTTTAAGGCATTTCTACAAGGAAAACCATTACCAATAGCATGAATTTTCACCATAGAATTTGCTAAGTTCTATGAATCGCATAGAAAAGACTATTTCCAAATTCAACTTATGGTGCAAATGATTCTGTTAACATGAAAAAATAATTTTTCACATACATTTTATTAGCATTGAAATCAAAATTTAATGTGTCAGGAGTAGACAAGAATGACTGTTTGTCTACCATAGTGTGATGCAATCTCGAAAATCATGTGACAAGTAGGAAGTGCGAATTCGTAATTAAAAAAAAACTAAAAACTATTTCCCAGCAGCTCGTAACCCAACCGATATCCATGTTCCAGCTTCTTAAGCGGCAGTGGTGGAGTTAGAAATTTTTTGTTTGCCAAAGATGGATTCAAGAGTCCGATATTGAAGCTTGAAAGACTAAAGCTAACGTCTTTATTCTTTAGAGGGTCATTATGTACAAAAGTAATGAATTTTTGCAAACACTACTTAAAATTGAAGGACTGTTTTATTCTTTCAGGTGGCTGCATCCGTACAGATTTAGAGGGTAATATAGAATTATTTTTTAGAGTTTTATCGAAACTTTGATAACCAAACAGATCACGAATTCAAATTTCATCGTCTTCATTTTAATGATGGGCTTATGCAAATTTCAAGTTTAAAGAGTTTTTATAGTCATAAGTTTGAATCTTCCTATCATCCTACTTTAATAATGAGTCTATGGAAGTTTTACCTTTAAAGAGTTTTTATTTAAGTGAATGTATCAAAAGTATGTTAAAAGAGTCTAACCTCTTCTCCATTTTAAGTCGTTTAAAATTGAGTCTCAAAATTTTTTTATTGATTCCGAAAATCTTTGAACTTTACAATTTTTTAAATTAAGTCCATTCCATTTTTTTTCGTTAGAGATAACGGAGGATATGTTAGTAAAAATATAAAACACAAGTGTCAAACTAAAAATAATAGAAGATTTTAATTTTTTTGATAAACCTACCCATCTTAATTAATTATGAATTAATATCCGATTTCACGATTAACTACATTAATTCACCAAAAATTTCTTTTTTCCCAAAAAATTATATTGTTATTGAAGAAGAAAAAGAGAAAAAAAAACCTAGATAGCAATCCTTTCTTCCTTAAAATTTCTCTCCGATCGAATTGTCACCATCCACAACCTGTCGAAACACTATTAGAAGTCAAAACTTACCTCTAGACTCCATCACACCAACCCCGCTCCTCTCAAACCTACCAAAAACTCACCATTAACCTCCATCATGCCAACCGCTGATGTTCTCAAATCTAGTCGAAGCCCATTATCAACCACCATCATGCCATAACCATTATCATGCTAGCCACTCGCTTCTCTCAAATCCAATCGAAACCTACCATTAGCCACCATCACGCCACAACCACCATCACGCCATCCATAGCTCCTCTCACTCTCTTACTATCAACAAACACCGACCACATTGTCGATCTCCCCAAAAGCCAACTACCTTGACGATCTTTCCGCCATCGTCGGCCACCTCGTCAATCTCCCTAAAAGTAACCCACCTTACCGATCTCCCTCAAACCCACCGATGGTATGTCATACCGTCAACAAATTAGATATTTATATTTTTCTCACGTAACCCAATCACAAGGGTGTAGATAAGATAAGAAAGGCTCAAATCCATAAGAAAGTGACCTAATTAATGGTCTCTATTGTCTAATTGTTTAGTAGTGTAAAGGAATTAAATGGGGGTTTGTGTTTGTGATGAACTCGTAAGCAATCAAAAGTAAAATTAAATAACAATAATGGGAAATGCCATGGTTGAAGTTCCGTATCCACTTTTGGCTTAGTCATTGATCATCAATTCAATTTATCACTTATCTTAAATATGAATATTCATCGTAGAACAATAACATGTATGTTGACCCGAGTCTTTCTTTACTTAGTCGTTAATCTAATATACGATACCCGATTAATTCCCTAAATATTGAACAACATATTAAGCATGAAAGAGATTTAATCCAATAAAACATTAATTAGAGAAAGATAGGTGAAGCTAAGCCATCTCTTAAGCGCTAAAAAGATGTAAGTTAATTCTATGTTTTTAAAGAGATTTGAATGAACACGTGAAAAATAATCATCAACCGCTAGTTACTACCATAGGTAAGTTTAGACAGCAATTACATAGACTTGAATACTTAGCTAGCAATAAGTTAATATGATCAAACAACCAACATGTACTCTAATCAATTTACCACATAACTATAAATCAATCATACAAAAAAATATAAAATCCTCACACAAGATAAGTTTAAAAATAAAACCGGTAATGTCTCACAACGATTTAACTAAAAGCTTTAACTTCCTTGAACAAAGAAGGGATTTATTTAGAGTTGCAAGGCTTTATTTGCAAGAGTGTTATGACTACTCGGAATTGAAAGATGATTCAAAATAAAATCCTAACTTCTCTATTTATAACCAAAAGTAGGATAACAACACAAACATGGCGACCCCACGTGGCTTGTTTATTGTGACACACGACTTACTTGACTAAGCGACACAACCGTGCACCATTTATACTTCATCTCATGTCTTTTTTTGCTTCATCCCATGTTCTTAGCTACTCGCTCGTGTGATTTTTTGCCTTCATCCCGTGTCCTAAATTTCTGCGGTGTGAAATTTGCACTTCATCTCGTGTTCTTGAATGATTAGCTTGAATGAATTTGATATAGGCTGAATTAGGATTTGAGTTCCACATGAAAGTTGTATCCATATTTCTTATCTTTTAAACGCATTAAATATTGCATCAATTGGATATCTACAACTTAAGTTATGGTCTAAATATTGACACCGACTCAACCTATCCATCCAGCCTTAGGATTCCACTTTGCGGTTGAATTCCTCCATGATAACGATCTAGTTTGGACTCAAGACCTTCATAAGACTTGTAAGTATGCCTTTTTAGTATTCCATGGGCTTGTCCTTACATCAATTGGAATTCTGAAACTCTAGATATGAATTACACTCCACAATCGATCCGGACTCCAAATAGGATTCGGATCACTTTTCTATACCAAAATATGAAATATCGTTTGGAGGCCTAAATGAACTTGGATTTTGACCCACTATATCATTCTAGAAAGATTGAGATGTCCTCTACAAAATCTTAAAGACCACTTCTTTCAAATCTAACTCTAAGGCTTCAAAAAACATGTAAGAAGTTTAAAAGGTCTAATTTAGTCAAGCTAGATATCCACACAATTTCCTTCTTTGTTTCACACGACTAGTAGCTATTTCTTCTTGTATCACATACGGCCATGTGTCTTCTTATGCCGCCTTGGTGGCTTTTGGCTTTTCCTTGCTTTTGGCTTGGGTTTCTTCCTTCAATTCGATGTTTTTCTTACAAAACTAGAAATCGTTATTTTTATTTTAATTTTTTAAATATAATATATTAAACATTAGAAATTTCAATATAAAAGAGCATAAAAATCATGCTAATTATGCACCCATCACCCATGTTGCCGACCAACCCACACGTAAACCCCACTCGTCAACAAATGTGTTTTACTCTCATAAACCCATATATGCCACTATTCAATCCAGATCAAAACTCCACTATCAACAAGTGTGTTTTACACTTAACATTGACACCAAAATCTCATTGCCAAACCAGTCGAAGATGTAAAACGAAAAGCTTCGCATATCAAGAGATAGTTTGAGAGAACAGTTAGTTTCGGGTGAGTGAGTGAATTAATGCGCTTAATTGTAAAATTAAATATTAATTCATAATTAGTTAAGATGAGTTAGAGTTTCATTAAAAAAAAAAAAAGGTGTCAAACATTTTCTATTAGTTTTAGTTTGACACATGTGTTTTAATTTTTATGAGCACATCCTTTGTCATCTTTAATGAAAAAAAAAAAAATTGGATGGAGTTAATTTGAAAAATTATAAAGTTTTAGGGATTTTTAGAATTAATAAAAAATTTTGAAACCCAATTTTAAATAACTTAAAATTCAAAAATAATTAGATGGTTATAATCTAAAAAATAATATTAGAATATTTTTAAAATTCCAGTGTTGGCCAGTGGGTCTGGAGTCAAATCGCTCTCCGGTCGCAAAAATCGACTAGTGGGTAATGATTAGGAATAATACTCGTGAAACCAATGGATGTGGTCATTCTCAATCCACCCTCCACACCAGTAATTGATGCTTTTGTCCTACTGCTTTTTTTTTTTTTCTACGATAAGAAATCCTGGATCCGTCTGGATCAGTTTACATGATGATTATATATTTATATATCTTACATTGACCAACCTAATCTTAAATAGTACTACCTTTAAGATTCAAATTCAAAAATTCATGAAAGGAGAAAAATCTCCTTCGCCACCGAATCCACTCTTAGAGTTGATTCTTCTGTACTGCTAATATAACCACTCACCATCATGCACTATGCCATGGAAATCCTTATTAGTGGGATTCGATCTTTGATAAATAATGTTATTAGTTGACTACAACTGTTCGTTTAGTGGCAAAATGTAACCTGCAAATAGGGACGTGTGCATCAGTCCGGGCTCTATAGAGTCCAAAGAGACACTAACCTGGATGGGTGCCATCATGTGGATTGGAAAGTGAAATTTGTTGGTGGGATATGAAGAAGATTCCAAATTCTGCCCCCACAATCGACGGGCCTTAAAACTTTACTACATTTTCAATGGTTGATGGTTCGAACAACCATTTGTCTTTGTACAGATAACCTAGCTGTAGAAAGTGCACGAGAAGTGTGAAAAAATTGCTGTCAAAAGTTAAGAGATGATTTTCCAAGGAAGAGCCCACAATATGATCATGTTTTGTCTCTAATAGTTGACCACTTGCCTCCTCTCGTGATCCTTTGTGTGTTTTGTGTGAGTGTGAGATTCTTTCCTTTTGGGATCAGGCAGTCTACATTTTTTTCTCCCTTCTAATGAGAAGCTTAAAAATTTCTATCCACAGAAATAGACAGATAAAGCAAGGACAATTGATCTTTTTTATGAATGCACAACTATGGGAAATTTAACCTTGATGTGCTAAAGTTGGTATTGGAATACCTTAGCTGCTAAAAACAGAAAAGTATATTGAACTAGTTGCATATCCAAATCATCATCACATCTAAAGCTAATCAAATCAGTTGTAGTTTCAAGAAAAGGAAGAGATGATACCCAATCCATACTTTTTAGTTTCTCAGCTTCCAATTTGTTAATATCTTGGTGCTTATTATTTTATTGGAAGCAGTTTGATTGTTTGACTTCTGTTTCAAGTACTTAAATAGGGTTTACCTCTACATCATTGGATAAAAGAATCATTGAAGGGCCTATCGTTACGCACTTCTCAGCCTGCTCATTCTCCAAAAAGCCAATTCTCTGCCTGAGGAACACAAACTCAAGCTGCCCCAAAAATTCTTATCTTCAAATGCAGATGCAAGAGCCATGGATTGTCACTGCAACAATTTTTGCAGCTCTACTCTTTTTAACAACAGGGTCGATCTCAGAAGCTGAAAAAATTGTAGCTTTGCCGGGCCAGCCAAAGGTCAGTTTTCAGCAGTATGCAGGATATATAACCGTTGATGAGAAGCAGAAGAGAGTTCTTTTCTACTACTTTGTTGAAGCAGAAATAGACCCAGCTACAAAGCCTCTAGTTCTTTGGTTAAATGGGGGTATAAATTCCTCTCTTTCAGAAAATCTGCTATAAAGTTTTATGTTTTTTAAATGGTTTGAAACTTGAAAATAATGAAAAATCCTTGCTGGGATTTGTAGGGCCTGGTTGTTCATCCGTTGGAGCTGGAGCTTTTTGTGAGCATGGACCTTTTAAACCAAGTGGAGAGATCTTGCTGAAAAATGATTATAGTTGGAATAAAGGTAACCTTATAAAGCTTTGTCCCTTTCCATGTGAAATGTGAGAGTCTGCTTGTTATGTCTGCTTTTTATGTTCTATGCAAGAATTAAAGATTCAAAGTAGATGACAAAAAAGACTTAAATTTCTTTAAATGATTTATCACTGCAGAAGCAAATATGCTATACCTGGAATCACCTGCAGGAGTTGGCTTCTCCTACTCTGCTAATGAATCTTTCTATACCTCTGTGAACGATGAGATTACAGGTTTTCATATATTCTCAATTTTATTTGATCCATACCATGATAGAAAAAACTGTAGATCATTACTTAAATATATGAATTTAGTTGAAATTTCATAATTTAACATACATAATTTAGTGTTTCTTTCACTTGTGCTACAAATTCTTTTGGTAAACTGATAATGGCCTAATTCATTTCCAGCACAAGACAATCTAGTATTTCTTGAGAGATGGTTCGACCAATTCCCAGAATACAAAAGCAGAGATTTCTTCATCACAGGAGAAAGCTATGCAGGTATCCTTTAACACTAAAAGATTTTTGTCGATTTGTCTGTTCATATTTTCCAGCATAACAATTTAATGGACTCAAAATTGCTGGAAGATTTACCATGAAGCGAGACATTACTGAAAATATGTACTTCTTTCCAGGTCATTATGTTCCACAACTTGCACAACTTATAGTTCAATCCAAAGCAAAATTCAATCTGAAAGGAATAGCAGTAAGTGATATGAATATTCTAAATGCACCTTTCCATAGGATCTGCGGTAATATCTGCTGAAATGAACATGAATATCTATGGCTGCAGATAGGAAATCCACTGCTAGAATTCAATATGGATTTCAATTCACGTGCCGAGTTCTTTTGGTCTCATGGATTGATATCAGATTATACCTATGAAATTTTCAACACAGTTTGTAACTACTCCCAAATCAGGAGGCAGTCTCAAAGTGGGTCTCTTTCCGTCCCTTGCTCTACCGTAATTAACCAAGTCTCGAGAGAAGTTAGTAAATATGTCGACACTTATGATGTTACTCTTGATGTCTGCTTATCCACGGTGGAATCCCAATCCCGAGTGTTAAATCAAATGGTGAGCTATTTTTTATTTTCTTTTAGATCGTGCATTATTCTTCCAGGACTAAAAAGCATTTGCCTAAGGCTATTCTATTGTCTCCTGTGCAGGAATATACAGGGCAAATAGATGTCTGTGTAGAAGATGAAACAATCAAATACTTGAATAGAAAAGATGTACAGGAAGTTCTCCATGCTCAGCTTGTTGGAGTCAATCGATGGACTGTATGCAGCGAGTAAGGATCAAAACCTGCACATAAGCTTTGTTCTTCCTTTCTGACAAATTTTCTTTGAAGTCATTTCCCTGCCTATGTCATTTGTTTTCCATATAGATATACAATAGAGCATTCTTGATGTCTTCTGTGTGAATCTTGGTACAGTATCGTCAAATACGAGATGGAAAATCTAGAAATTCCCACAGTTCCTCTTCTTGCCAGGCTTGTCAAGTCCGGCGTTCGGGTTCTTGTTTACAGGTAAATTAAGTTGCTTGCTGTTGAATTCTGGAAATCTCAATGCCAAGACCCCATCACAATGGTATGGTAATGGATCATGTAATAACAATCCAAATTTTTTACAGTGGAGATCAAGATTCAGTGATCCCACTCATTGGAACAAGGACACTAGTGAATGGATTAGCGAAGGAGTTGCAACTAAACACAACTGTTCCATACAGAACCTGGTTCCAGGGAAAACAGGTCAGCTAATCCGAGTACATAATTTCAGATTAATAACATTAACGAACATGGAAGGACTAATTCATGGGATCATGCCTTTACGTAATCATCGCAGGTTGCTGGGTGGACACAAGTATATGGTGATATATTATCTTTTGCAACCATTAGAGGGGCATCCCATGAAGCTCCATTTTCACAACCAGAGAGGTCTATTGTGCTGTTTAATGCATTCTTGGAAGGAAAGCAAGCACCACAAGCTACTGAGCAAATTCATATTTAAATAGATTAATTACAGATCAATGTTTTCGACTGCCAAAATACTGATTCATCACTGCAGGCATAACCTTTCCTGCTTTCAGTCAAGATTTTGCTTAATTCCCAATTTGTGTTGCAGTCAATATCTTTGACATAATTCTTGCACATCCGATGTGAGATTCAATCTCATGTCACTTGAAACAACGAAAAGGGTGTGCTTTTGGTGATGAACAAGATTGGACATGCAGAACAAGGTTACCTCATGGGATTATCTGTTACTTCATCCCATTTACATGTTGAAAAGATCCAAAGATGCCATTTATTTTATGAGTTAAAAGAACAATGTTTTAAATTTATACTTTTTCTCAATCATATATTTGAAATATTATATTATAACATAATTTACGGAAATGATTTTTGTAAATTCAATTTTATTAACCAATTTAAACTGATATACGTTAAATAAACGAAAACATGAGGAGAAATTAGCAGGATTATAAAGGTTCAGAGCTTATTTGGTAGTGACTGTATAAGTTGGGGCTGCTTTGTAGTTATCCCAATCAAAAACATAAGAAGAAACCCAAAAACCCATGATTCAAAAGAGCAAATTATTAATTAGTCCGTCTTATTTTGAAAAATGAATTAATTAATTCTTTTTGTTTTATAAATTAATTATTTAATCCTCTATCGTCAAGTGTTTAGCCAGATGTATCAAATTATCAGCTAATATCTAAATTATCCTTTAATGTGTATATCCATTCGTAGAGATGTATTTTGATATTTGAAGAGAAAGAGAAGAAATAAAGACTAATAAAATGAGAAATAGAAATTTGAAGATAGAAGATTTGAAAAGAGAAATGACGATTTGTTATAGTACTTGAGAAGAGAGAGAAATGTGATGTCTATGAATGAGAGAAATAATATATAAAATATGACAATTTAGAAATAAAAAACATTATAGTAAAAACATATCATCATCGCTATAAAGAACATTGACGAAAGGAACAAAATATCGACAGAATTAAAATGTTGGAGATTAAATAGTTAGTTTTAGAAATATGTAGAACTAATTAATTTGATTATCGAAATAAGAGGGACTAATTTATAATTTATTCGATTCAAAATCTTAGAACTAGGAAGAAAAAAAAACTACAATTTCGAAAAAACACAAATCAAAAACCCAATATAAATCTAAAATTTTTGGTGCTAAATGAATCAACAGATGCAATAATAGAAAGAAAGCAAAACTTTAATAGAGGTTTTAGACTACCCTTAGTTTTGTGGGTTTAATAACAAATTTTGCCCAAATTCTATTGTGATTTGATAATTTTGAAGTTATAATATTAAATTATGTAATTTGAACTTCAAAATATTAGAGATTGGACAAATATAATCCAAATTATCCAATCTTTGTTATGTGTAATGATTAATTAGATTGACCGTTACTTAAAATGTCAAAACGACGTCGTTTTATAAATTATAAAGTATTAACCCCTTAATTTTGATTTTTTAAAAAAAAAATTAATAAAATTTTATTGTAAAAAAAAACATATTATAAATTAAAATGATCATAATTAAGAGTTGAACTTCCTAATTTTATAAATTATAAAAAAAAAAAAACATTTTTTATAAAGTATTTATAATATTTTATATAAAAAAAAGTTCAAATTTAGAGAGGTTAAAAATATTTATAAAATATTTTTTATGTAATTTATAAAATGTTTATAATATTTTATAAATAAAAAAAATGTAAAAACAGTTCAAAATTAAAAGGCTAAAAATATTTTTAAAAAATAATGAACAATGAAATGCCAAGGTGTCATTTTAATAATTCAAGTAACTCGTAACTCGGGTTGACAGTTAAGTAATCTGGATCACATTTTTTGGATCTTTAATACCTTAGGTCCAAATTATAAGGTTCAAAATTGTCAAATCATAATCTGGATCACATTTTTTGGATCTTTAATACCTTAGGTCCAAATTATAAGGTTCAAAATTATCAAATCGTAAGAGAACGAGGGCAAAATTTGTCAACAAACCTAGTTTTATGCAAAATTCGGTTCACAAACTTCAGGTTTGTTAATGTCTCCTAGTCTTATTATTATTTGCTACTGTTTTATTTTTTTATTTTTTTTTTTTCATTAGAGTGAAATTTGAGTTTTCTTGTGCTATTATTCAAAGATGTGATGATTTTTGGGTTTTTGGTTTCTGGGGTTAAGTTTTTTTTTTTTTTTTTCCAACTTAATGACACAGTATGTAGCTATTTACAACAAACTTTGATTGTATCCATCAATCAATTGCAAGTACTCTTAAAGTGGATATCGAAGAAATATTTAAAGGGTAATGGAGATAATATGCTGTTGTTGATTGGTTATTACTTATGTAGCATTAGTACAATGGAAGAGCAAGAAGAACTATTAGCAGGCAATGGTCCGGGCATTAGAGTTTCAACTTTCAAATTTTGATTATTCCGTCGAGAATCACTTTAAAGCAGTGGACATGATTTCTAGGCTTTGTGGAGAAACAGAGACTGATGCTGTAGAAGAAACTGAAATTCAGTGCTCTAAGTCCTCTATCACTTTTTTAAGGCGAGTTATCTTTTTTGTGTGTAAACTCTATTTTGATGGTTTGTATTGAGTTTGTGCATAATTTGTGATTTTTATTGACATTTTGTGAGTGGAAACGTTACAAGTACAACCTGAAAATAATTAGGTTTGCTTGTGAAACGGATAATTCTCAGGAGAAATGTGATCTCAGTGGGATAACTCTACAGCAGTTCTCATCTGCAACTGTTCCGAAGGTACTGTAAGTAAAGGTCTGTTCTTGTTTTTCTTCTTCTTGTTTTTCCTTTTTGAATTGTATTTTAGTTTTGTGGATATATGACATGTGATTACAATCTACTTTGCAATCTGATTTAGGAGGGGCCAGATGGAGGTCCCACTTCTCTAGAGTCCAGGTATAAATTTGGCCTTAGTTTTCATTTGCAGCGGCTATGCTTGTTTTAGTTGATTGTGTTGCAGATTTATTTATTTTATTTTTTTTGACACACTGAGTTATATATAAATATATCTAAGTCTTAACATTCGGATTTCTTCTATAGCTTTTCCATTGCTTCTCCATTCTTGATATCTATGTTTTCCAGCCTCTCTCTTTCCATCTTGTTGCAGCAGAGACTTTGTGATGTATGTTGGAGGATCTGTTTGGACATTGGATTGGTGTCCTGGTGTTCATGAACGGCTGGACAATCATATCAAACGTGAGATATTCTCTCCTCCACTTCTTAACGCTTTCGCTTCTATTGTCCTGTCGTTGAATCATAGCCTAGGCAATTTATTCAATTCTCACCTCTTCCTTCCTGAAGAATGTTTTATTCCTAGTTACAAACATGAGGCACTAAACCTTAAATGAAGAAGTTTGTAAAATTCTTAGAAGAAGCTTTATATATTGATATTGATTGCTGGTATGTTTGTTGCTATTTCTGTCCATCTTTCTGATACAGTGGATCCAAGATGGACAAATAGAGGAGATTTTAGCTCTAGAAAAGATGCCAAAAGGAGGCCTAGAAAAAGGCCAACAGAAGAATCGCCCAGTAAAGAAGCCACAGAGGAGATTTTCAGCTCTAGTTAAGAGGCTGAAAGAAGGCCTAGAAAAAGCCAACAGAAGAATCACCCAGTAATGAAGCCACAAAGGAGATTTTAGCTCGATTTTAGCTCAAGTTAAGAAGCCAAGAGGACGACCTAGAAAGAACCCAACAAATGAATCTCTTGATAATTTGGATAGCAGCAACCAATCAGTCCAAGCTCTCGTTTGTTGAATACTCACAAGATTCACCTGGACTGCCTGCTATAGAAGGATTTCTCAAAACTGCCCAGATGAGGCCCAAAAAAAAAAAAAAAAAAAAAATGCAAGGTGAAAGAAACAAAAATTTTCACAAGAAAGTTATCTGCTTGTAATTCAAATCTTAAAACTACCGCACAAAGTAGAAGATTGAAAAGTAAGTCAAGGAAAGGAAGTAATTCTGATGATGTTGCATGTCCACTGTTATTGACTCGTAATGAAGATGATAACGTTTCTTTGGATATCAACTCTACTTCTTCGACTGTAAACAACCAAACGCATGAGAATTCTGGACTCGATACTGCAACGCCAGCTTCTGGTTCTGATAATGTTTCTTTGGATATCAACTCTACTTCTTCCATTCCAAAGGATGCTGATTTGCCAAGAGTTGTATTATGCCTACCTCACCTACGGAAAAAGTTGCATAGGATGCGTAATGAAGGCCTTGTAATGCATCCGAATCCAAGTTCCAGCATCGCATGGGCTATCTTGCAGTCTTGCTAGGAAATGGATCGTTGGAATTCTAAGTCGTCTTCTTCGTGTGGATTAGCGTGAGATAATATTCATAATAAGGATGAATTGACATTCTTATAATGACCGACGGTTCTACCATATTCAGATATGATTAATAGAAGGAATTGATCATTTCCAATCATGTTGAATTACAGACTGAAGAACATAAATGCTGATGATTTCTTGGAAAACTGAAAGGAGACTATTACACTTGATTGCTGGAATGTTGCTAATTGAATAGATGCAAAAATAATGTTTGTCATCCCTCTCTGCTTTGGCCCCTCAATATGCTCATAATGTAACTCGTACTATAAGTCTTCCAAATGCTAGGTGTTGTTTTTTTAGGCATAAATTAATTATCAATGTGATACTGTCTCACAATCCCCCTATCAAATGCAGATGGGATGTTCCTCTCCCCCATGCTATGAAATCCGTTCACTCTTCTTCTAACAGAGAAGACACAGATCCTCATTTTGTAGAGCTAGAGCCAGTATTCAGATGTTCAACTTCGTACCCTCATGATTACTTACTTGCTGGATGCCATGATAGAATGGTAATATGCCAATCTTCTTAGTTATTTCTGCTGTTATTAATTTATTTCTCTGCAGCAGTTTTGGGTAAAGTCTAATCATGCCATGGCCTTCATCGCCTCATTTTTAGGTTGCTTTCTGGAAATTCTCTGCAAGTGACACATCTGGTGGTAATAACTAATGAGTCTAATGACTTTCATGTTTTGGTTCTTTTTTTGCGAAGTGTGTGGATACAGTTTATCTCATGGCTCAAGGATTATTATAAATTAAATTTGGTTGGAGTTCTGATCTATATTGATTGATCAGTCCATTTTTTCCCATTGTTAATCTACAGATTCGAGACCTTTGCTTTTTTTCAGCGCAGATACAGTTCCTATTAGAGCAATCGCATGGATCCCATCTGAAAGGTTAGTGATGTCAGATGATTCAGTCTGTTGCTTTTCTAGCAGTATATTTGATTTATCTCTAACATTTTGATGCAAGTTTTTACTTTTAGTTATTAGATCTGAAGATGTATAATCCTGCTACTTTGGCAATGGCATGTCTCTTGCTTGTAAAATTTCTGTTATGTCAATAATGATCCAGAAATGTAATCTCGTGTGAAGTGCTGTTTTAGCTGTAGCTGCATGTGAAGTTTCAAAGAAATTCTACTGGCCAAAGTTTTCATTTCTTGTGCTTATAATTGAGATAAATTCTACTGAAGGCGTAACTTGGTTTCAAGTTCAAAAAACTTGGTGACTATTTCCCTTAATGCTTGCATTAAATTTTCGTAAACTTTTGTGATATAACCTTGTGAGTAGCAAGCCTCTGAAGTGGTGGAGCATAAACTTTTATGTCTAGAGTTATCACTTCCATAATCACAGCATATAAAACTTCTTTAAACAAAACATTGATACGCATTATGCAATCAGATTGATATGTTTCCACGAATTTTGCATCATTTTGATATTAGGATTTAGTGTTGAGCATCTTCATATGCCCTGATCATCTTCATCATACCTGTCATCTTTTTTGTGGCTGGACATTTTTGAGATTCCCTTCTCTAATATCCACTTGTCCTCTAGGATTAAGAAGAACTGACGAACAAGCTTTTGTGATGAGAGTGCCTCATTCTCCTCTTTCATATATATAAACATTTCCCTAATTCTATCTGGAGTGTTCAAGTGTCAAGGCTTACAGGTATTCTTGTGCTGTCATTTGCTTTATTATAAAAATAATGTAACTTGTTAATTTCTTATTCAAACTGGGGGACAAAATGAAAGGTACATATTACATTTTCTTCCCTCTAATCATCTTTCTTACAGCATTCGTGCTGCTCTCTTATATTAAGATGCTTTCTTCTACAAAACTATTACTGTCTTCATCAATTTTGATTGGCCCCGACGTATAGCAGCACCCCAACAGGCCTACGTCGATGGATGTTTTTAATAATTTATGGTTAATGCATAAATAAGGCCCCCTGGAATATCAAACCGTTCAAATTGCCTCTACAGTAGTTATTTGATCCCCTCTACCATTCTGTCTCTGTTGTTTGTAACAGATAAACCTGGTCGGAGAGGAAAAAAAAAAAAAAGAAGAAGAAGAAGTGATCCCATTTGTCACCTGACTTGAAATAACCATTAAGCCCATTACTAGTAATCCCAGATGATTGTTGTGCTGTTGATTTGAGAAGATTTTAGAACTAATGAAACGAAGTTGTAGTTTTGCAAATATGCCATTTTCATCCTCCGGTCAGGTCAACTCTGCTGGAGAAACATGGTTCGACTCTATATTCCCTACTTTTCATAAAAACTTTTACATATGCTTCTGTTAGTAAATTTTGCCTCCATTCAATTACGATTTAACAATTTCGAACCTATAATATTAAATCGTTTAATTTAAACTTCAAAAGTATTAGAAATTGAACGAATATGATCCAAATTATCAAATATTTATTATGTATAATGATCAACTAGACCAACCGTTATTTGAAATGTCAAAACAACATCATTTTGAAATTCCATCATTAATTATATTTTAAAAAAAATATAAATTTATGAAATATTTTTAACTCCCTAATCTTGAATTTTTTAGAATTTTTTTCTTATGAAATATTATAAATATTTTTAACCCCCTTAATTTTGAAATTTTTAAAAAAAATTATAAAATATTATAGACATTTTATAAAAAAATATTTTTTATATAATTTATAAAATTAGGGGGTCAACCTTTAATTATGTTCATTTTAATTTATAGAATGTTTTTTAAAAACTTGAAATTGTGTATTGTGAATTATGTTTATTATAATAACATTTTATAAAAAAATTTTAAAAAAAGTTCAAAATTATGGGATTAAAAATATTTATAAAATATTTATAATATTTTAAAAGAAAAAGTATTAAAAAATCGAGAGTAGGGGGTTAAAAATATTTTTAAAATGTTTGTTTTTGCATTTCAAATAATAGACAATCTAATTGATCGTTACGCATAATAGAGATTGGACAATTTGAATTACATTTTTTTAATCTTCAATACTTTAGGATTCAAATTATGTAATTTAATACTATAAATCTGAAATTATCAAATAGTAATACAACAAAAATAAAATTTGCCATTAAGCCCTTTTATGTCAGTGATACATAGTAGCTTAGATATTTCTTTAGTGGAATTTACAATCTATCTTCTATTGCATATAACTACAATTGGATCAATTAAATAGCTTCTTACTGTTTGTTTTGTCCTTGTTTCGATCAACTTTTTCATAATCCTATTTTTTTAATTGACAGGCTGGTTGCTATTGCTCTTTTACCGATTAAGAAAATGCATTAAGGCTCCGTTTGTTTGACTTTAAATAACTTTAAATAGGAAATCAATTCTAGAGAAGCTATTTTTTAAAAAACAAATATATATATATATATATATATATTTTTTTTTACTTTTGACAATTACATGAAAAAATTGCTGAAAAAAATATTTTCATGTTTGTTTGATATAAAAAATTGATATAGAAAAACAAGCTATGATTGTTACATCAACGAGTTTTGAGGAAACTTCAACAAGACATATTCACAATTTCATAATATAAGATGCATTTAGAAAATTTAATAATTTTTTATAAATACTGACTCTAAGATTTAAATTTAAAAAATAAAATATATATTTTTAACCATCCAACCAATTCATCAAAACTACTTGAGACAAAATCAAGTCAATATTCACATTCAGTAAAAAAAATTTAAGTAATCCTAGCATTTTTATTTTGGTAATTCAATTAAGAATTTTTTTTTTAATTGAATTGATAATTTAATTAAAAAATAATTTTATAAATTATTAGTTATCATTTGTAGATAATTATTCATTTGGTTTCAAATGATTAATATTAGAATAAATTGTAACTAATTATTGACTACAATTACCAACAGAATTTTACAACTAATTAAAATTAGTAACAAATTATTGATTTAGTTGCAAATGAATAGTATTGAAAAAATAATATATTTATTAATGAATTAATTAGTTTCAAATTTTTCAAAAATGATTGCAGCTTTATAATAACAATTTCTTATCATTTAAGTATAGTTTAGGTGGTGTTTAGGATAATGGTAAAAAAAATAGAGATAAATTATTGAAATATTTATTATAAAAATAATTTTAAGATGTAAAAATGATTTTTAAGAATATTTAATGTATTAATAAATCGAAAAATCAAATGTTAGTAGAAATAGAGAAAAAATAATTAAATAATTAATAATAATTGATAAGAAATTATTAAAAATTAATTTGATATAATTTAAATAAAAAGAAGACAAAAAAAATTATTAAAATATATCGAGAGAGAGATAAGTAACGCGAGAGAAAGACGACTCGTAAGAGAGAGGAAAAATGTTTCTCTCTTTTTTAACTCGGAAAACACTTTCTCAAAAATATTCTATTATTTTTTGTTGACTTTTTTCTTAAACGCGAAACAAACATTGAAAAATAAAAAAAATAAAGAGAAAATAAGTTCTTGAAATTTATTTTCTTCCAAACAAACACAACCTAAATATTATCAATTCAGGCACTTTTTATTGTACTTACTATATTGTCTTTTAAAATCAAATGTAATTGAACAAAAAAATATATATGTAAACTCAATTTCTAAAGAGGTGTAAAATAGTAAAATTTGCTACTTAATTATGTGAACTTTTGATCTCTACATACATTTAGGAGATCTAAATAAGAAAAGGAGGTAGTATTTTCTCGTACGTGGTACACTTCTACGTGACATCCATGTGACATCATATCATCATTCTATGTGTCATGCAGGGGCCTAAGCTCTTGCACTTGTTAATGCTTAAGAAACCATGTTTACGATGAATTTTAGTAACAAATACCATATTGATCGAATAGAATATATGGGATTTAGCAATAAAATAGAGATGATTTAGCGATGATTTATCAACGATAGATAAAATTTTATTGCTATTTGAGGTGCCAAAATCTTTTTGATGTTTTAGCAAAAGGTTAACGACAAAATGACTACGAAATCAACAATGGGTCATTATTTTCGTCATTATTTTTAATGTTTTGTTTTAACGATAGAAGATCCATTGTTAAAGTACGAAATTCCTCACTTATTCTAAAAAATAGGTAGCCATTTGGAATTAAAAAGCTACCCATTTAACGATGGCTTAACGACGGATCAATAATGAGATTGCATTCTAAAAAAAATAGGGGACCTTTTGAAATTAAAAAGCCGCCCATTTAACGATGACTTATTGTTTGTCGCTCACTAGAGACGGTTTAGCGACGAAATCATGTTCGTCGTTTGTCCGAATCCCTAATTAAATCTCATTTTCCTTTTTTCTTCCCCCATTTTTTTCTTTCCTTCCTTCTCCTCCTCTAACTACCGGTGCTTCCCCCACCCAAAACCACCATAAAACTCTACTCCTCGGCTCCCCATCAGTCCACACCCACTCCAAATTCTTTTCTTCCAAAAAACCTCATTTTTCTTTCCTTCATTTCGGTTCGAATTAGGTAAGTTCTCTCTCTCTCATTTCTTAAAAGTTAATTTTTTTTTCTATTTCTTAAAACAAAAAATTTTAAAAAAAAATAAAAAGAACAAAAATAATTAAATGACAAGAAATTTAAAAATATATGGACTAAATAATTAATTTTTAAAACAAAAAAAACTAATTAATTCATTTATTGGAACTAGAAGGACTAATTTATAATTTATTCACCGAACTTATAACCAAAAGCTATGGGAAAAAAATAAAGGAGACCTAGAAGAAGAACCGAATTATTGAGACAGCTTGACTAATTATGATTAAGTTGACCACCTTAAATCTAAGTGAAGTTAAATTAGCCCTAAAATAAGATTATGAGTAATAATTGTCATCAATAAAAAGAAATCCATCGTTGATATGGTCTGCAAGTCGCCTTACGCTCTCTTATATATGATGCTATTTTGTAGTGGACAAACATTGAAGGTAATAATTAGTGCAAACCAACAAAAAATATTAACAAAGTAACTCACTATTTACCGGTTGATAACAAGTTCAATGTTCATAGTTGATTTATGGCTAAAAGAATCTAACCATTTTAAGTCATTTGAAATTGAGTTTTTAAATTTTTTTTATTGGTTTTGAAGATTGCTAAACTTTTAATTTTTTTAGATTTAATCCATTTAATGATTTTTAGTTATTATCTTTTCTTTTAATCCAATTCTTGTTATTTTGAATCAAAATTTTACACACGGGTTGAAAAAAAAATTATCTATTTTGTTGAAAAGTTTCAAAATTTTTCAAAATAAAAAACTATATTTGTTTATTTTTTGAACATTAATATATATATATATATATATATATAGAAAATAACCTCAAAATTATCTTTTTTAAAAAAAAATCCACGTAAATCTCACTAAATGATTTTTAACGTAAAACTATTAATGTGATTGTTATTTTTTAAAATAAATGATAAAAAAAAAAACTAAAAACTTAGTTAACTCTGAAAAAATTAAAAATCTCAAAAACCAATAAAAAATTTTAGAAACTCAATTTGGAATGACTTAAAATTAAAAAAATAATAATAATAATTAGATTCTTTTATCCTTGATATATACTAGATGAAAACATCAATGTCACAACTCACCCACTTATGCTTCTTCAAAACAAGGAAATTATACAACAACATGAATGTTCACTTTTTGGTTTCTAGTTATAGATGAATGTCTATGAGTAAATTTATGACTTGGAAACAAATTATGGCAAATTGACAATCTTATGAGTTTACAAAACTAGTTACTTGTCTGCTTTGGTCAACACGTGACATGTTTAGGGCCCTATCAAGCAATGGTCATCATACCCTTCATAAATTTTCAGGGATTGATGGATGCTCTGTGGCCATAATATCAATGTCCATAATTCAATGAGGCCCAACCTTTCTTTTTGGTACCGGCCGAATAATGTCCTTGGCCTTAAAGCTTGTGAAATGAAATAGACAATCATGGGGTCATTAGGCATGAAACAAGATTCAAAGACAAAATAAGGACTTTGTTTCTTTCAACCCAAGTATTTCCATCAAAAGGTTTTACCAACAAAAGCATAAGTTTTGCTTTATTGATTATTAATTTGTTTTTTTGCCCCATTAACGATGTGATCAGGGGGCAAAAAAAAAAAGTACAGTTATTGTTAAACATCAAGAAAAAAATAATAAGAAAAACCTTCAACAACACATACGTACAGATAGTTGGATTAATGGGATCCATAATTAGATTCACTTTGAAATCATGATTTAATGACTTATAATTTTTTTTATTTTATTGTTGTTTTTGTTTTATTTTAATATTTAGTAGTTTTGAAAAAGTATCTATCAAAACAAAAGGAAATTTTGCTCACCCAGATGGCCAGAAGAGCTACTGCATGTTATTACTCTCTTCATTTTCATTAATGAGATTCGATCCCATTAAAAAGTGAGAAAACAGGTTAGGGTAAACAGAGAAACAGGGAGATGTGAAATTAAGAGAGGAATGTCAATGTTAAAAGCAAGTTTTATATGGGCTCTATAAGCATCATTAGCCATTAAAAAGGGTAGCACATGATGAGAAATTTCATGTAGCTGTTATTTTCCAATAATTATAGGAGCAAGACTTTGACCATGGGGCAAAAAAAAGAACAAAAATGATGTGTATATATATATAGAGAGAGAGAGAGAGAGAGAGACCATATATATTTGCTTGCATAGCAATATATTCTTTGCCCTAATCATGTCGCATGTACTCATAATTAACCAAATTGTCCATTTAAAGGATTTGATCTGTCTTTGCTTCTTGCCATACAAGGTGATGCCACCCCGTTACCATTTTGCACAAAACCACCTAAATCTTTCAGACTTTGAGAAGTGGGGGGTCTAAAGCTTTATGATTTTTTTTTTTCTTTGTTTTGAAGAAAAGAGTGTAAACCAATTAAATGAGAAATAAATGCATATTTTTGTAAGAAGAAAGAAGAGAAAAATAGAAACCAGAAGGATCCGTTGTGTATTAGAGTCATCAAGCGTATTTGTGTGCTTCAATAGTGCTTATTAATGCATATGGAGTAATCAAATTTACTTCTGTGTACACGCTTGTTCTAGCCAAAATGTCCACATCGAAATAAATTTGGATTTGACATCCATGATAAAGACATCTTCCTTATATTGCAAATAATTATTTCTTTACCTCGTTCTCATAATTTGACCTACCTATCCATCTATTGATCTCCATTTTTATAATATTAAATCTTGCTACCACTAAGGCTACGTACCAAGAAAATCCTCCATTAATGAAGAATATCTATTCCAAGTAATAATGTGTCTTAAGATACGATAAGTGAAAAAAAAAAAAAAAAAGGCGGTGGTCTGCTTATGGTGCTAGATAACCAAAAGATGATCGATTAAATTATGAAAGAATAAAAAACATTATTGCATGTTTGGTGCACGAACTTTTCAAATTTTTATTTTTTTTATTTGATAGGTGAATTTATAGATTTTTTTAAAAAAAATCAAATGTGTTTATTAAATTCATGATCAATATATCATTATACTGGCTTTTCTGTCATTTGAGCATGAATATTTTTACTTTATTTCTAATTGAACGTTTACATTTTTATTTTTTTTAAGTTAAGTATGTGTATTTTATTTTTTTATTTCAATGTCTATACTTTTTTAAAAAATATCAATGAGTGCTATTTATTTTAAATCTAATTAATATCTTTTATGCAATCTTATACATGTCATATTTTGACCAAGTTAACTAAAATTAAAAGAGTTTTTTTTTTCACATTTGAATCTCTATTTTTTTTTATTAAGATCCTTTATTTTTTTATACTTAATTGAAATCTTCTATTTTTCGAGATTTTTTACTTTAAACATCTTGTTATAACATCATTAATCAATGATCGACAAACTACGTCTACTCTTCGATATTTCTTAATTTATAATATCACGTATCGATCATTAATTAGTGGCATTATATTATTAGGTCTGAAGCAAAAAATTTCGAAGAGTAAAAAATTTGGATCAAGTCAAAACAGAATGAAGAGTTTTAATAAAAAAAATCAAAGAATATAAAGTTTTAATGGGGATAAAATTAAAAATTAAAACATATAAAACAAATGAAAAATTTTTGAAATTAAAAGAACATATAAAAAAAAATTTTGGGTCACGAAATTTATAAAGTTGTATAAAAAAAATCAGCTATATTTTATGATAAAAAATTTGTTAAGTTTTTTATCTTTTAAAATTAGTGGTGAATTTGTTTGTTTTGTGAGACAATAGAGAAAACGATTATTCTGAATCTTTTTTTTCCTACAAATCATATTTTATTTTTATTTTATTTTAAATTGAATAAATTGTTATTATTGTTTATTGTTTTAATTTTTAATTTTATTTAACTTGGTCAAACTATAGCTTATATAAGATGGCAAAATGGATATACTTTAGATTTTAAAATTATTAACAATTATAAAAAAAATTCAAAATACATACATTTAAATAAAAATATATATATTCAAAAAAAATACAAACACTCGATTAGAAATAAATTAAAATATTTTTATTAATTGCATGACAGATAAGGCAAGTACTGGTGCATCAATTTAACATCTTTATCGGTATGAATATAATATAAATAATTAATTAGAAAAGTTTTAAAAGTTTACATACCCAAATAAAAATTAAAACACTCGAATTGAAAAAATTAGCACATCAAATATTTAATAATGTCAAAGAATATATTTTAATTTTTTTTACTTTTTACCTTTTGTGACGAGATTAAAGATATCATAAGTTGCAAGTATGGCATCAAGATTTATGGGTGAACTCTCTGTCCATGACTTCCATATACCCATCCTTCTGCCCAAAAAGAAATAAAAAGTGGCAAAAAACATCATCATTTGCATTAAGAAAGCGATCACTGCATACATTCTGATATTCACTCCCCACCTCTTTATGTCCCACCCAGCTCTAGTGTCTTAATCATTTATATTTGATATTTTCTGTTGGTATAATTTTTTTTTTTTTTTGAAAAAAAACATAAAAATTAATAATTTGAGAGAATATAGGATTTAAATCATCTTTTCTTATTATAAAAGCATATTTTGGTATACACTTGGAGGAAATTGTATCCCCTTCTTTTTCTTTTTTCTTTTTTTTTTGTTTTTTTTGTTTTTGTTTTTTTAACCTCCTGGAGTCGAGTGCAGAACAAATTTTAAATTCAATTATGTATAGAATGGGCCCACATTGACATACTAATTGGGCAATTTCTGTATCTTTTTTTATAGCAAATTATGTAGCCATGTAATTAATTATGCCATTAGTTGACTAAGTTTTTTGATAAATTAAATACCAGTTTATTCCTTGCCTTTTTTGACTTTATTAGTGGTTTGAAGTTCCAATATATACTCAAAAGGGCAGTAGACTAAAGGAGAAAGGATTTGTATTTGTAGAAAAATAGTCACACTTTTGGATTTGGGTCAAAAAAATTTATATAAAATTATCATTATTATCTTTTTGTGGCAAAGGCAAGTAGCTAGCTCGATTTGGGTGGCTACATAACCTTTTTTATTTGAGCATATACGCAAGTTGATCATTAATACCACAAATGTTGCTCTCTAAAAAAGAAAAGAAAAGAAAAAAAATCATACCACAATGTTGAAATTAGGATATTCTTACGTCCTAGTAGACACTAGGCAGGACACTTGCTTTCTCTAGCAAAACAAAAGTCTAAGAAAATGATTAAATGTCATGACTCGAAGATAGACAAGCTAAAGACTGGAGGAAGAGACATTGGAAAGCTTTCACTTTCGGGTTAGGAAATTGAACCTCTCTCTGTCTTTCTCTCTATCTTTCTCTCCCACCTCTCTCTTTTTTGCTTAATCCTGCAGAGCTTTTCTCAGCAGAAAATTAGGCTCTGAAATCGGTAAACAAAAATAAGTTGCCAATAACACCCTCTTCAGTCTTGGGTTTGAAACCGATGCTGTTTCTATTTTAATACCGAGGCAGCATATCCCATGCATTTTGACCCTCACCCCACATTGACCTGCCTCTTCTTCAAACCCTACTAGGCTTCTTCTAAACAAAAAACCAAAAAGTTTCTTGATATTAGGACCCAAAAAGAGGAGCAAAACAAAAAACAAGGGTAATCCCCATCTCCAGTCATCTCTCACTGCACCTCCTGCTTACAGTACAGCTTACAAGACAGAATTCTAGTTATTGTTCAATTTCCATGCCATGAAGTGGGTTGCAAGGAAGAAAGAAATGGGGGTTCTAAGAAGAGAGCTGGCTGGCTTATCTCCTCTTCTTCTGCTTCTTCTTCTGTTGATAATGTCACAGTTAGAGACTCCATGTTATGCTGTTGGGTATGGAAAGTTTAGTAGCTTCAAAGGTGGGTCTAGTTCTGAGCCGAAGAACAATCTTGCCAAGTCTAATAATATCGGTGCTGGCTTCAAAAGAAATGCAGATAAAGATGGTAATGAAATTTTTGGTGCTGAAAAGAGGAAAGTCTATACAGGACCAAATCCTCTACACAACAGATAAGTTACTACAGCCAGTCACCAAGCTTGAATCCTGTTTCAGTTATATATGAGACTTTTTTTCTTTGTTTCCTTTCTTTGCTTTCCTTCTTCTTCTTTTATCTTATCCCGGCCCCTTTTATGAACATTTTTTATGCTTGAAGCTTTTGCTGGAATCTCCACAGTAAATGTTTCAGGCGGTCTTACAGATGTAAATGAGAGTTTAGGTTTGAGATTTTGGCTGAGGACATATACTTATATTTGTTAAAATTATAGAGGAAGAAATTAATACTAGTGCTTTCAAGTATTACTCATGAAATATCAATGCCCATTAATGGAGTTATAAATTCTGATCTGCTTTATAGATTTGCTGTTGGTTGGTGGCCATTAGTTCTGTTCTTACTTCTGCTGAAAAAAGAAAACAACTGTTTAGCAGCTGCAGTGGGCTAACAATACTTTATTTACACTGTTCTAAAATAGAAATTTGTGTGCACAATAGGAAATTATCAATAAGATTTGCATGTGATTCTCAAAAACAATAAACAAATCAGGTTTGCATGTGCATGACCATGCACATAATGTATGCTCTAGAACTTGAAACAGTGAAGGTGGATCCTAATGCACAGTACAAGCATTTATGACTCATATGACATGCCTGCACTAATGGCCATTTTTCTGAATTATTTCATCTTGGCTGGAAACCCCAGAGGAAATAGCAGGACTGTGAGCCTTAACTTCCTTTGGAATTTTTATCAGAGATGGTTAATCATAGAGTACAATAGGGTAAGATTGAAATGTCTATAACATCCAATCATCTTCAATTTCTTTGTCTTGAATAATTATGTGGGAGACCCCACCTTAAGTTTTGGTGTTGATTCCCTCTATGCCAGCCATATGTCCACTATGTTCTAATGGGGATTTTACCAATCTCATTTATTACCCTTTCTTCTTTCTGAGTGCATCTCAGCAAGGGCCACAAAAAATAAAAAATCTCACCCATTTCTATTCCTGTTTAACTTATTTTATGTGTAACAGTTTGTCATTTCCTTTGATTTTCGAGTTCTCATAATGCTAGAGTAATTTCCTGTTTAGCTTACTTGTAGCATGAGGAGGATTTAGAGATAATCCTATACACTAATTTTTTTACAGTGGCATGTTCAAGACTTTTACCATTACATCGAAACAAAAGGCTCCAATTTCCAACAACAATACAGTACAGCAACCAACACTTCACTTGTAGCTAAATGGGAGTGATCTATTACAATAACGGTCACGAATTTCAAATCCTAATAGATTAGTTTTGTTAAAAACGTTAGATGTGTGTGTAAAATATATTTATCACAGCAATTAAAGGAGTATACAATGCATAAACCCTATTATATTTCCCAGGGAGAAAGAAAATCGATTTTTAATTTAACAATTTTGTGTAAAAGACCAAAATCACTCCATCCATGAGCATCAAAACAAATATGGGTTTCGGAAAAGAATTTGCCAAGTACTAGTTTTTTTTGGATGGGTGGATGGAGAAGGGATAAGGAAGGATGCAAATTACCAAGCACTAATCTGAATGCAAAGTGATTTAGTTGGTGCAACTTGCAAGATTCCAATCACAATTACATTGAGAAGAAAATAGAAAGGGGAACCAAAAAGTAGAAGAATTAAAGGAAAAGTTAGAAAAGGTTGGCTTATAAGAGACCTAGAAGATGAAAAGTAAGAGCATTTTTCAAAACGGGAAGTGAAAAGAGAGAGGTACTAATTGACATTGGTATATGATATATACATGACAAAGAATGGATGGGAAGATCTATCCATTACATCATCATATATGAAATTTTTTGCTTGGGGCTACATAGTTTTATTTATTTATTTATTTCTCCACTTTTGTTGTCTATGATTATGAAGTGGAGATAAATCCAAAAGCAGGACCCCATTTACGAACGAGGGGTCAAGACAAAAAAAAAAGTATAGGGACCGAAAAGGAATAACAATTTAATATATTAATTATAATTCCAAAAAGAAATTAAAATCTTAAAGTAGAAGATGAAAATAACTAAATGGTAGTCCAGCTTCATGACAAGGAACTTCGTACATTTTACTGTCCATGTAGTGCCATAATGTATAAACCAAGTCTTTTCTAAGCCATAACGGTATCGTATTTTAAACAGACCATCTATGTCAGAACTGATACATATATTATGAAGTTATTTCTTAGACAAGACTAGATTTTTTTACAAGCTGTAAATCAAATAAAATACATAAAATTATTTAAAAATATATATTTTATTTTGATATCTCATTTTATATTATGTATCTATTAAAATGTATCAAATTTTATATTTGACTGATTATTCTTTATATTTTTTAAAATTTTTTTATCAAAAAATTATTTAATAGTATACAAATGTCAAAACCAATGGATCCTGAGCTAAAAATTTATTTGTAATTTTTTTAAAATATTTTTTTGTCTTAAATTTTTTTATTAAAAAAATCAGAAAATAAAAGAATTAAAATGACCAAAATGAAACAAAAAAAAGAATCGAAACCAAATAAAAAATTTACCGATTGAAAAAACCATATTTAAAAAAAGAAGAAGCAAACTATAATGTTACGAAAACTTTCATAATAAATATATTTAAAAATATTTAAAAACTACAAATTATATAGTAAAATAAGTTTAGATAAATAGTATTCTAAATAGTGAATAAATATTAAAATCAATAATTTTACTTTAGTTTTATTGATAATTTATGGGAATTTAGGAGCAAACCTTATACTTCTCGTTGGAGCCAACCCCTGTAGGGTAATGGACAAACTGTAGAAGGATCTCCTCTCCGTGACATCGGTAAATGGAGACCTAGAATTTGACTAGAACATGGGCTTTTCTTATGGTACAGTTATAAAGTGTAAAGCTAGAAAACATAAAGTGCTCAATGAAGTCCTTAAGAGCCATGCCATGGTCTCGCATTGGTAAGGTCCAAAAGTGACCAAATAACACAGTACACTTGAAAACCGATCTCAAGAAGCAGACAAGCACCATAACATCTCTGTCCAGAGTCCAGAGACCCGTAACGAAATATTGAATTTGATTTGGACAGAACACAGCTCAACAACAGAAGGGGAAAAAAAATTTAAGATATAAGTAATTTTCTAAGATTATTTTTCTTGTTGAACATTCAACAGTTACATACTTTTCAAAGTTCTAACTTCTAGGAAGAAAAACCCTAACCAAACATGTCCTTTGAGGCATTTGAAAGGACCCAATTTGGCAAAAGTCCATAGCCACGATGCTGGGATATTTACCACAATCCTCCAACCACCAAATACCAACAAATCACTCACAGTCACGGGTATTTTTGAAGGAAAATTCCAGAGGTATGAGCTATGCAAAAAAAAAAAAAAAAAAAACCACAAACTGTTTGGCAAATTATTATCGCAAACATGACATTTCAAACTTCACTGCAATGAAGAGAACTTGACAATACACATTCTATCATCTGAATCAAATGCACTTTCCTCTGTAATTAGTTCGTGTGAAATGAAAGTTGTCCTTGTTTTCTCTTTTACATCTTCCTTTCCAACCTCAAATCGAGGAGCTTTACAACAATAACTCGTCCCTTTCCAGTTATTCATTGTCTTGCTTTCTTTTGAAGGCAAGAATATATCAAAGTTTAATAGTTTGACAATGTGATGTGAGAAGCTGGAAGAATATTGCCCCAACTTCAAAATGATAAAAAGAAGATTTTGCTGGTCCACCAGCTTGAAAGATCTTACTTGGCGATGCTCCTGTTAGGTGAAGTGAGGGTCTTGAAAGAGCTTAACAGCGCTGTTCTTATCAGCCAAGGTAAGAGCCTTGATGGGAACGAGACATGCTGACAATAATACACCCAAGCATCAGGAACTTTGTTATTCGGATGGCTTATGCCAGAAAGTATTTTAAAAGAATATTCATAAAGTGACTAATGAGATTGTATGTGACTAATGACCCCTGTACAGCTATAATAAAGTGTGCAGCAGTTTTGAGTGATTGACACGCACATACCTGACCTAGTGTAGATACATGAATATCATATATGCTTCAAATATTAGATAATTGACTTATTTCTATTGCAAAATGATAATAGGAAAATTGAAGGATTTGTGGCACGATCCTGAACTTTGGCCAAAGATCTCTGGGATGTTTTAAAAGAACTGGCTCGGTGGTACCGGACTAAGATTTGTTACAAAGGGCTCACACCTTGTAACCTAGCTTAAGCAAGCCCAAATATCAACCATATATAATCCTTGATGTGTGTGCTCCTAATTCCTCATCAAATCCAGAAACACTGTCATCTATCATTTGCAAAAACTCTTGCGAGTAGTCATTACGCTATTAGAGCTCCTCAGAGTTTCCTTATCGAAACTACACCTTTCCCACTATAAATATAACCTCATTTCTCTAATAAGAAAATGAGTTCACAACACACATTAGATCTCTCTCCCAATTAGCATCCTCCTAAGACATCGTCTTCCAAACCAAAACACCTCTCCACACTTGCAATCTTCCATTCTCACCAAATATCTCCAGGCCTCCTCCCTACCAAAAGTTTGGGTTCCCTGGTATCGCCTAGCCCTCCTTCCACTCATTCTATTCCATCAATTGAGTTGCTTGTATGTAATGCTACCTTCTTTCATATAAAGAACCTGCATTAACACCTAGCATTTGATAACTTGAACTGTGTAGTTGATGTGCAGTTGAACATTGCTATCGTGGGAGTAAAAATTCTCACTTTATTTTCTTATACATGTTTGTTCTCATTTACCAAGGCTATACTTGCTCTTAGTTTTTTCTCAGCTAGATGAAACATTATCTAACAAGTAGAATTTCCTCGCTAGCCCTCCATTTTCGTTTTGAATTCATCCATGTCATGCACTGTATAAAATCAAGCTTCTTTTACAGTAAATGAAAGGTCATCAATATTCATAATTACACTCATAATTACACTGTCTATTGCTGTTGCACAGACTGAGCAGTTCAATTTCTTTTAGTGAAACTAACTTCATACAGGCCGCATGATAGAAAATGTAGCTACGTCAAATGCTTTTTCCACGATTTATATCACTATGCTGAATTACAATAAGGGAGCAACATTTTGATCTATCTAGTCCCAACACATGCAATCTGCTGGCATAGAGTTGTATAATAACAGCAGTACTACTTATATCACAAAAGCACAAAGGCTTACAGGATGAAAATTACTTTATCTTCCATGACAAAATTTCATTTAAGTATGATCTTTGGATCAACTGCAAGAAATGGCGGTCTATGTAAGATGTTGTGCTTGTGCATGTGCATGTTTAGGGAACAAGAGAGGTTGCACACAAGTAGTCACAAAAAGTAATGAAAGCTCCAGTACCTTAAAGCTTGGAGGCTTTAGCAGTGATTTTGGTTAAGGCAATTGCTGTTTTCGAACCAGAAGGGCGTCCCAAATGCTTGCAGATGAAATTCCCTGCCAACATGATCTTTTGTAGATCCACATTGGTCTTGACCCCTAGACCATTGAGCATGTAAACAACATCTTCAGTAGCAACATTTCCAGAAGCACCTTTAGCATACGGGCAACCCCCCAGACCTGAAACTGATGAATCAACTGTGCTGATCCCCATCTGGCAAAAGAACATACACTTTGTAAAGATACAATTAGTTGAAGGTGTAAAATTTTGGCTCGATACACCACAGTGTTTATGATTTGTTGGACTCAGAACAATCTAAAAAAGAAGAAACTGGATGATTCATTGTCCCCCATATCCTTGGGGAAACAGATTGGATGGTATACCCAAAGCTACAAGGCTTTTTTTTTTCCTGTACTGAGTTATTAACATAAGTTACATAACCATTGAATAAAACTTGGACAGTCCTTTCCTTTTAACATTAACGAAGGTGAAAGAAGAAAAGTTACTTACTTGAAGTGATGCTAGAATATTTGAAAGAGCTTGCCCATAAGTATCGTGAAAGTGGACAGCAAGCTTTTCAAGAGGGACAACATCAATAACAGCTTCGAGCATTGAGATGATAGTGCCTAAACCAAGGAAAGGTAAAATAACTTAACACCTAAACCATCTTACACAGAAAATGATAAAAGAAACATCAAAACCAAAGCCTCAAATGAGACTATAAGCATGGTTATAATGAGAAATTATAGAAAAAATAAGTGGTTTTTGCTACGTACAGCATTCATATAGGTGCAAAACCCCCTATTCATGATAATTAGGTTTCAACAAATTATCACACTGCAGATACTAGTTAAACAAGTGATATAATTAAATTAATCATCTTTAATTATGAACAGAAGGCAACTTGACATTACCAGGAGTACCAACTCCAATTGTATCACCAAGAGAAATTTCATAGCAACCCATGTCACAAAGCTTTTTGGCCACATATGCAACTTTAGACGGAGAAACCATTCCTTCAACAGGACACCCCACAACACACGATATATAGCTGCCAAGATCAAAAGGTAATTATTTTGTCAAACTACCAAATTATTTACATAAAGTGGCATACATTTTTTGAGACCTCATGTCAAGGAAACCAAATGAGGGTGGGCCCGCATTATGCCAGCTCTATTGCAAACCAGGCATTCTGGTTCAAAACACAGAGGGAAAGTTGCATGGGATGTTGTTCACCTAATACCCATGATAAAATGCATGAGCCTTAGGTACCGGCCTACTCTTCCTAATATTGTAGGGTATATGTACTGAATATTTGCGGTAATAATTGTGTTTGGATGTCAAACATGAGATCCCTTGGATATAAAGTTTCCTTGATGATATGAAACTACGAACATCTCATTCATGGTTTCAAGGGGAAAAGGCGGACAAATAGAGCAGTTACATATCAGTATAGGACAGAAGACTGAGCTATCTAAGTTTTTGAGTTCAGTAAGATGTCAATGCTAACAATCTTTATTGACATATAATCTGAATTGTCCCCCTGAAAGAGCTCTCAAAGTATTACTAAATATTGGCCACATAGATCATCTTCAACTACCTTTTTATGCTATTTACAATGTCAATTTCAATACAACTATAGGCATAAAAGATTAAGTGTTGTGGATCAGCAGTATAGGAGAAGGCAGCAGCGCAAGGAGGGAAACTATGATCTTGCAGATATTTATTTATTGCTTTTATTTATTATTTATTAAGAATAAGTCAGATTAGGAAAAAGATATGAGTCCTAATTGGTGTGGTATTTTAATTAAGACTTTCTATGTTAGTGTGAGTCTGTTTCAGCAATAGCCTATTAGGTTTGTCTTTGTTTTTCAGCCACCTCTACTATATAAAGAGCGGATGCTTTCTGAATAAAGGTATCGAATAATTCAGTCAAGAAAAACCTAGGAGAGTTGGTGGTCTCTAAAACAAACCATCCATTGTTATCTGTTCACAATAGGTTCTTCACGGAAGAATGGAAACGTGAACAAGGGAAAGCTAATTGATTTCCCCGTTAATCGACCCTTAACGAGATCCTTAACTCGGGACTATAACATTAAGCCACATTTTCTTCTCAATTAAAAGCGAATGCAGTTTCCTGATTTTTCCTCCAAAGTTTTTCTTCAATCACAATTGTGCAAGCATTCTGGCTTCCAAAGCCAAAGGTGAACAATCTGTTCATTTTCAGAGAAGATAATCTCCATTTTTCCCTTGAAGGGCTGGCCAAAAAGACAGGAAAAGGTCACAGCCCTCTTCTATAGTTGGCACTTCTAGAGCCTACAACTTGTCATTTGGTCACACAGAATGATATAATATCTTGAATCCTTTATTAAGAAAATGAAAGATTCCTATGAGTCTATAGTATGACAATTTGTCATCTACTGACAAAGCAAACCAAAAGATATTACAAACCAAAATCACCTTAATGTATGTCAGAAAATCCTACAGATGAGGATCCTTTTAAATGCCACATATCATGTTATTTTAATGTTTTACTCATGAATATATTTTCAACAAGAATGAATGCCTTCTTCAAGCACGTCTATAATAGGATATCAGAAAATATGGGGTGGGGTTGAGATTATTAAACTCAGATTAACCACTGGTTCACTAAATTTGTTCTAAATTGAACAAAATGCAGCAATTCTCTTCTTGATGGACAAGAAAAGAATTAACTGTGTATTTAGTGCAAGTTCGAAAACATACCCACGTACAGGAATTGAAAGCTTGCTGGCAGAAAGGGCCACTTCATGAAAACGAACAAGACTATCTTCAATGCTGCAATTAATGTTTGATTTTGAGAAACCCTCTGAAGCAGAGGCAAAGACAGCCACTTCCTTGGCTCCAGCTGCAACAGCTGCTTCAAAGCCCTAGAAAAATGTAGTGCAAACTATCAGCAACTCTCATCACACAAGTTGTAAGAAGTTTATGATGGCATTGGCTTGTACTTAAGGCAGCTCACTTTTAGATTAGGAGTTAAAACTGGAAATCGAGCACCTTGAAAATCTCTGATTGCTTCCATTACATCCTTTGCATCTGCTAGCTGTATACCAACCATAAAGTAGTTTAAAAAACATAACAATAGACTTTGTTTGGAGGAAAGCTCCCTTCAAAGAAAGAGAAGACAGGTGTTATTTAAAAAAGCTATGAATAAACCATCAAAATTGATCAAATGCACAAGTTTCCATATATATTAAAATTACTCAAATCCAAGAAAAGGCTGGAGCAGTTTTATTCTGTTAAATAAGAAAATAAAAATTTGTATGATGATACAAAGAAGAAAAGAACAACAATAATACAAAGTGTGAATTTGAGAAAAGTTTCATTCTTTCTCATTATAACCAATTGTCATGCACCTGCGGTACCCATTTTGGGGAAACAAAACTCGTGGCCTCGACAACAGGCAACCCTGAAGAAGCAAGCATTTTGATCAGCTCAATCTTTACAGTAGTAGGTACAGTATCCTTCTCGTTTTGCAATCCATCCCTTGGACCAACTTCCACTATCTTCACATATTCTGGAATGCTGCTAAAAAGCTGTAGTGTAGGCAACAAAACCCCTTGTGAAGTAGATAACAACCAAGTTTAAATTTTAAACGCATCCCGAAATATGAAAATAGAAAAGTAAATCACATTGTGTAATCGCTAACTTAGACTACAGCTGTTCAGGTTTCATTCTCATGCAGCTCACTTAATGAAGGAATATTCCTATAGAAGGAGATGATGCTGATCCTACGACTCCATTCATCCCTCTATCGTAATGACACTGTTAAGCTAATATATATAGCATAAAGGAAGAAGTTCAAAAGATAGCGGATCCACCTTATTTGTCGATTCCCTTCTGAATTTGTCATTGTAATATGCGCTAAAATGACGACCTGACAAGCTCAAAGCGTGATGACCGTTATCAATTTCCATAGAGTTCCAACCCAAAATTGAACGTGAGTGATTCGAGAAACCCCCTTGAGACATTCTTCTTTGTCCACTCCGACGGACTGCCTCTCTTGTATCACTACGAGACGCAGAGAAAAGAAAAACACATCGACTCTAATAATTTGTATCACACTCAAAACAACCACACCAATTAAGCAAAGTCTTGCACGTGTAAGTTTATCATAAAATAGCCAAAAAAAATCCAAACTTTAAGCCATTCCTGCATCACTTTCTCCTTTAAGAAAAATATAAAATAAAACCTTCTCACAACAATCCCAAATAGTTAAATAAATTAAACAAATAAAACCAATCTCCACAAGCAATTTGGGGCTCGAGCTACACAGAAATAGAACCAAAAAGAACCAAGAAAACAAAAGAAAAATTGCCAAACACATTACATCATAAACAACAGAACCAAATAGCTTGAATAACAAACAAAAAATAAATAAAGGCTCTTACTTTACACCTTTTAAAAATGAGTTCGAAGGTGCCATATCATTTGTTGCTGTCTCAGCTGAAATAGGTTTCAGTGGAACGAGATTACGATGATGTAATAAACTGCAACGCCGAGAAAACTTGGAGACAGTCTTTGTGGTTATCATGGGATAAATCAAGAGGCTTAAAAATATGCTAGAAATGATCACAAAAGAAAATTATATCGAAATGGGTTTTTCAAATTAGTATTGGTAATGAAATATTTAGCTGAAATCAGTCAAGTTTGAGTGATTTCGATTGAGAAGGGATCCAGGAGAGGAAGCAAGTTGATTAGTTGCAAAGCGCGAGAGATAAGAATAGAGAGAAGGGTCCATTGCAACTTGCAAGGGAGTCCGTTTTAGGATTGGCCATGTGTAGGAAGTGGAGAAAATTATAAAGTAGTCCCTCTAGTTTTTAGTAATAATTAAATAGTCTCTTTTATTTCAAAACTTATCATGTAGCCCCTTGATCTATGTTGATCATAATAAATTTACTAATATTTTATTTCAAAATATCTTATTTTCTTATCAATTTTTTTAATTTTTTAATTATTTTTTATTTAGTAAAAAATTTTAAAAATTGTAAATAGATTTAAAAATATAGGATATTGGCTAGAGTAGTCGCCAATAATGATTGGATAGTGACAACACGTGTAGTACACATACGAGGGTATTTTGATAATTAAATATGAGTATTTTGGTCATTTTACAACTAATCGGTGGCATTTCGATCATTTAATAACAATCTCTTTAATGCTTCAATGGGTAATTGCTCTTTTTTTCTAGCTAACTAAATAATCAATTCTTATCGGGGATAAAAAGAATGAACCGACCCCAAAACGAATTTTTGATAGTTTCAATATCTTTCGACTTGTTTTAGGTAACATTTAAAAATTTATATTTATACCCATTTGATATTATTGATTAAACGGCTTTATTTTGGAATATGAAATTTCCTTAATTGTGATTGATTAAAAATCTTGAATATAATGTATCAAATACATGATATTCATGTCTAATATATGATTATCCGATCCGTGCGTTTAAAAGGAAGCTATCGGTGGCTTTCCATATGTGTGGACAAAGCCGTTAGTGTCTTTCAAATCAATTTAATTACTTTCTACTCATTTGAAATGAAGCTATCGATGGCTTTCCACTTATGTGAAAAATTCGCTCGTAGTTTTGAAGTCATTTTATATATTTTCTACTTATGTGAAAATGAAGTCGCTAGTAGCTTCCTATCCGTGTGTATGAAGCCGTCGGTGGCTTTCAATCAATTTACTTGCTTTCGTTTGTTTAAAATGAAGTCGCTTGGTGGTTTCTCACTTATGTTACGAAATTACTAGTCGCTTCCAAATCAATTATCTCGCTCTTTGCTCTAGTGAAATAAAGTTGTCGGTGGCTTTCCACTTATGTGATAAAGTTATCGGTAAGTTTTAAACTTATGATCCAAAGTCGTTGATGGCTTCCAACTGTGTAAGCAAAGTTGTTGGTGACTTTTTGTTCATGATAATATAGGCTCTCAATATTTAGAAATTCACTTACTTATTAGTATAAGTTTGTTTTCACTAAAGATTAGTCAAAATTCCAATCTTCCTCACTTTTCCCATTTGAGTATGGGCATTGGCCTCGGACTAGTCTAAACCCCAAATTACATTGCTATTATATCCCAATAAAATAAATTTACTTAAATAGGCATAGAAACATAACATAGTAAAATCGGATTTTTATTTTCGCATGCATTCAATGCAACTTACCTCGACTTACGATAGGATGACGGTGATATTATATCTTCTCCATACGTAGTCAATCTCTTACTCATATATTTATATAGACTAGTTTGTTTAAGGTTTGTTAATTCTTTTCTATTAGCTAGATAGTGACTCCATCTCCCGTGCCTTCCCACGGGCCCTTATCAACACCAATTAGGTTTAGAATTTCACAAAGAGGGTGAGTTTGGAAGAGCAAAAGTCTTTGCCACCGATTGGAAAAAAGAAGAGAAGATTTTTGTAATTTTAGATGATATTTAGGAGAGACTTGATTTGGAGGTAACAGTGCATTCCTCTCGAAAATGATCACAAGGGATGCAAATTATTGCTTACATCGAAGTCTAGATGTACTAGGTGAAATGGATATTGATGTTGATTTCTCTATTGGCGTTTTAACCGAAAATGAAGCATGGGACATGTTTAAAAAGATAGCGAGGTGATTGAATAGAAAAGGTCGGCTTGTAATCTATAACTCTTGAGGTGGCCAAAGAATGTGCGAGCTTACCAATTGTTATTGCTATAATAGGAAGGGCATTGAGAAATAAGAGTTCTTTTGAATGGAAGAATGCCTTAAGACAATCGAGAAGGCCTTTCTCAAGAAACTTCACTGGATTTCAAGCATTATGTATTCAACTATAAAGTTGAGTTACAATTAATTACAAGGTGAGGAACTCAAGTCAACCTTTTTGCTTTGTAGTCTTATATGATGCACTTATAATGCTTCTATTCTAGACTTGTTGAAATATGGTGTGGGACTAGGTTTATTTTAAGGCATCATTATGATGCAAGAAGCATGAGATAAAGTAAATTCACCGATTCGTAAGCTCAAAGCCTTTTGTTTGTTGCTTGACGGATATAGCAATTAGATATTTTCTATGCATAATGTTGTTCATGATGTTACTATATCAATTACATCTAAAGAGTAGCATCTCGCTTGTATCAAGAAATGGGTTAAAATGAAGGAATGGCCGGAAAAGGATAGATTGAAAATTGCATTGCCATCTTTTAGCATAAGAGCAAAACTAGTCGGTTGCCTAAAGGGTTGAAATGTCCGGAACTTAAGTTCTTTTATATGTTCAAGGAGGAAATTTCTATGAGAGTACCAAACAATTTCTTCACAAGGATGAGAGAGCTCACAATACTAGATTTGACTAAAATGTTAGAGGGAGAGGAAATCTAAAAGAGAAATATTTATAATACTCATTTCACTCACTCCATTCAAATGCCAAATAAAAGGGGTATATATAGATACTCCTAACTCTAGTTACATGAACTATAATTAATATCCCATACATGAATCATAATAAATATTAAATACATAAATTATCTCATATAAAGTACCTACATTCTCAATGAACTTGGCCACTTTAAAAAATCAAAAGACACATGTATCTAGTTATGAGAGAAATCTAGAAAATTTAAATTAATTAATTTCAACACTTCTTCTTAATTTGAAATTTTATTCTTCACTCTAAGTATTGCTTTTAATCTTTGAAAATCTTCAAATTTGAGTGGTTTTTTTAAATATCAACACTTTGATCATGAGTCTTCACATATTGGAGCTCTAGTTCTTTATTAGTAATGTTCTCTCTAATGAAATGATACCTTATGTCTATATGCTTGCTTCTATCATGAAATACTTGGATTCTTAGCAAGTGCTTATACGGACTTATTGTCAATGCAAATCTTTGTAGCTTCTTATTAGGACAAATGCAATTCCTTTAACAATCTTCTTAGCTAAATAGCATGATAAGTACAAGTGGTTGTTGCCACATATTCAAATTCACAAGTTAAAAGTGTAACAATGGATTGCTTCTTTGAACTCCATGAAATAGTATAATCACCTATAAAGAATATAAATCCAAGTAGTACTCTTTCTATCATCAATATCTCATGTATAATCACTATCATAAAATCCCACAAGCTTGAAATTATTAGAAGGAAAATAAAATAGCAAAAAGTTAAGTGCACTTTTTAGACGATGGAGAATTCTTTTAGCCACTTTCATATAAGTAAAAGTAAGAGCTTCTATGAAACGACTCACTACTCCAACCGTAAAAAAGAATATCAAGCCTTGTACATGTCAAGTATCTCAAGCTTCTTATAAGACTTTTGAAAAGAATGGGATCTTTTTTTCCTCCATCATCAAAATTTGACAATGTCACTCCAACTTCCATAGTTGTGTTCACCTGGATTACAATCAAACATTTTGAACTTCTTCAAAACTTTTTTGCGTAGCCTTCTTAAGAGATGAAGATACTTTTTTCCATTTTCTTCATTTCTAAGCTTAAATAGTATGATATATGCCCTATGTTAGTCATCTCAAATTCAATTGACATAGCCTTTTTTAATACGTCAAATAGAATTGGATTGTTATTGATGAAAATACGATCATTATCATAAAGGCAAACAATCAAGATATCTTTATTACAATGAATTTTAACATAAAAAGCATAATCATAAAGGCAATGAACAAATTCATTATCTTGAAAGTACTTGTCAATGCAACTATTACATACCCTTGGTGCTTGTTTCAAACCATAAAAAGTTTTTCTTAATCACGGAATTTTATCTTCATGCCCTTTGACTACATAGCCTAATGGTTGCTCAATATAAACCTCTTCTTCAAGATAACCATTAAGGAAAGCTGACTTCATATCAAGTTGATAAACTTTCCACTTCATTTGAGCTACTAATGAAATGAGCAATCGAATGGTCTCCATACGGGCAACGGACGCATAAACCTCTTCATAGTCCACTTCATGTTTTTGCTTATAGCCTTTAGCAACAAACCCTATTTTGTATCTTTCCACTTCTCTATTAGCATTCTTCTTTATTTTGTACACCCATTTAACTCCAATAGCCTTATGAACCTTGGAAAGAGTTACCAATTCCTAAGTATTGTTCTTCTCAATTGCTTTGATCTCTTCATACATTACTTGTTTCCATATACTATCTTTCATAGCTTCATCAAAGGTTAAAGGCTCACTATCTATAAATAGACAATGTAAGTCATTAAGATCAAGAGTAACTTCTTGAGTATTTCTATAAATCTCTCTTATGTTTGTCATATTCTAAGGCCCTTCACTTGAGCTTTCTCCAAGAAAATGAGATGTAAATGAAAGAGATGATGAATAAGGTGGAGTCGTAAGTGAAGTTATATATTGTATAGTTACATCTTCTTCTTTCTCTCTAAAATATGGAAAGAAATCATAAATTTTTTTTTCTTAAACCTCCCAATTCCATGTTGCTTCTTCATTAAGTTCAACATCTTGACTTACCACCACCTTGCTATTGCTTGGATTGTATAACTTGTAGCTTTTAGAATTTGAGTCATAGCCTAATAAAGACATGTTATATGCTCGCGATCATCAAGCTTAGACCTTACTTGGTGTGGTGCATAAACATATGTAATACTCCTAAAGACTCTCAAATGATTAACTTTAGGCCTTTTTCCACTCCATGCTTCTTGAGGGGTTTGACCTTTAACATTTCTTATTGGAGAACGGTTGGACAAAGAAACAAGACAAGAAATAGCTTCGGCCTAAAGCTTATTGGGCATATTTTTTACTTTTAACATGCATCATGCCATGTTAAGAATTATTCTATTCTCCTCTCTGCTACACCATTCTATTATGGGGATTTAAGAATCGTTAAAAGATGATGGATCCCATGAGTTTCATAAATTTATTAAATTCTTTTGAAGTGAATTCACCTCCTTTATCAAACCTCAAAGCCTTAATTTTGTAGTCACTCTCCTTTTCAATAAAAACCTTGAAGTTTTGGAATGCAATAAAAGCTTTCGATTTATGTTTCAAGAAATAAGCCTAAATCTTTCTACTAAATCATCAATAAAGAATAAAAGGTACTTACTTTAACCAAGTGAAGGTGGATTTATAGGTCCACACATATTGGTATGAACAAGTTAAAGTGGCTCGATTGCTTTTGAAGTGGCTTCTCTTGGAAAACTCCTTCTAACATGTTTACAAAGAAGACACGTTTCACACAATTGATTGGGATGGTTGATTGAAGGTATCCCATTCATCGTCTTTTTTTCTCTCATGACTTTAAGTGCTTCAAAATTCAAATTGCCAAATCTTATGTGCCAACACCATGATTCATCTTTTATAGTAGCCTTCAAACATTATGCTTCAATTGTCTTGAGAATCAATATAAACATTCTATTTCTTGACATACACACCTAAGCAATCAAATTAGTATTTAGATCTCTATGCCAAAGACACGTACTTTCATGAAAATTTTATAGCCCTTTTCAAGAAATTAGCCCAAACTCAAAATATTACTTTTTAATTTAAGCATATAATAAACTTCAGTGATTAGTTTATGGCTATCTTCTTTAGAAGAAATTAGAATAATACCTTTCCCTTCAATTGGATTTTAGGCGAAGTCTCTAAAAGACACCTTGCGTTTCATCTTTTCATTAAGCTCTATAAACTTTTCTTTGCTTCCATACATATGATTTTACTCCATTGTCCAAATACCATGAACTATTGGCATCCATTTCTTCCCTTTTGAGTGCTAGCAACAAATTTGACTCCTTAATTTCTTGTTTGTCATCACCAATAAGATTAACCTTCTCTTTAAATTTTTATTGACACTACGACACTTTGAAGAATAATGGCCAAATTTATGACAATTGAAGCATTCGATATTTGACTTGTCATACCTTTTTCTCATTTGATCTTTAATAGTAGCCACGTCATGTTCCTTTTGCTCTTCCATGACCTCTAGGTGATGAGTGGCTTTTCTTCTCATTATGTGAATTGTCACCGTTACCTTTTTTCTTTTTGGTCATGACCATGTCTTCTTCCTCGTCCACGTCCTCTTTGGCTCTTTCTCCCTTATCACCCTTCAAAGAAGCCTTGCCTTCGAGAACTTGCCCTAAAGATTCTTCTTGTCACCTTTTGAACTTTTCTTTATGGGCATGCAAAGAGCCTTCCAATTCTTCAATAGTCATAGAGTCTAAATCTTTTGACTCTTCAATTACACAAACCACATAGTCAAATTTAGGAATCAAGGAACGAAGAATATTTTCCCCCACATGATCATCTTTTGCTTTATCTCCATATCTATTCAATTAATTCATAATTGTCTTCACCCTTGAATAATAATCCAAATAATTGACTCAAATTCCTTCATTCTCAAGGCTTCAAAGTCACCCATTAGTGATTGAAGTCTAATTTTCTTTACTTTGTCAACTCTTTGGAGTGAATTTTTCAAAATCTCCCAAGCTTGTCTTGAGGTAGTTGTCCAAACATAGAATCATCCAAACACCGATGGATGAGGGTGAGGACTTGTTCATCTTTCTTCCTTGTCTTTGACATAGAATCCTTCTCATTTTGAGAAAGATTGTCTTCATGTTGAGGAATCTCATAACCATTTTTTACAATATCCCATACATCTTGAGAGCCAAGTAATGCTCTCATATGAAGACACTAACTCTCATAATTTTCTTTTGTAAGATGAGGAAAATGGAATGAAAGAATTCCATTATTTTTCATCTCTTTAATTTTTTCTCTCAACACTCTTTTCTAACTCTTAGGATCCCGGCTTTAATACCACTTTGTTAAAAGGAGAGAAAATCTAGAGGAGAAATATTTATAATACTCACTTCACTCATATCCATTCAAATGCCAAATACAAAGGGTATATATAGGTACTTTCAACTCTAGTTACATGAACTATAATTAATATCCTATGCATGAACCATAACAAATACTAAATACATGAATTATCCCATACAAAATACCTACATTCTCAATGAACTTAGTTACTTAAATAACATCAAAAGCTAGTCATAAGATAAATCTAGAAAATTCAAATTATTTAATTTCAACATAAAATGTGTTTCAATCAATTTCCTTCATCTCTTCACCTCCCGAAAAACCTTAGAACATTGTGTCCGGATCAATATGAGCTAGGAAACATAGTTATTATTAGACAACAAAAGAAACTTGAAATCCTTACCCTTATCGGTTCCGGCATTGAACGAGTGCACTAGAGAAACGACTTCAACTAACTAGGCTGAGGTTGTTGGACATGACAAATTGTTCAAAACTCAATAAAATTCCACCGAATGTCATATCAAGCTTATCACCATTGGAAGAGTTGTATATGGGAAGCAGTTTTGTACAATGGGAAGGTTGAAGGACTCAATAATCAAAACGAGTAATGCTTGCCTTTCTAAGTTGAACCAACCGTGTAACTTAACTGGTTTAGACATACATATTCGGATGGACGGATTATGCCTCAAGATTTACTATTTGACAAGTTAGAAAGCTATAGAATATTTGTAGGAGATGTCCGGGATCGGTCTTATAAGTATGGAACTTCAAGAACTTTGAAAGTCAAGCTTGAGACAAGCATACGTGTGTAATATGGGATTAGCATGTTATTGAAGAAAAGTGAAGACTCGTATATAGACGAATTGAAGGGTGTTAAAAATGTCCTTTACGAACTAGATAAGGAAGGCTTTCCACGATTGAAAGCATCTCCATATCCAAAATGGTTAAGATGTTCAACACATCATCAACTCATTCGATTGGGTTCCTTGTCATGCCTTTCCCATATTGGAGTCGATATCTCTTGATAATTTGATGAAGTTGGAGAATATTTGTCAAGGCAAATTCACAACGAGTCTCTTTCGGTAGTTTAAGAATATTAAAGGTGGGAAGTTCGGGATCAATTGAGGAATCTCTTATCATTCTCCATGGCCAAAGGTCTTTTGCGGCTTCAAGAAATTGAATTAAACAATTGCAAGAACATTTAACGGATTATTGCCGAGAGAAGTGATCAAGATGATGTCAACAAAGCCGATGTAGTCGGCAAGATCGAGTACACTCAATTACACTCCATGACTCTAAAATTTCTACCACGAGTTCACAAACTCCCGCTCCGAAGTAAAGAAACAAGCTATTGAAAAATGAGGTGAAGGAAATCGTATTGGAGGATAAGCACGCTACCTCTATGTCGCTTTTTAATGAAAAGGTAGTAGATTAGTTTTTATCATTTTTGGTTTTCATTTCAAATTTTTCATTTAGAACAAGAACTAGAAGGCAAAAATCGTAGACAAAAGGCAATGAATGTTCATGAAATCCCTAATCTCTTACCGGAAAAATACATTTCACCAAGACATGAAACTTGATAATTTAGAATGATCTTTGGAAATGAAAGATCCGTCGACTTTGGCATGAGGTATAAAGAAAGAAAAAGATTTTTCCCCGAAAATTCTAAATAAACCACCTCAATGGAACTACATTTTGTCTTCTAAAAGAAGATTTGCAACGACAACCATTTCAAAAGCCATGTAGTCCATGTTGCAACGATTATTTCCTAAACATCCTTAGTCATCATAACATGCATATAATATAATCATGCCATTTGATAATATGTTGCGCCCTTTTATTATGAACGGCGGAAGAATTTATTCATGAAACAAGAAAATTTCTTTTTGCGGATTGAGTTCCCCAATGTCAATGATGTGGACTAACGGGCCTTGGAATTCATGAAACGATATGAGTGTGGTTAAAGCTTGAAAAAACTATCGACCCAATTATAAGGTTTTTGGATCTTATTAAATGCTAAACAGGCCAACGAGCAAAAACTTATGAGCTATGCCCATTATGTAGGGGTGATTTTGGCAAAAAAAAAAAAAAAATTGTTTAAGCCTTCAAAATTGACTTTTACTATTTTTTGAGATTTTTTTCTTCTTTTTTTGGATTTTTTTTTTTTTTGTTTCCTTTTTGAATTGATTTAGTGTTTTGGTTGAATTTTTCTACTTATATATGACTTAGAGGTTGAAAAACGTAGTTTTCTTTTATTAATAAAAGTTTATGAGAGAGTATCTCAAGTTTATCCCAATTTTCGACATTTATTGAATCAATGAAACTTGAAGTCTATTTCTTGGTATTTGTACGCAATTCAACAAGTTATAATAGACTTGCATCTGGATTTTAGATCAACGGTATTTATTTTTTCTTCTTGTGAGCTTCCGCTACGTCTCCTTGAAATTGCCCTGAATTAACATCAAAAGCATACGGCATAACCAACTTCAACCAGTGTATGCTTTCTTTCAGAATTTAACAAGCTTGATTGTGGAGGGCTGTGGTGGTTTGACATATTCATTTTCATCTTCTATGGCAAGAAGTCCGGTAAAACTCAAACATCTTGAAATATCTGAATGTAAGACCATGGAAGAGGTAGTCAATGCAGAAGAATCAGGAGAAGAAAGGAAGGTAAGATGTTCCCTGAATTAAGATTCCTGAAGATGAAAGACCTTCTAAACCTCGCAAGATTCTGCACCAAAGATTATGTTGAATTTGCATCCTTGAAGCAATTGCAGATAGAGCATTGCCTTCATTTGAAGACTTTCGTCCAGAAAGCTGACAGCATAGAGATGGCAGCTAGCATATCAGCTCTTTTCAATGATATGGTAGGAGATTCTTTATATTCTACTTAGCAATCTAATTCTGGAAACTTTTTCCTATTCTTCTGTGCCTCATCTCCATTTTACATCCATTGGCATAAATCATGCAGGTTGAATTCCCACCTTGGAGATGATTAATATTTCACAATTGGATAACTTGAAGATGTTATGGCACAACCAACTCCCCACAAATTCCTTTTGCTAACTAAAAACACAGAAAGTTGAACACTGTGAAAAAGCTATTGACTGTTTTTCCATCTCATTTATTAGGTAGAATGTTGAGACTAGGGACTCTTACCATAACTGATTGCAGTTCACTAGAAGAGGTATTTGTTCTCCAAGTATTACTAGCTGATGATGGCAAGCCAATTGAGAAAAAATCCGTATCGAATATCTGTGAGTGCTGAAGCATCTATGGAATAAAGATCCTGGAGGGATGATTATCTTTTCGAGTCTACATTCAGTGAGTGCTGTTGAGTGCAACAATCTGAGAAGTCTCTTTCCAACCTCTATAGCCAGAAATCTTCAGCAACTTCAAGAGCTCGAGACAAGCAATTGTGGGATAGAACACATTGTCTCAATGCAACACAGAGAAAAAGCTGAGGCTAGGTTTGTGTTCCCGCGACTGACTTGCCTGAAACTTTGGGAGGTACCAAAACTTAAAGGTTTATACCCTGGATTCTGGAACACATACTTCAGAATGGCCAACATTAAAAATGCTGAGGGTGCATAATCGTGACAAACTAAAGGTATTCTCTTCAGAATTCTTGAGCTTCGTAGAAACTCATAAAGACGGCCAACTTCATATCTTGGGACAGCCCCTTTCCTTGGTGGAAAAGGCATGAGCTCCAGCATTCTTTGTCTACCTTCAACCTTTGGTAACTACATAAAGTTGTTTTTCAAGTTTCGAATTAAGGTCATCCATGTACATGAAGAAACAAGCGCAGTTTGGCCAATGACTTCATGTACTAACATGTTAAGAGTACATTGAAAATCATTTTAGCATGAAACGTTTTGAGTTTTGTTTCAGAACTGAAATAACAAATGACAAGAAAATAGAATGGAAAGAATATATGAAGATGTACCCGACTACCTGGTACTCTATACATGAACATGAGTGCATGATTTTACAATTTAAGAAAAAAGAACTATTAGATTTGGCTTCAACCATTGACAATTCGAGCGATAACTGTTCTGAACTTCAAATTTCATTTCGTTTTGGTTTGTTCCACTAAAAAAGGTGAGAACCAAATTTGAAACCTTTCTCTTCTTAAAAGAACATTGCCGAGCTGCAAAGTTATTTGTTGACATGGTAATGTTTTTCAAGGTACAAGTCAAAAAAAGACACAAGTTCTGAGCAAATTGAATGGTTGGTTAATGGTTGTATAGTTTCGCATCATATTTGAATGCAACAAGAGAACAAGTGAGGCCGATTATGCTTGGAATAAGCATTGGGATTCCTCGTAAGTTCTCTCCACAACATAATGAGAAAGTAGGAGGCATGGCAGTTAGCTTGGGTTCACCATTAGGACCAGTCTTTGTGTTCAGCTGTGGAGATTGAACCAAGATTAGAAAGCACCAGTCCAGCCCACAAGGTCCAGGTTTGTTCCAAGCTGAAATTATCTCAACCAAACTCATCATAATCTAACACAATATGTGTGGTCATCTGAAAAATCCACCATAAAACTCTTTCACCTGGCAACAACCAACTAAGGAAAACGTAAAAGAATCACTTGAAACTTCCTCTTCAGGAAAAAGAATCACACGGAAGTACATGAGCAAATGCAATGAAAAGATTCTCCACTGACATTTAAACATTATGCAGCAAGTTGTATCTGAAAGTTCAAATTGGTAAATAAATGGGGTACATCAAGTTTCAAAGTGAAGAGAATAGGGCGAGTCCCGGTAGGGTTGCCCCAGCATCCACAATGAAATTGTTGCCTGTCACATATTCTGAAGAGTCATGGATTAGGTATCGGACAAGTGATGTTAGTGCTGGATCTGCAGTGCCAAATGTTCTTAAAGGGACTGTTTTCAGGGCAATATTACTAAGCCAGTCCTTTTGCATGAGACCCTGTGTGATCTCCGATTTGAAAAGCCCGGGTGATATTGAGTTCACTCTGATTTTGTCCACTCCCAATTCAATAGCCATCACCTGATATTGCCATCATCATCAGTTCTGATATTTCAATATTAATCAAATCCAGAACAGCAGGGAAAAAAATACAGATGGAGTCTTTGAACAACATAGCGAATTTGATGAAAATAGTTACGGAAAAATTGAATGCAGAAGGCACATGAACGATACCCCCTTCTCATGAGTACATCTTAATGGACACCTAGTTCCGTATCTTATTGAGCTTAGGCACTATCAAAGTTATTATTGAGGGCCGAAACAAACCAACAGTTCAGAGTCATCAGTCACACTATATAGAAATTAAATCAGCATGGTACAAAATGAGATGTTCCCTTCACATCTAAAGTCGCTTTTGCTGCTTGGACAGCAAAAACATAAATACTTGTTTTTTATACTATCATAAATTCTAGCTATTAATCAACTCAATAGTAGAAAATGATTAGAAATTGGTGTAACAATAAACTAAAACCAATTCCATTGACCACTTTGCACATGCTCATTTAGGTAAGATATGACTGTTGGAATGTAAAAAGTAGCCAACGGAACAGGGAAAGAGAGTACAATGAAGGAAGGGAAAATATTAAGAAAGCAACAGATCTTTGAATCTAATTTGCGGTCTACTTTCCACGTACTCTTCCTACCATTGATGAACCAGGCATAAACTAATGTGAGCATCATTTTGCCCCATTCATTTCCTTTGTTACCTCTCTGTATGTTTTTGTTCATATACCTTATATATCTGTTGTTTCCTGTCATCATATTTCCTCCCATTTACACTCTATCTTCAGGTTTGGTGATTCTAACCATGTCAAATATAGTACTCACTGCCTCACAGAAAGTACATATCTTATTACATGCTTATATTCTTTCTTTTGAAACAATTGCCAGACATTAACAAAAGATTTCACACATGATGGCTGGTCCATACCATCTTTTAATTCAAAAAATTGTCTCTCTTTGTAGGATTACCATATTAGGGTCATAAAAACATGGTTGAAATATTTTCTTATACTCTCTACTCACTGCAGAGAGGAAGTCTTGTAGACTTAAAGACTGCAACATTTCATTAGAGGCATAATATATTTAAAGCAACGTAGGACTCTTCTAGACACATATAGATATTAACCTCAAACCACGTACTTTTAGATTTTTCAAAACTAATTTCCAACACTGTTTTAACCTCTCTCCTGTATTTCCCGAGTAATCAGTACCCATCTCCATTTCTCCTCCATTGCATCTCTGTTGTTTTTTCAATAATACAAACATTTGACAACCAAATCATGCTAATAAAGATAGACGATGTCAGAAAACAAAATGAGATTGCCAACTTTCTTAAATCACACTTATATACATCACCTTTGACAAGGAGTTCACCCCTGTCTTTGAAGCAACATAGTGAATGCCTCCAGGCAATTGTCCACGATTAAGACCAGCAATAGAAGCAATATTGATAACTGATCCTCCTCGTTTCGAATCACGCATTCGAATGCAAACAGCCTTCGAAACCAGCCAAGTTCCGGTTGTATTCGTTCTGACAACATGATTCCATTCCTCCTCAGGCAATTCCAATGGATGCCTCACACTTCCTGCCATAAATCCACATCCAAAAAAAAAAAAAATTAAACAAAATGGAATGGATCCAACTATATATGTATTCTCACTTTCCCTAGAACCAAATTTTCTCATAATCCAAACAAGATACAATAATAAAAGAACCCATCATCATCCCACATCCAACAAAAAAAAAAAAAGAACTTTTCACTTCTCTTTCACAAAATTTTCTCAGAATACAAACAGAAAGAACCAAACACAAAAATTTAAAGAATCCATTTTCAATCCAAAAACAGAACGAACCCAACTTTTAAATTATTTGACCAATACCTCTAACACCAGCATTATTAACCAAAGCATCAATCCCTCCAAAAGTATCCCAGGCTTTCTGTGCAGACTGATCAACAGTGGCTTCATCAGCAGAAACATCCAACTCCACCGCCACCGCTCGCGGCTGAATTTCCACATCCGTTGTTGAGGAGGAAGAAGGGAAAGATAAACTCAGTTGATTGATTTCATCACATAAAGACTGTAAACGATCTATACGACGAGCAGCTGCTAAAATCCTGCAACCAGCTTTGGCTAAGTCAAGACAAAAGTCCTTGCCCAAACCAGATGATGCACCAGTTACTAGAACCACTTTGTTTCTTAAATCACACCATGGCTCCAATTGGGTTGCTACTTGGGTCGTCATTGTTTTTGGAAATTTTTAAGAGAAGAAATGATTTTGAGGTTTGGGTTATGGCAAGTCCAAATTTGGCAGGATCATCAAGAGGTTGTTTGCTGACAGATGACGATGTTGGGACCTTGTAATATATTGTCCAAGGGAAGAACGATTTTTTTCTTTTTTCTTTTTCTCGGTTTAGGTCCCTGATTAAGTCATATTGAACCTTGTAGTTCAAAGAAAATCAATTAGGTACTTAATTTTGAATTTTATGATGGAATTAGCCTTCCATCCGATTCTGTACACTGTTATTTCCGTTAACCATCAGTAGTTAAACATTGACCAAATTTATCCAATAAATCTGTGCTTTGTCTCCTTGTCAAGCTAATAACTGTGACTTTAACTGAAGTTTCTAAGAATTGGAGAGAGAGAGGCTAATTTTTTTGATGAATTCAAAATTTTAAGGACCCAATTGTTATATTTAGAAATATAGAGTTCAATTTGACTTGACTGTGAACTAGAGAGATCGCTGCTGCTGAAAACAATAGAAAGGACACGTGGCGGTGGTTGGGCAGGAAGTAAAAGGTTTGGTGAGAAAGGAGGGAAAGAGAGTGGGGAAGGAAGTTGAGTTTCCTTCGAGTGGATTGTATAATATTGACTAATAATTGAGTATTATTTTTTATATATTATTATTTTTTTCCTAAGAATATATATATTTTATTGGTCTAGCTTCTGTAATTAGGTTGTTCAATTTTTCATTTAATATTTCTTTTTCCGTAAGAATGCTAAGTTTACTTAGTTGAATTAAAAGTGATTTCAAGTTTCATACTATTAAATACTTTTATTTATTGTATAGTCATAAATTATTTTATTGTCGGCAATTTAACTAATTATCTTATAATTAAGCTCCTTATTATTAATATTGTACAATTACAATTCAAAAATATATTGTTACTTATAAAAGAAATATAAAAGAAAAGTATTTGAAATTAAAAGTTTAAGTATTAATTTTGGAAATGATAAAGTTTGGTGAATTTAACCTAGAAGTAGTTGAAAAGTTGATTTGGCAGGAAGCTAAAAGGCCAAGTGGAAGTCTTACTCATATGCTGCTTGCAATTTCCTTCTCGAATTCCCCACCCAAAACCGATAGGGTTGGGTTTGGTGGTAGTTATGGCAATGGGCAGGGCGGGGCGGGGATGGTCCCGTCCTGCCCCTAAAAATTTTGCTTCGTCTTCGTCCCATGCTTCGTGTGGGATAATATTTCTCGTATAATCTTCAATTCCAAACAAATATAGGGATCTCCATACGATATTGATATCTGGTTTAATTTTTTATTTTTATCTCATCTCATTTTATTTTATTATTAAATTTCAAATTATAGTAAAAAATAATAATTTATATAGAAAATAAATCTTAAAAATCAATAATCATATATTTTATATCAAGTATAATTATAATTTTAAGAATAAAGTGAGACAAACGGAATGGGACGAGCAAATGTCATCCCCGCATTGACCGAAATGGGATAAGGTAAGGCTCCGTAGGGGCAGAGCAAATTATCATCCCTATTTGGTGGTGCATAAGAAAACATAAATGAACTTTTATTTGAATTTTCTTGTGTTTTATCCATTCTAATGTTAGAGATTTTCTTGTATTATGGTCATTCTTCTTATTATTTTTTATAAATTTCGATATAATTTTTATTTTTTATATGTTTATCTAGTTTTTATCTTATAATTGTGCTTGTTATTATTAATACTGTACAATTACAATTCAAAAATACATCGTTACTTATAAAAGAAATATAAAAGAAAAGTATTTTTTGTAACAAATAAGAAATTACAAAATGTTAAATAAATTATTTATTTCATTAAGTGAATAATAAAAAATTATCTTATCTTTACGTAATTTAGTTAATTTGTTTGTAATAATAATAGTTACAAATAAAATATAAATTCAATAAAAAAAAATCAGAAAACGTTAAATTTGAAATTAAGAATTTAAGTATTAATTTTTGAAATGATAAAGTTTGATGAATTTAATATAAAAGTAGTCCGACAATTTGATTTGGTAGGAAGCTAAAAGGGGAAGTTCTCGAGGCCAAGTGGGACTCTTACTCGTTTGCTGCTTGCAATTTCTTTTTCGAATTCCCCATCCAAAACCGACAGGGTTGGGTTTGGTGGTGCAGAAGAAAACATCAAATGGACTTTTCTTTCAATTTTCTTGTGTGCTGTCCATTCCAATGTCAGGAATTTTCTTGCGTTCTGCCCATTCTAACGTGAAAATCATGTTATTATTTTTAATAAATCCTAATATGATTTTTTTATATATTTTTTTAAAGAAATAAATACATAAAGTAATTATTATATATATTCACTAGTTATTCTTAAAGTATTATAATTTTTTTTAAAATACATCTTTTAAACTGATTTTATGTATTTATAAAAAATTAATAAATTTTCATTAATATTATTTTCAATTCAAACTCAAAAAAATAAAATCATACGTAGTTATTTTTCTTTTTTCTTTGACTTGTAGAAGATTTTCATTGTTATACGTTTCTGAATCTCACAAGTACGTTATTCCATTATTTTAATTATTATTATTTGGCTTGAAATAATTACACAACTTCTCATTCCGTCGTCGAGAAATAAATGCAATTTGGTTGGGGTCCAGGACAATCGCAAGATGATAATCGCAAGATCTATCCTTCGTTACAAGAGCAACCGTAGCCAGCGGTAGACAATTGAGTAAATGGCAAATCTGTTCAAGGCCTGTGGGTTTTATCACCCTGTGGATCGTGGGCTATATGTTTTGATACCGATAAAAGTAGATTTCTTAATCGCATTATATCGAGTATCAGACACAATATATAAAATCGTTTTATTTTAATATCTCGTATTACATTAAATGTATATCAAAATACGTCAAATAAAAAATAAATAAAATTTTATTTAATTTTATAATTTTTTTAATCAAAATTTTATATTTGATTAACTATTTTTTATATTGTTCGTGAATTTTTTATTAAAAACATTATTTATTTATCTCTATCCACAAAATAAATTTTTATAATAGTATAAAGAATGTCAAAACCAATGAATTTTTAACTAAAAACTTATTTTGTAATTTTTTTAAATATTTTTTTGCCTTTAATTTTTTCATTAAAAAAATCAAAGAAAGAAAAAAAAACCAAAGAAAAAAGGACCAAAGTTACCAAAATAAAACAAAAAAGAGGAACCAAAACCAAATAAATAAATAAATAAATTTTGCGGGTTGAAAAAAAAATATTTTAAAAAAGACTAAAGTGTAATATTACGAAAACTTTTCTTAAATTTTTTTATTAAAAAAATCAGAAAAAAAGACCAAATTAAAATAAATCAAAGAAAGAAGAACCAAAGTGATCAAAATAAAACAAAAAAGAGAGATCAAAACAAAACAAAAAATATTTCTGGATTAAAAATATAATATTTAAAAAAAAGATATTAAAGTGTAATGTTACAAAAACTTTCATAATAAATATTTAAAAAATATTTGAAAACTAAAAAAAATACCACTACGTAATGAAATGAATAATAAATTTGAGTATGTGTAAATGGTGCATTTGAATATATGTAAATAATATTTTAAATAGTAAATGAATAATAATCTAATATTTTATTTTAGTTTTACGTATAATATATAATGTATAATAATTTTATAAAAAAAATTACATTTTGTTTATTAGTTGTCACAATCTAATTTAAGGTTTGGATGGTGATAATAATAATAAATGAAGTCAGGCAGATACCTAAGTCGAGAAGGTTCAAGAGGCTTCGGACAGGAATTAGGTATTGGGCAACAACTTTGGTTTTGGATTTTTGTAGAAACAAAATGCCAAAAACAATATTGTTGCCTGCACGTGGCAATAACCACATGTGCATGTTTCCAGCATTTGTATCCACCATCTTTTTTAAAAAAAATCTGTAACATGAAGGCGTTTACCTACAGCATGTAAGGTCTCTATTAATTAAGAATATTAATTTAAATCAATGTCAATTAAGCATTCTCATCCTATACATAGGAATAGTAAGCCTTGATTTTGGATTAAAAACTCATATCTTTAAAATTCACTTTAAATATTTTTATAAAATACCTCAAAACCAAACTAATTTGAATCATGTCTATTATTTTTCTCAAAATCCTTATAAAATCGAGATATTGATTAAAACAATTCTTTTTAGGGCAAAACCAGTCAAATTAAGTCAATGAAATAAATTCTTGAAATTTTTCTTTAAAACCGATTTAACTATAAAAATTCATTTAAAAATATTCATGACATAAATCTTTAAAATCTGGTTTATTTCTTTAAGTGAAAGTCCTTAATTTAAAACATAATTCCTTGCTAATTTTTTCATAAAAATACAGTTCCTCCCTTTTTCTTCAAAAATTCGGATTTTATGGAAATCTCTAACTTTCTTGGAAATAATTAATTTAAGTAGAAAATCATCATTAAAACTATTTAAAATGGGAATTGACTAAAACATTTTAATTTGCTTCTCATTTAATTCTTTTATTCCAATTAAACTATTTATTTGTGTAATAAAATATTTTCTTAAGATTTATGGAACATTGGTTCCCGATACTTTGAAAATTGACCGATTAATTCCTTTAACTTAATTAATTTAGTCATTTATTTCATTTCATCCAATTCATTCTTGTTTAGTTAATTAGTCCATCCTTTTGCCATTAAACTCCTCATTTCCATGCCATATACTAACTAACTCATTCACATTAAACACTTAGTACTACTAACTATACACACCCATACTTACTACTTAGTGTCCTAGTGCATGATTAATTTATACATCATTAGGACAAATCTTAACACACATACTAGGGTTTTAAAATAGGATATAAAAGAGAAGTTGTCACAATCTCAAAAGTAGGCCATGATCGGTGCGAGAATCAAGAGAACCGTGAGGACTATCTCAACTCAAGCAAGCCTCGAATAACTAAACTTAAATCTTTAAATCTGCATCTCCTCAAATATCATTTCAATTTGCATTATCCTAAATTAATAATCATTTTATAACTTCAACATAATTGATAATTTAATGATATTTTCAAATCAATAGCCAAGATCAAATTCTAATATAATACCTATAAGCCATAAGTGTAGAACTTTTAAAAATACAACAAAATTAAACTTAGGTCTAAGAATTTACAAAAAGATAAGTTGCATAGTTAATATGGCGACCTCGAAACGACAAAAAGGCACCTTTTAGCGAGGGCGAGCAATCAATAACTCAATAAGTAGATACTATATAACACATATAAAGAAGAAAAACGAGGCTAAGGACAATAATTTAAAATTCAACTCAATATGCAATACTAGTTTCTCTAATACGATACACATCGTAAAACCAAATCATACATCACAAATTAAATAATTTAAAACTATTTCATATTGAATCATACATACATACATACATATATCGTAATCATATCAAAACATATATCTATATTTTTATTTACCCATGGGGTGAATAACGTATCATTAAATGCAAACACCCAAAGGTCACGTTCCTCGTGACTAGATTTTTGTAAGTTGGCCTACACACCGATTAGCACTCGCCTCTATTGCCGGATGGAGCCTTGTATCATTGAGCTTAAAGGATACGGCCCCGTAGCTAGGTTCTTTAGGATCTCGAAAACATTTAGAAAATCGTATAACTTATTCTTATTTCAAATACCATGCATGCTTCAAATCAAATTGATAATACAATTTCATATCAAATAAGCATTTATAAAATTATACGGATAATCAAAATAACCATCAAACATAAAATAGCATTTAAATCCATAATTGTATATCAAATCATAACAAACGCTTGTTCAAACACATATTCGAATCCCCTTTTAAATCACATCAAATCATTTTCGATACAAAATTATTTCAAATACTCATAGAGTCCGTTGCCATCTATGTTATAATGGATGCATTTAAATTGTAATTAAACCAATTATGCATGATAGATATGATCAACATAATATGCTATAAAATATCCACTCACAATATAAATGACGAGATCGAATGGAATTAAGGTTGCTTGTGACGAGTTGCTCGCTTCGAGGAATCTAATAACATAAGATGGTTAAACAACCATCAATATTATATACCAAATAATAATCCAAGCAATAAATTATTCTAGGATCGGGAATGCATGATTATCAATAAAAATGAAAATGATCGAAAGGACTTAAACGAGATAATTTTAACAAAATTCTATAATATCTATAACAATTCTTAATAATTGTCTAACCATGTTCCATCATCAATTACAATTATTCACCATAAATCCTCAATTTAATCAACCTTTACACAATCAATTTTCAATTAACTCATATATTCCACTCTAAGTCACTCAATCCTTAATCCTTTCATCTTTAATTGCATTTATATAGCTTAAATCCTTATTTTTCTCAAATTCTTTTCAATTCAAAACCCAATTTTCAGATTTTTCACTATTCATCATCTCCGACCTCTCAATTACTCAATTTTACTTAATTTCACTTCAAATTAACTTCATAAACCACTTATCCGAGATAATTAAATATCATTCAAATACTTATAATTACTTAATCAAGTTTTTCCCAAATAGGTTTCAAAAATCCTAATCTTAATCTAATCAATTCCTCAAGCAAACCATAACCCAATCCAATCCCACTTCAATATCATCATTAACTACATATAAAAATTACAATTCAAAGATCAATTGATAAAAAATCTTACCTTTGACACTTTGCTCTTCAATCCCTAATTTCTTCTTAGTTCTCCAAGTTTTTTCTAAGCTTTCCAAGCTCTAAGCTAGCTAGGCTCTACTTAAATCAACTTGTTTAAGGTTTTTCTAAGTTAATTTAACAATGATTTACCTTAGAAATCAAAGAAGGGAATTTTGGAGAAAATTGGAGAGAAAATGGTGGGATAAAAAAGGATAAAGAAGAAGAAAATTCTGGAAAGGGGCATCCGTTGTCGATTTTTATACTAACTCGAATTATCATAGAAGTTATGACTCTCAAACTTACACCGGATGTTAAAGTACACCCGATAGCAAGTCAACTCCTCCTTGGGTCTAATTTTCATATCAAATCATGCCATCATTCCTGTTTTCGGTGCCTATACCACAAAGGTAAAATGAACTAATCTCCAATAAGTGTAGTCATGCATGAGATGCACTTGATGTAATTTAGAAAATCCTTTCATGCTTTGAGATATATTTTTTATCTTCGGGCGGGCACCTCGTCGATTGTATATAGATATATCATTTAATCGACACTCCTTTTAAAAACTATGCAATTTTGAAATCATCACAAAAGCACCAAGTACCTAACCATTTCATTTCCATATCCATATTCTTGTCTATACAAAAAGGTGATCAATCCTCGAGTATTCATTTAGAGGTACTTGGCCATTTCTTTCAAAACCATACATTTATTTTCCTTTTTCTTTGTAAAATCATGAAGGAAAACTTTTCATGAAATGTCATGAAAATATAGGTAACATAACATGCCTTACCTTATACTTTTCCTTTTCATGCATTATTGATCATCATGGTGCACATGTCAATGAACTAATCAAACATTAAAATGCACTAAAACATATCTCAAATTTCATGAATTCATTGTAAAATCATAACATGCATTAATCATTCAAAATCATCACCTTGGCCAAATATGACCTATGCAATTCATTCCATGTATTCATTCAATTATCAATCAATTTCATATGGAATCAATCATAAACATTCTAATGGACAAAAATCCATCATCATTTAAAACATACACAATCAATAACAAAATTTTCATGTTGGTCAAGTCTTTCTCTTCACTAATTCTATGAAATTTTCCTTTCAAAATACATCTAAATTCAACTAGTAACCTCAATTTGAAATGTCCCTCATCATACTCCAATAACCCTAAAATTTAAGGTATGGCAAAAACTATCAACACTAAGGAACCATTTATTGTCCATCCAACCAACCAATTTCATACTTCAAATACAATATTTTAACCAATTACACATCAATTTAACTTGAATTAAATATTACATCAATCCAGGACCATATAAGCATAAAACTTTAATTTTGAGGGTATGGCCGAATGTTCCACTAACGTTCAATCCTTTTCATTTCAACATGAATAACCCTCATTCATCACCATTCAAACATGATTAAACACATATTCCATCAAACAATCAATTCTCCCTAAATTGTTCATTTTGATCGAAACTATTACTATGCATAATCCATTCATTCTCAATCAATTTCAACCAATTCATATATCACATAATCACCATCTAAATATTATTAAACACAAAGCACACACACACACACACACACACACACACACACACACACACATATATATATATCATCAAAACAATCAAACCTCTTAAATCACTTAAATGACAAAAACTTTCATCACCGAATAACGATTCAATATGAACCCAATTAACCAATTTCATACATCATACTATCATCTTCTCGACATAATAGAACATATACATCATCAAAACCATCAATTCTCTAAAATTAATTATATGGCCGAAACTATAACAAGAAATCAATTATTATCAATCATATCAATCAATTCCATACTCCTTACATGCTTAATCAACCATAATTTTCATGATTTTCACATCAATTCCACTTGATCTAAAAGTACATAACATAAACTATCATGTAACATAAACCCTAGTTTCATAAAATCCATCACAATATCATACAATCAATAAAAAGAAAAACTAATCCCTTGTATCGTAGGTGAGACTACAATTACTTAATGTTAGTTGATGGATGGTTTGGCTTGATCTTGGAATTTTCTCTTCTTCCTCCCTCCTTGTAAGTTTTGGCCTAACCCTCTTTCTTCTCCTCTTCCTTTACTTACTTCCTTGAGATCTTTTAAGGTGTCTATGGTGTGTTTAGATGTTAATTTGAGTAGAGTTTTAGGTAGGTTAAGACTAATTCCTACTAGTTTTCTCTTAGCTTCTCTTTGGTTTCAATTTGTTCTTCAAGTTCTTCTCCTCTCATCCTTGCCCAATTTTATAGGCTAAAAATGGCTTTAGATGGATGACACTTTGTCTCATCTTACACTTAGCTTTTCGTGAAATTTTACTTAACTTAGTTATTTACTTAGTCATATGAAGTTGACTCACAATTTCCACATAATTTCTATGCATTTTCTTTGTAATTTCCTTAGCCTTTCCTTAGTTTTTCCTTCGTTCTTCTTTTAGTCTCCTTGGCCGAACCAAACTAGCTTCAACTTTCAGTTTTGTTACTGGAAATTCTGGTTCGTTTCAGCTTGGTAGAGCCGAAATAATTGGTTCCCAAGTTTGCCAAGAAGTCGCACTTTGGTCTCTCACTTTTTCAATTCATTTCAATTCCACCCTTATAGTTTCGATAAATTATTTTTAATTACATCAATTCAATCCTCCCTTAGGATTATTTCCAAATTAATATTGATCTTTTGACCCTCTCAATTCTTTAAATTAATTGGCTAACTTCTAACCTTCGCAATTAATCAAATTGTGCACCCAAAATTCTATTCTTCCGAAATTAATCATCCATACTTATCCCATTATATCTAAATTATTTTCTCCACATCTCCTAATATTTATGTGCATATAAATAATATTTTATTCACACTAAATATTTAATTCATGCATTAAATTATAACTAATCACTCCATAAATAATTACTCATAATTGGTTCCCAAGTTTGCCAAGAAGTTGCACTTTGGTCCCTCACTTTTTAAATTCATTTCAATTTCACCCTTATAGTTTCTGATAACTTATTTTTAATTATATCAATTCAATCCTCCCTTAGGATTATTTTCAAATTAATATTGATCTCTTGACCCCCTCAATTCTTTAAATTAATTGGCTAACTTCTAGCCTTCACAATTAATCAAATTAAGCACCCAAAATTCTATTCTTCCAAAATTAATTATCCATACCCATCCCATTATATCTAAATTATTTTCTTCACATCTCCTAATATTTATGTGCATATAAATAATATTTTATGCACACTAAATATTTAATTCATGCATCACATTCTAGCTAATCACTCCATAGATAATTACTCATGTATTAATAAATATATTTCGCCTCGAGGATTATTTTGAAGGTTTTTTTATCAAGGATATTACTTAATGCACCACCCATTTAGGTTTTGATGGCATCCTTAAGATCTAATCGGAGAGGGACTAATTTTGGTACTCTAAAATAAGCCCAAGCAATATTTTTATTGAAAAACAAAAACAATATATATATATATATATATATATAATGGCTCTTCGTAAGAATTGGAAGCTGCCCCTCTCTAAATACGTTGATCTTTACTAAAATATCTGACATGACTGCTGCTTTTTATCCCAAACTTTCTCGCCCGCAAACAGTTCTCGAGCTGAGCTGAGCTCATAAAATCATCTCAAGCAGTAAAGAAGACAAACTTGAGATGTGTGGTGGGTGGTGTATATCTACATTTGAACATTATTATTTTCCATATAAATGTACAGATAATTGACCTCGTCACGTTTTTTCAGAATCCACATTTAATTAAGCATTTTAATTTTTCTAGTCATTGAATGCAAACATTACCTGTTTTCTCTACCTACACAGTACCTAGGTTTTGGCTAGCAATTTATCAATCCACGAGTTAGCTCCACATTTTTTCTGTATATTTAGAGTTTAGCAGCTTATAATAGAATTCCCTGGATGGAAACAAATGAACTGAAAGTAGGAGCCAAGGACGTTGTAGCTCAATCGGGCAAATGACAATCCTCTCTTTTTTCCTTCAACAGGGCTGCCTTTTCTTTGTAATCAATAAAGGAGCAGCCCAACTGGGTCCAGAACTGAAATCGCAGTCAGGAGTCTTCTGGATCCTGAGTACGGTGATTGGGCCTTAAGAAATTCACTTACCGTTGTTGGTTAGGAGGAGTTGTTGGAATCTTTTCTTAAACAACTACAAAAGTCTATTTCTGTGCATTAATTCGTGCTTGATTATATATAAATGATTTCCCATTATCCTATTTGATGACTCTACTATTTTGTTTTTCTTTTAATTTATTATTATTATTATTATTATTAGTTTGAAAGGGGAAGTACCTTGTAAGTCAAAACTATACTCCCTCTTCCAACGTGTGAGCTGAATTTGCAATTTAGTCACTTTAGTTTACGAAATTTCTCTTCAAGAAGATGAATCTATGTTTGGAGTTCCTAGCTTTCTTCCTTTTTTTTTTTCTATTCATTAGGAGGTTTGACAAGTTTTAAGCTGCACAATGCGATATACCAGGATTAGTTTGCACATAATAATTAAATAAATTAGAATTACTAAAAATTAAAATTGCTTCATTAAAAAAAATTAACTGAATATACAACTGCTAAATAATGCGTATTTATTCTATTAGGAGTTTGTGACTGAATTTGTCATATCATTATTTAAGCATCACTATAAATATAAACAGAGTTACAATTTTGTTAATTAAGCTTCTCTCAAAAGAATCTTATAAATTTCCTCAGGGATAAAAGGGTCAATTTTCCTCGGAATTTTATTTTATTTAAAAACCAGTCTCTGAACTTTTAATTTGTTTTTTGATCTGCTTGATTTTTTTTTAAAAAAAAATAGTCAATCTTTCAGTTTTCTAATATTTATTTTTAAAAATAACAATTACAAATATAGTCTCATGATAGAAATCATTAAGTGAGTTTTATCTGGAGCTCTCACAAAAATCTGACACCATTCTAGGTTATTTTATATATATATTTTTTATTTTTTTATTTTTAATGTTAAAATATAATTTCTGACCTTAAAAATTCTAGAGTTTTTTTCTAGGAAATGGATTAAATTTTTTTCAAAATATGTAAAATTTTAGATCAAAATATTAAGAATTGAATTTTTCAAAGAGAATGGATGATAGTTAAAAATCATATTATAGACTAAATCTTTAAAAAAAAAATCAAAACACAAATTTAAAATTAAAAAACTGATTTTTAAATGAAATAAAGCCAATGAAAGGTTTGGCCTCCTGCTTTTAAACTGTTTAGATATAAAGATATCAAAAACCATTAAAAAGCACCCAAAAACCATTAAAACCATCCTGAAACATCCTTTTCAGTTCAGCTGCATTTCGTAGGGGATAAAAAAGAAACAAACTTTTAAGCAAATTCCAAATGCAATATCCACAGCAGTCATGAAATTAGAAGGAGAACATGGTCCGGGCTTCTTGGGCTTTAAAAGCATTTAGTTCAATCTTGAGGTTATTGGGCCCTAAAAGCATCTTTGGAGCCACCCACCGGAGCTCCTCTCATCGCCGGTGACACAATTATATTAATTAATTAATATTAAATTAGCAGCAACAAAAAGCAGTGATTTAATAGATTTTTTGGGTCTGACCGTCTGAGCAGGCTACAGCATTGCGAGTTTTGTGGAAGGGCAAAGTTAATAAATGATCCTTGTAGCCCACGGAAGGAAAGAGAAGCGTACCTAAATCCCTAGGGCAGAAGCTAGAAAGCGACTTCTATGGCGTCGAAAGAGGCAAAACCAAATTGTTTGCTTTTGCTTTACTGTTTGGAGGTGGAAAATTGTGCACAGATTGGAATTAATGTGGCAGATTGTCGGAGATTGGGAGTGCCACAAATCCCGGCAACTGGCATTCAGAATGATGCCGCCTGCCAATATTCTTATAGACGTCACTTTGATGCAGAATAAAATAACTCTATTAAATATTAAATATAAAGATTTTTTGGATTTTAAATTTCATTAATTTAAAAATAATGAATAACATGATCTTGTTTCCCCCCCCTTAAATATGAGGATATCATAATCCGATACCGTTTTTACATCAATTTATTAGACTTTGTGTTTTTCTCTTGGATTTTTTTAAAGAGATTATGATAATATTTATTTTTTTCCTTATACGTCCTTCTTTAAGCATTTCAGAAGAAAATTTTTAAGCTTATGCGATATGTTAACTGATATAAAATAAACTTTTTGGGATGAGATTTGCGTCTATTTAGAGAATTTAGCAAGAAAAATATTATGTTTCAATCAAAGCAAATGGAATTTTTTAAAAGCAAAGAAGATGATTGCATTGTCAAATGCTATCTTTTTATTAGCTTGCTTAGGTTAAAAAATAAATCATCTAAATTAAAATTGGATTATGATTACATTCTCATTATATTTATTGAAATCCAATACTGATTAACAAATTGTAAAAACTAGTCCAAATTTCGGTTTAAATTTTCTTATAACTTTTTTTTTTGCTCATTTCGATTTATTTTTATTTAAAAAAGAGAAAGTAAGTCAAAAAAATTATGGAAGGATTAACAAGAAAAATATAATTTTCTGAAATAAATTAATATTAAATTAAATATAATTACTAATAACTAAAATATTAAATAATTAGTTTTTAAGTATTTGAGAGAATAAAAATAGAGACCATGCTAAAACAGAGACTAGACATCCTTGGGAACAGACAATTATTTAAAAAAAAAAAAGCATAAAATTTGTTATTTTCAAGAATTTGACAGAATAGACAAATTAAAGATTTGCCAAACTCCATGGACCAAATCCCATCCATTAAAGCCCCTTTAATCACACTGAAAAGCCTCTCTCTCTCTCTCTCTCTCTCTCTCTAAATTTTTTTGCTTTTTTCCCTCTCTCTCTCTCTCTCTTTTCTCCTGCCAATGCGTGCTCTTGATATGTTTCCTTGCTAGGGCAAAAAACAAAACGATCTGACAGTTTCTCCACTCGCTACGATGTTTCATGAAAGAAACCAGTGAAGAAGGGAGTACTGTCTTTTGGTTACTTGCAGGAGGTGGCGGGGGAGTGATAATTGCTGCTTTGAAGCTTTTACTGCTTTAGGTTTGCGGTAATTTGTTTTTTTTTTGACAGCTGCGCCGCCTGCGACTGGGGAAAGCAACAGAGGGTAATAACTAGACCGCGACTATAGTCGGTTGAGAGTGATTAAGATTTGAAAGAACAGTAATAGCACGCGCTTTTAATGATAGTTTCACGTCACGCGACGTCAAAATTTGTACGGCTTTCGGGCTTCTCATCCCTGTGGCCTGTTTTTGTCGAGTATTGGCTATCGAGTTGGATAGTTATTTATCTAATAATAATAATAATTTTTATGTTATAAAAGAATTAATACAAATAATATAATAAAAAATTTATTATAAAATAAAATGAATACAAAATATAATAATTTTAAATAATTCTCAGTTGGAGATTTATTCAGTTACAATTAATAAAAAATATAGAGAAATCTTAAATTTCCAAATCACCATCCAGATCTTAACTTAATATGTGAACAAAAAGAAAAAAAACTTTTTCAACTGAGCTTTAGACTTCTTCTACTTTCTATCAAAATGTCGTCTAAAATCTTAACAATTTTTTAAACATCCTAATCATTTTTATCCATAGGCATATAATTTGGACGGAATTTATCAATGAATGCAGATTGAGGGACCTAATTTAAAAAACTTTCAAACCTTCAAGACTTAAACTCCATTAAGAACGGCATATAGATTTTTCACTTATGGTTTGCCCACAAAAAAGTGACAAAATTTTTTTATGGTAAATCACTTGTCTACCTCTCACATTTGTAGAGGATTAAATTATAAAATTACCCCTCCTCTTTTTAAGAAATAAATAAATAATTTTTTCCAAAAAAAATATTTATTTTTTATATTTTAAAATATTTTTAACTTAATTCTTTTTCTCTTGTTTCATTTTATTTTGGTTTTTTGTTTTTTTAAATGATAAAAAAATCAAAAAATTGATGAAAAAAATTATATTTTTTTGAAATAAAATAATAATAAATTAAGTATAGCATCAAACAAGTAAATTATTAATTCTTTTAAAAAAGAATTAATTAATTTGTGTCTAAAAAATAAAAGGACTAATTTATAATTTATTTCTTTCTAGAAGAATATAGTTACTTTTCTTGATATGAGCAAGTTCTGCTTTAAGAACAGTAGCAGAAGGGCTAAGACAGCCTCTCTCTCTCTCTCTCTCTCTCTGTGGCTCTGTTTTTTGTTTTCTTTAAAAACAGGAGCATTGGGCATTTTCTAATCTCTCTCCCTATGTGTAATTGTCCCCGCTGAATTCCAAGAAATGTCCAATTATCGCCAAAATAACCCCTTGAAAAAGCTTAAAAGATAACACTAAATAAAAAGCATATCAATCCTGCAGCGAATTGCTGGCTTTGCAATTATTGATAATCCAATGGTGATTACTGATTATTGGCCAGGCTAAAGTCACCCTTCTTTGTTTTTTCTTCTAATTGGGCTTAAAGTAAGTAACCACTTGATTTTGCGCTGGAATTTCAAAGCCTCCCCGCTTATCAGATGGCTCAAAAATGCCGCCATCGTTGTCAAACAAAGTTGAAGAAGAACATTAAATAATTTGCTTGTGGTCAAACAAATCAACAATATATGTTTTTGGGCTTGCATGAAAAGAACCTAATTCTGTTCCAAGTTTCGACCAAACCAGCCGCAAAATCACTACTGCTTCTAGAGGACCGTCACTCTCTCGAACCACAAAGAAAGAAAGAAAGAAAAAAGGTTAGCAAAACCTAGTTCTTCTTTGATTGTGTCCAAAGTTTCCTAATAAAAGTTGAATTGCATTACGTAGTCATGCAATGAGAAATCAGCTTGGTTGATGAAAGCTTCTAAAAGGAGATTTTCCAATGATTCGGGTTAATGGAAGTTAGGAGTTTGGACCACTTTGACTTAATTTCGCGGGCTAAATATAGTTTTTGTAAGAAATTATTATTGCACGTAGGGAGATTTGTCTGATAGTTAAAGAGATTTGTTCCTTTTTTCTTTTTTTCTTTTTAACTTGTTGGATTCAAATATTAAAACTACCGCTTAAAATAATTTATTTCGAATGCACTAGCTCGATGAGAATACGGTTTTATAACATTTTAAAAATAAATTTAATATAAAAATTATTCCGATAATATTTTTAATATGGAATAAAAAAATAAACATTGCATGTAACATCTTCAGGTGGGTTTTCATTATTCAGTGGAACTTTAGGGACCTCTTATCTCGTATGTTACTTTAGAACATCACCTAGATAGATACCTTCCTATTGCGTGCTAAAATATGAAGAATTTGCCTTTTTTCTGTGAATCAAAATCCATCGCACCGTCCTCCAAACTGGCTTTTCTACATAGCATTAGAAATGCTAAAAAGAATGAATTCTGTACACCAGATCACAACTGTGATAAGATATCGGCCCAACTTTGAAGATTCCTGTTAGTGAATAATTCTCTATTGAATCCTACCCATCTAATGATGGACTGAATTCATTGAATCCTTTCCACAAGTTCGAGACAGAAACGTGATGATGACTAAACATGAAACGAAAATGTTTGAATCGCCTTTGGGACGGTGGAATCACCTAATTCAGGCCTCTTGAAAAACACCCCATTTAGCCCATCACATGGTGGTGACATTACTACCCCCGAGATATTGCATTGTCTAAGCCATGAAATAAAATATTTTATAATACTCGAATTGTAACTAATAACTAATAATACGTATAGAAATTATTGTATGAATTTACTTTAAAAAGAGAGGTAGACATAAAAAAATAAAAAATAAAAAAAATATGAAAATCTTCTTATATTTTTTTATGGATGTGGATGTAATTCAATATATCCGTCTCTTATTTTAAAATAAATCTATAAAATAATTATTATATATATCATTAATTATTTCTTAAGTATTATAAAATTTTTTCATTGCAATTGTTGGAGCCTCTCGTGACCCAGTAAAGTGTACTACACCCTTTTAAGTATTATATAGACATTTAGTATATGTTATCTATTTTTCCATTTTCCACAGGTGTTTGCTAGAGTGCTAGTGGAGTCTTATCATGATGTCGTTGCATTTTTTTTTTTTTTAATTTGAATTCTTTACATGTAGGATCTACAAAATCTGCACTAATAACCCCCCTCTGTACTATTTCTTTTAAACCCAAAAGTATAAACAAAAGTACCCTTTTTTTTTTTTTTTTTTCAAAATTAAGTCGCAAGTGAGTTTGTTTTTCATGTTATATTGCTTTTTATTTTAATCTAAATGAAGACATAAGAAATAAATTTACTTTTCATGTTGGAAAGAAGAAGAAGAAGAAGAAGAAGAAGAAGTTCAATCCACAGGGAGAGTTGGTGTTGTAAATTCAAGTCGAAACCAGTTAATAGAAAAACAATACCAAACCCAAATAAAATTTGGAAAAAAAGAAAAGAAAAGAACCACAGCTTTTTTTCGACAAAAACAGCCAAGGACACGAGCCAGCAAGTGTCACGCATGGTGTTTGTGGGATTCAGATTCCCTACCAGGATGCTGCAATCATTCCAGCATTTGAGGGTTTTTATGCTTCTTTTTTTCTGTTTTTTTCTGCTTTGTTTTTTCGTGATATGTTCTTTTCATGTTTCATGTCCTTTCTCCCTCCCATGGCAGAAGGAATTGTCCGTTGCCATTGGACTCACCAATCTGTCTTCTTTTTTAAACCACCATATTTATTTAAGTTTATCTGAAGTTTTATTTGCTTTTTAAATGAGAATGATTTGTCAATATTTTACGTAGGAATTAAGTTGTCACAGAGATCGAGAAACCAGGAAATCCAGTAAGAGCCTCTTTTTTTTTTTTTTTTTTTACAGAAAGTTAATTTTTAAATAATTATAACTTGCTGAATGAATTGATAGAATCATGGAAGAGTTGTAAAACAACAGCTCTTCGATGAAAAATTGCATAATTTCGCGCTTGAGGTCGCTGCCTGGTAATAAGATTGAGGGTCGCTCACCAATTATACTCGGGTTCGATTTTTTATGCGCACATCTGTCATCATCGTAATGCCTTATCCGTTCATTGAACTTGCGGAATGTTCAATAGGTCCAGAGATTAATCGAAATGCGCACAAAGACTACAATGTGCTATTTTCGTGTTTTCTTTCGTAATTTTTACATGCTGTTATTTGGTAGATTTGATGTAAAATTTTGCGATGTCAGGCAATTAGACGAGGGACAAAATTGCAATTTTAGATGTAATGTAGAAAATGGAGTAAATTTAAAAAAAAAAAAACGATATATTTTTGAATTATATGAAAGAATTGCATATAATTTAAAAATATATATGAACATTTAGCTCGTCAACATTAAAAACATGAGCATGTTTTGGAATTATTTTTCTTTTTGTTGCAACATGTTTTGGTGCCTATTTGTTTTATATAATTTAATTTTTATTGAAATGATGTGATTATATCTATATTATCATCCTATTTTAACTTTTTTATTTTTTTTTAACTCAATAATCACTTTTCGTATATATAAATTAAAATATACATACATATATATTAAATAAGTTTAAAATTAATATAACTGAAATTAATGAGGTACGAAAAATACACTTCAATTCTTGTTTTTTTGTTATTGGTTAAAGTCTTCAATGGTGGAGATTTATTAAGTAACAAACAATGTGGATTGGTTGGTGAAATCCAAGTGTCAATGCTTTATATATATATATATATGTCCAAACAAGACCATTTGACTGTCTCCATTATTTTCAAAAAAAAATTGAAATGATGTGTTTATATCTATATTATCATCCTATTTTAAATTTTTATTTTTCTGAACTTAAGAATCACTCTCATGTATATAAATTAAAATATACATACATATATGTTATATGAGTTTAAAATTAATATAACTGAAATTAATAAGGTACGAAAAATACACTTCAATTATTATTATTATTTTTTTTAAAAGTCTTCAATGTTGGAGCATTTATAAGTAACAAACAAATGTGGATTGGTTGGTGAAATCCAAGTGTCAATGCTTTCTATATATGTCCAAACAAGACCATTTGAGTCCAGCTGGGATGGATTGACTCTATCCATTATTTTTTATATCTACCCTCATTGTACAAGATTAGAAAAATTGGATCATTCATTTGATCGGTGATTTTCATTTCATGTTTATACAACACAACGCATGCATATCATGATATAATTAGCAAAATTGATAATAAAGAATACATCTATTATATTTTGCAAGCTATTAAATCGCTTCGATTTTTATTTTTTCAACATAAAATTCATTTGTGTTTTTGTATTATTCAATATTATTTATTTTAATTTTTTTTTATCATGATACGATACAAAACATATCATGTACTATAAAAAATTAGAATAAATTAATTATTTTATTTAATGTTTGATTAGTCATATAGTTAATGAAAATTAATGAAAGAGCAGAACTTGTTTATTGCATATATAAATAAAAAATTAAAATGAATAATAACCAAGGTTGGGTGAAATGAAAGTGATGGGATTTTGTCTTCATGCATTGGAATTTGATATTAATGAAAACCCTTTCATTATAAAGAATTATAGCATCATTCATGGTCTGGTTTTACTATTTTTTTTCGAAGATCATTGTTTGATTGTCTAAAATCATGAAAGAATCATGACGAAATTTTTTTGTGCTGAATGCTAGTAGGTGTAATGCAGAGATAATTGCTTTATATTTAAGCACATTAAGGTTTTCTTCTTTGTCAACATCATAAAGTCATCATCATCCTCATAATAATAATAATAAATCAAAAGAAAAAAAAATAGTAGAATCATCAAATAGAATAATGGGAAATCATTTATATATAATCAAGCATGAATTAATGCACAGAAATAGACTTTCGTAGTTGTTTAAGAAAAAGATTCCAACAACTCCTCCTAATCAACAACAGTAAGTGAGTTCAACGTCAAACAAGATTTCTGCTAAGCAGGTTTAAAGCAGGGAAAGAAAGCGTTAACAATCGTCACTAAAATGTAGCTGCAGAGAAAAAGTAAAAAAGAAAGGCAAAACTATACAAACAAGCTGAATAAAGCTACTTTTTGCATCTGTATTTGTCGCAAAACCCTTTAATCTGCCAAAAAGAGTGATAATCTGACTCGAGCTCTTGCCTCCCTCTAGTCTTCATTTTTCGTTTTCTCATCTTGTTTGTTTTAACCCTTTTCAACTACATTTTTTTTCGTTTTTCGAACAATGTTTCATGCTTCCTTTTTCTTATCCTTCTAATGCAATCACACCCCGGTCAAAGCTTTTAATAATAATGGATAACTCAATCTGCCTTCATATAATAGCATAAATTTTCAATCTATTTTTATATTTTTAATGGCATATATTATGTTTTTAAATAATATTTGAGTCTCTAATCTAATCTTTCGATCAATTTTTTGAAAATTTTTAACATAAATCCCGTGATTGAAGTATATATACACACACATTTAAAGTGACATGACGTGAATGTTATATTTATGTTTTTTATATTTTAATTAGGAGGGTTCATAGTCAGAAAAATTGAGCGAAAAAAAATATTTAAAGACTTAAATATTATTAAGAGATATAATAAATGTAATTGAAAATAATGAAATAGATCGAAAATTTATGTTATTGTATAAAAATAGATTAAACTATTTATCAAGTTAAAAAAAAAAGGGAGGGAAATCCTCCATGCTTGACTCCAATTGCAATTTGATTCTCATTTCTGAAAATCCATCATTTCATTATTATTCTGGCCAGTAGTAGTGCTATTTACATTAACTTCTAGCCCTATTCCAAACCAGTCCCTTAACTTTAAAAACATGCATATTCCTACCAATTTATCACAAAAGCTCAATTTGGTTTCTGAACTACAGTTATTTAACAAAGAATTGCATATCAGGACTTTCTAGAATTGCAAGTGTTTTTCGTATTCACTAACCAATAATGGAGCATTACTAAGATGCAATTTGCATCATAATTTTTTTAAAAAAAACACGTACCATAATATATAGATATGATGATCGTACAAAACATAATATATATATTAGATTTTGTTTCCAATCAAGTAAAAAGAACGATGTGAACAATTCTTATTACTGGTTAGTCCATCGAGGGGAAAAGGAGGAGGAGATAGTTTATAGGTAAAACTACATTATATATATATTTTTTTAAAATACAAGAGATGGAAAAGAAGTACAACGCAAAGAACACAAAATTAAATAGAAGTGGGAATGTGAGAATCTTTTTTTTTGTTAAGCTCTGTTTTTTACCTTATTTTTTCCCTCCCTCCTTTCCTTTTCTCTCTGATATGCTGTTTACTAGTCCTTTTCCTCCATCAGTCCACACACACACACACACACACACAGCTATGTTCTTCTCTTCTCTTTGTCTTCCTTATCTATCCAACGCAGGACCATAGTATATAGAGACCCTCTCTTTCTCACAAAAAAAGACTACTCCTTTTTTAGTTTCTAACTAGTTTGGTAGCAGAGAAAACGAGGGAAATCGTGAGAAAGTTGTAAAGGGTGCTTACAATCCTTCTTGCTTGCATAGTCTGCAATACCTCATCTGGGTTCTACTTTCCACTCAGTTTTCTCATCTAGGTGTTCTTCAAAACAACCAAAACCTCTCTAAAAAACCGAACTTGAAAAGGCAATAATGATCAGTCTCACAGACCTCTACCATGTTCTCACCGCTGTGGTACCACTCTACGTGGCCATGATTTTGGCTTATGGTTCAGTCAAATGGTGGAAAATCTTTAGCCCTGACCAATGTTCAGGGATCAACAGATTTGTTGCTCTATTTGCAGTACCGTTGCTTTCTTTTCACTTCATTTCCTCCAACAACCCCTACGCTATGAACTACAGGTTCATTGCAGCAGATACTCTCCAAAAAATTATAGTCTTGGTTGTCTTAGCTATTTGGTCAAGAGTTAGCTCTAGAGGCTCTCTTGAATGGTCCATCACTTTGTTTTCACTCTCTACCCTTCCTAACACTCTTGTTATGGGTATTCCTTTGTTGAAGGGTATGTATGGAAACGACTCAGGGACTCTTATGGTCCAAATAGTTGTTCTTCAATGCATAATATGGTACACATTGATGCTGTTCTTGTTTGAGTATAGAGGAGCTAGAATATTGATTGGTGAACAGTTTCCTGATACTGCTGGCTCTATAATATCATTCAGGGTTGACTCTGATATTCTTTCTTTAGACGGTAGGGAGCCATTGCAAACTGATGCCGAAGTTGGTGAAGATGGGAAGTTACATGTTACTGTTAGGAAATCAACTAGTTCAAGATCGGAAGTCTTTTCTCGGATGTCTCATGGTCTGAACTCAGGCCTTTCCATGACTCCTAGGCCATCTAACTTAACCAATGCAGAGATATATTCCCTTCAGTCTTCAAGAAATCCGACCCCAAGAGCATCCAGTTTTAACCATACTGATTTTTATTCCATGGTTAATGGCAAGAATGCAAGCAATGCCAGTCCAAGACATTCTAACTTCAGTAACTTGCAATTCGATGAAGAAAGTGGAGGACTTGGAGTGTTTGGTAATGTTCCAAGAGCAAACGGAAGTGCTTATCCTGCTCCACCGAACGCTGGGATCTTTTCTCCCGGGGGTAAAAAGAAGGCAAATGGGGCTGAGAATGGCAAGGATTTACATATGTTTGTTTGGAGTTCAAGTGCTTCACCAGTATCAGAAGGTGGCTTACATGTCTTTAGGGGAGGGGATTATGGCAATGACCTTGGTGGGGTAGCTCACCAAAAGGTATAGACACTAATACTTGATAGTATTAGTTTTTAGATTTTGTTGGTTTGTTGCATGCTGTGATGTGATTACAAGTTATTGGGCACAAAAGTTTTGTTTTTTTCTTGGGACCTTGTGTTTATTGGGAGAAGCTGTATTTGTCTTGTCGAATGTTGGTGGTTTTTTGATTGGAGAATTCTTCCTTATTTTTCTGTTTATGTGAAGTGGGATTTGTTGATTTTTGTTTTTTACATCTTTTGTAGCTTCCCATTTTGCCTTTGGCATGGGCATGGCCTTGATGCTTTATCGACAAGGTGTCTTCTTTATATTTTGCTTTTATCTCCGTACTTGTCGTCATAGTGAGTCACAGTAACATCTCTAGCTAAGCAACTTTCCTGGTATTGTGTAACCACGATTATTTTTTTCTGTTCATGTATAGAGTACCATGGCATTGTTTTTCTTGCTCTATAAAAAACAGAGTCCTCTGTTTCATGTTGGTGTCGTTTTCTCAAGCACTGATGTATATTAATTGTGATGTTTAGATTATGATGAGTTTGGTCGAGATGAGTTCAGCTTTGGAAACAGACCTGGACCTAATGGGGTGGACCGAGACGGTCCAGTGCTTTCTAAGCTTGGTTCAAGCTCCACAGCGGAGCTACACCCCAAGGGCGCTGCTAATGGTGAACCCAAGCCAACTGCCATGCCTCCTACTAGTGTTTTGACAAGACTCATTCTCATTATGGTGTGGAGAAAACTTATCAGAAATCCCAATACTTATTCCAGCCTCATTGGCCTCACCTGGTCTCTTGTTTCATTCAAGTATGATGCTAAACTCTGCAACCCATCATTCCGTTTGTTTGTAACTTTTATCTTGTTTGATGCATTACCTGAAAAAAAAAACATTTACAATATAACAGGTGGAACGTAGAGATGCCTCAAATCATTGCTCATTCGATATCTATTTTATCTGATGCTGGTCTCGGAATGGCCATGTTCAGTCTAGGTAAGTTAATAACCAGACCCTATCAAACAATTTCTTGACTTGTTTGCTTGATATATCTTGGTAATTTAGCTGCAATATGGAAAAGGGTCTTGTCCTTGTTGATTAATTAAAACCATCTTGTGGGATTGTAGGTTTGTTCATGGCATTGCAGCCTAGGATTATTGCTTGTGGAAACTCAGTTGCTGCCTTTGCCATGGGTGTTAGATTCCTCACAGGTCCTGCAGTCATGGCTGCTGCTTCATTTGCTGTTGGACTACGAGGAGTTCTACTGCACATTGCTATAGTCCAGGTAAAACCCTTAAAACAGTTGATAAATATCACACAAAATCTGTCTATTTTACTTGAATATCTACTACTTGGACTGTCAGTTGACAGAATATTGTGTTTGAATTAATTTCAGGCAGCTCTTCCACAAGGGATTGTGCCCTTTGTCTTTGCAAAGGAATATAATGTTCATCCCGACATACTAAGCACTGGGTTCGAAACTCTAAATTCTGTGTTCTTAACTCCAATATAATTGTTCTCTAAACTCTGCATTTGTTTTTGAAAAAGCTCACTTTTTTTTGGTAAGAAATTCTTCTTCCTGTTCACAATTCATTTTCATCGGATCATGAGGGATGCTAATGGTTCATTGTAATCATTGTAAAGATATTCTACTCTTTTTTCCCCCGTATAATCATAACTCATAATGCAAAGTAGTTTACAATATTAGAATATTAGCATTTATTAGCTGTAGCTTAATCGTAACCCTTGTTTATGTTTTATTTAGTATGTTTTGTTTTTTATTTGTTTTGACATCTTGTTTTTCATGTTGCTGCAGTGTTATATTTGGGATGCTAATTGCTTTACCAATCACACTGGTTTACTATATTTTGCTGGGACTTTGAAGGTGAGAGCATCACTGGAGCCGATGAGCAATGATTAGTTATTACAGCAGTAGTACCTAACCCATTTGGCCATTGGGATTTTTTGAGCATTCTCTAACAGGACATGAATGAACTTAGAAAGAAACTAGGGCTGAGAGAGGGCTTTAGGAAGTTGTTCTTAGGAAATGGAACAATGTGTGTAATTTTGTCTAATTGAAAGAAACTATTGGAGGAGCCTTTTTCTCATCTTTAAAGCCCTTGTACTTTTGCCTTTTGTTCCTCTGATCAAAGAAAGTGAAGGTTTTTTGTATTTTGAGACGCCCTTGCTAATTATTATTCATTAACCTTTTTCAATATTAAAAAAAGAAAAAAGATAATGTTATTGAAATCTGTATGGAAGACTCAGTAAAAACCAGCTTCTCCAGTCTTTTAGGTGCTGGATCTGAAAAGGGACCAAAGGTCTAAAGCGCACCAGCTGTAGTGTCAAATCCTGTTTTTGTCTATGAACTTGCATACATTTAAGACTGTACTTGAAAGGATGGCAGGCCTATTAGCTTAGGCCCTGGTAGGGCTTTACAAGTATACATGGCAGAGCTTTATGATAATTGCAAATACTATTAGGCCAGTACGATGCCTACTGGCCTAATAGTGTTTTTGCTGGTTTGTTGGAAACCATTAATTAATGGACCTCTTGCTGTCTTCTGGTTTGTTTAAAAAGGTTTTGGACTTCTTCATTTATTCTGTCAAGTGGAAGTCTTTTTTTTAAAAAAAAAAAAATTAAGAAAAGCAACAATCTTTGATTGAAGACTAATATTCTTCATAGTTCCCATTCTTTTCTGCCAAATATGCCCACACAAGAATTGATGTGTTGGAACAAAGGAGGGGTGTAGCGACAAGGATTTGATATTAAAGGATTGTTTTTTCTATGATCTCGGGTTCGAGTTCGATTGTTTTTTTTATGGTCACCGAAGGCTTACATGGTCGTTAACTTTAGGATCCGCGCGATTAATTGTTAACTTCAGGACCCACGGGGTTAATCGAGATGCGCAAAACTGACCCGGACACTTTTGTTATCAAAAAAAAAAAAAAAGAATTGATGTGTTGGTTTTATAAGAATTGATTTGCATGGAAGTTGAGAAGAATTCAAGAAAACATTAAGTTCTTATTTGGGATTCTGGATTCCCTCTAATTATTTAAGTAATATTATGGATTGGTGGCAGGGTAAATTATTCATTTGCTTTATGTATGATAATGCTGGTCTGGTGTTGCCAAGCAACATGGACATCTAAATTTGCTTAAGAATAAAGTAGGAGAATATGTCGAGGAACATTCACTTTCCAAGAATTAATGTATTTTTAATGAATAGCCTCTGGGGAGCTCTCTTTCTTAGTGTTTCTGCCAACTTTAAACCATGCTTTGCGCTTCTTACAAGAAGCATAATCTATTTTGACTATTGGGACACGAAAATGATTAACAAAGTTTGAGTCTTGAAATGCTATAGTATTTAGACGAATTTATTTTTCTAAATACGTTAAGTGGGTGTGAAGATTATTTGAAGATGGAATTTAGATTATTTAATTATTCTTATTACTAAGCCAATTAAGCAGGCTATTGGCACATGCACTAGTGCTCATACATATATACATGATATTTATGCCAGTATAACTCAATAATTATTATATAAATCTTATATGCTCTTTCAAAGACCATGTTATAATTTTGGATTAAAAAAAATGAAAAATAGAGAGACCAGGTTACAATTATTGTAGGATCACCACCGAAAGAAGGATCTTTCTTTTTAGGCTTGGAAAGGGAATCTAATTCTTTTATTTTGATCCCTAAAGCCCATTTTTAAGCTGAAAAGTTGCATTGAAGTCCAAGAATACGCAAATTAATACATAAAGGAAAAATAGGGGCAGAAGATTAAATTCTGTTCTTAATAAATGCTCTCTTAAAGTTCTTATTAATTTGGTGTCTAAGGGCAAGCAAATGGACATTACTGATCCTTCATTTAGGTCGAATGGAGCCATTATTTTGTTTGGGGGCTAAAAAATGTTGAACAATATTTAAATAGAGCATAAGAAATTAAAGTTACAATTCTTTGGTGGGTTTTCCTTATGATTCTTATACAGTTTTAATTTTTTTTATTAATATACTCTATTTTTAGTTTGATTATTTTTCAGTTTAATTGAAATTTTCTATTCTTATGATTTTGCTGATTGAGACTCTTTATTATAATTTCGTTAACTATTCATTATACATGTCAAGTTAAAAGTAATGATAGCCAATCGGACAACGACATGTGATAAATTTTTTTGACCTATATTTTCATGTGTAAGTTTCCGATTAAAACGTGTGATTAAAAGTTAACAACATTATAATAAAGGATCTTAATAAATAAATTAATAAGAATATAAGGTTTCAATTAAGCTGAAAAATAATAAAAGGTTTCAATAAAAAAAAAATTATACAAGAATCAATTACGAAGTAAACTCATTCTTTGGGATTGCTGAACATACTACTCATCATTTATCGGTGTATCAAATTGTATGAATATGTCTATTTGAATTTCGGAAATAAATAAATAAATAATTGATCACTTTTGTAATGCACTCCATCTTCTTTCTCCATTTCCTTTTTCAGTTGGCCACTCCTACATCTCTCTGCATGCGAATTGAAAATTAGAGGATCAAATGATGTTCCATCATTTCACTTCGTCAAAAGCTGAATTCTCAGACCAAGCCTGCTTAATTTATGGAATAATACTAAAATAATTATGAGAAAGAGAGGATACAGCAACTTGCCTTTTTCACACATAATCTGCAAAAATATGTTTAGTGACAGAGACTTACTAAAAAGTACTTTTATGTATGCAGAGTGGCACCAATCTCCATCCAAAGCAGACAACACTGCTTATTTGCCCTAATTAATAATATCGCAAGTGGGTTTAACTTTTCTTTTCTTTATTTTCATGGTTCAGAACACACTAATTGAACTACGAAAAGCTCAAGAAAAAGCCTGAGATGACCTTAGTGAATATAATGATGAAACCAGTTTGCTATTTTTTTAAAATGATCTTCCATAGAATGTGCTGCACATGCTCCACTAGCATCTCTCATGGCCTCACGCAGTTCAGGCCCTTTTGCTTTCTATTTTTCACTTACTTCACAAAGCTGAAGATTAGTACTTGGAATATTGAATGCTCAACACCACCCCATTTGCCTCTATAATGTCGTGAAGATATGTGAGGTTACCAGTAGCTGTAAAGCCAGATGAAAGGCTAGTAGTTTTATGTGGAAAACATGGTCAGAGAATATGTTGAAAAAGACTGGTTGCAGTGGCAACAAAAGTGCGATTTTCTTCTTCTTTTATCCAAAGGGAAATGGTAAATATAGAAACCTTAACGTGGTTTGTTTGGGCAGACAAAGACACCCAATTTGAGCTAAGCTTTGTCACAAATATTTAAGGCTGAACTTTAAAGTAGTAAATGGCTCTATGTATCAAGACAAAACTTCGAGTTCACAGTTGAGCTAGATGTAATTTTTTTTTTTTTTTTATTGGGAGATTTTTGTTTTCGAAATACACAAAGGGAGAGAGGACTTTCTTTCTTATCTGATGTTCTAAAATTTAGTGCTAGTGAGACTTGATCTAACATTATTTGTCTCAAAAACTTAAAATATAATTTATATTATTCTTTATCGCACATCTCAAGTGAAAGTATTAATTAATTAAAAGAGAAAATGAAGATGATAATGTTTAAATTTACGATCGTTTAGTTATCAAGACTTTGATAACATATCAAAAGACTATCTCATCTAAAAACTTAAACGATTAGGTAAGATCCTGGTTATGATTTATATTATTATCTAAAACTCACCGTAATAACTTTTCGAGCTAAGTTGGCTACTATTAATACCTAAATTTGCATGTCAACTAAACAAATTTAAAATGGAAATGACCTCAGAGCCGAAGTGCTTAATTGAAGTAAATACGAGGTCAAGAATTCGTAATATTTTGACAGAGGAAGGCCAAAAGTTCCAAATAGTAAATTTTAGCCTAAGATTGTTTAGCAAATCATAAATTAATACATACATACATATATTTGGTTCATATAAACAACTAGCTAGAATTCACTGAGATTATTTTCTTATTTCAAAAACCGATGTAACAGAAAATAAGCCAATAAGCCCACTGAAGAAATAGCAAGGCCCGAACCAGATGGTTTTCTCCATGGGCTTTTGGGGCTTTAGGAAATCACATTTAGACTTTTATTCAGCCTAGGTCCAGCTTTTTCTCAACCATGACAAACCTAATAGATAAGTCAGGCCCACTCAAGCTAATGGAAATTAAAAAAAAAAACAAAAATCATTAAAACACAGTTGATGATTTATTTTCACAAGAAAATCTCATTGTCAAATCCAACCATAATGACAGTGACATTATATTTCTTTTCTTTATTTATATCATCGAATTGCAATTGTGTAACTGGATTGTTTTGGGCTAATATCCTAACCTGGCCCAGATACCTCTAGGCTTCAGATGGTTGCTTCGCATGATGAGTTATTATGGGCCTGCCCTATATATATAGTCAAATAGACAAAATTTTACTGCAAAATAATCAGGAAATTCATTTCTTCAAGTTAATAAAGTTACATGCATTAGCAAAGCTAGGGCTTGGATTAGACCTATAGTGAAATTATCAAATTCATGATCAACATTATCTGGACTCCTAATCTGAGGGGAAAAAAAAAGGCATCTTTCTTGGACTTTGGATTCCTAGCTCCCATCAACAGTGGGCTGGGTTTAGTCCTTTGCCTTTCCTCGACAACGTTGCAATGATATTTTGTGTTTAAGAGAAGACCCCAATAGTATTTTGCTTTTTATTACTTGATTTTGTTTTCCCCTTTTAATTGCCCTTGTCATGTTTTGCTTATGATTAGGAAAAAACTTTTTGACCGCGATAGTGTAAATTTTAAAATATTTAAAAAATAATTATAATTATTTAGTCTATGAATACATTAAAAAAAAAAAAAAAACAGAACAAAAGAGAAAAAGACAAAAACAATCCTAAATTCATGATTAATATTTGGCTAAAAAGGTTAAAGTTGAACTTTAAGTCATTTAAAAATCAATATTTGAACTTTTAATTTATGCTTTAACCTTTCTAAATTTGACTTAAAAAAAAGTTAGTAAGTCTAATGATTATCAAGCAATCGGTCTTCTAAAAAATTCAATTCTTGATATTTTATTATGAAAATTTACACACATGTTGGGAAAAATCTAATCTATTTTTTAGAAAAAAATCTAAAATTTTTCAAGATTGAAAGTTATATATTTTTTTAACATTAAAAATATTAAAAATAGAAAATAATCTGGGATGATTTCTATCATGAGGTTATTTATGTAGATATTATTTTTATTTTTATTTTTAATATAAATGTCAAAAAAATGAAAGATATATTAAATCTTAAAAAAAAATTTAGAAAAATTAAACCACAAATTACAAATTTAAAAATTAATTTTTAAAATGACTAAAGTTTAACATATGTCGGACTTTGTTAACCTAATTAATATTTTACCCCCTTGATACAAGCAAAACATATCGAGAAGAGTTGTTTTAAAAATTGTGGACTAATCAACTAATTAGGTGCTATTTGATAATCGAAATAGAGTGATGAAAATAATAATAAAAGTTTTATTTTCACGTTATAGTTGTTTGGTTAAAAGGAATGAGTGAGAATGAGAATAAAGATTGGAAATGAAAATGAAAATTTACACACGGCTTGATTTCCATGTAAGATATGAGAATAAAATAAGGAATGAGAATAGATTTTTTTTCAAAATAATAATATATTTTTATTTATTTATTATCTATTAACTACTTTGATCACCATCATTAACACAACAATCACCACTACCATTGCAATCATCAACACCATCACAATCATCACCACAACCACTATCATCGCAAGCACCACCACTACTAAAGTTATCGCTGTCATAGCCATCATCACCTTTATTATTTTTACAACCATTATAGTTTGATAAAATTATTTTTTAATCATTATTTTTATTTGTATAAAAAATCAGATATTAAACAATTTAAATTGCATTCCGATTCCTTATTAATATTCCAAATACGAGTATAAAAATATTAATGTCATTCCGATTCCTTAATTTTCATTTCGATTTCTACATTCACATTCCGGACATTTCATTTTTGATAATCAAACGACACTTTAACGGTATAGGGTGAGGTGTTTTTTGCAATGCCTTGAAATGAATTTCAAGATACTGAAATTAAAATTATTATTCTAGAATAACATAAATACACTGAAATAATCTTACATATACGTTAATGATAATACATGGATCATATATGGATTCTAAGAATTGCGAAAAAAGGACTAGTTGCATTTTGGCCAGCATAACTCTTTCTTTTAAAATATGGCAAAAAAAATAAAATAAAAGGTTGAGTTTGATTTTTATAACTTTATGGAGAAAAAAAAGGATTTATTTAAAACTTTTTTTTTCTTGGACCAAATTTATATGCATCTAATCGATTTGATTGATTGGTGAATCAGTGCTGTTATTGGTGAAGGAACGAGCTAATTAAAATCATATTTGCTACTATTATGTTTATAACAGATTTTTAATTGGAGATTTAATGATGGCATAAGATAGAGATTTTTATTAACAAAAAATATATACAAGTAGGTGTATTTTGTATGTTTTCAACCAAGGTTCAATTCAAAAACTAGGACTATAATTTAATTATTTTTTCATGAATCTCGTAATCAAGGTGTAACTGTAAAGAAAATTTTTTGGTTACAAGAATGGTTAAAGTACTAGAGATTAAAAACAAAATAAGAAAGAAATTGATGAAAATTAATTATAATTATGCATGCATTTGTTAATTTATTTAATTACCTCATAAGAAATTTAGGAGGTTCATACGAAAACAAATGTTCCTCAACTAGATTTACCATTGCGCCCTGCTGGCAAATTAATTAAGATGTGAAATTTACATACTAATTGACATCAATTACGGTTGAAAAATTATTATACTGATATAGTCTATTATTTAAAATTATGGATCAAACCAATAAAATTATTATAAATAATTAAATTTCTTCAAATCATCTATTTAATAAACTTCATTTAAAATATAAATATTTTCACATTTAATAACAATTTATAATTATGAAATGAAATAATTAATAACATTTTATAAAATTCTATTGTTTTGGTTCATAGTCTTTGGTGGGAGGCTAATTACGTTTAATAATTTCTCCACTCTAATCATGAAATCACAGACGAATTTTTTTTTTTAATAAAAAATGTAAATATACAAATGATGGATTAATCTACCACTTAAGATTATAGACTGAAATAATAAAATCAATATAAACAATTATATTCTTTTAAATCATCTACTAAGTAAATCACATTGTGATTTAATACCATAATTATAATTATAAAATAAAATAATTAATAATTAATTTATTAAAAAATGTCGCAGAAGAATTTAATAAGGAGTAAAATTTTTATTGATTTAGGCCGTAATTTTAAACGATGGATCAGTTGTCTGTAATAATTTTTCCGAACAATCACCTAATCACCTTGTCACGAGGTTTAAAAAATCTAAAGAACTTTTAATAAAAATAAATAATAAATAAAAATCTAAAGAACTTTTAATTAAAAAAATAAATAAATATCTGAAAAACTCACACACCTATCTCCCATTATCGTCAAACCTCATTTATGTTGGGTCCACCACTTTGCGCAAAACCTTATCCTAAAACGACATAATAAGTCAAATCAAACGACTATAAATAAAAATCCTCTCTTTGAAGACAAAAAAAACCCAAAACCACCGAAAGGCAGAGAGCCCTCCACTTTTTTCAACGCAAGAAAGATAGAAAATCTTTAATTTCACTTGCCTTCGTTTCTCTTCTCTTACAGCAACCCAAAAACACAACATCAACATGCAGCCTGAGAACTGCCCGGAGAATTCTCAGCTGTACCGCTTTCTAGCCGAGAATGGAATGATTAACGTTGGATCATATGGTTTCCCTGCTGCGATGCAAACCTTGTGTACCTCATCTTCTACCTCCTACCATAACAGTAATTACCACTTTGAAAGCTCTGTGATTACTGATATGACACCACAAGATAGAGCTCTTGCTGCTTTGAAGAATCATAAGGAAGCTGAGAAGAGAAGGAGAGAGAGGATTAATTCTCATCTCGATAAGCTTAGAGACCTCCTTCCTTGCAATTCCAAGGTAGTTATGTAAATATTTTATGTGTGTTAATTATTATTATTACATGTTGTGTTTCTTTAGTCTTTTGTGTGCGAATTGATCATGTTTTTACTCATGAAATTTAATGGATTTGATCAATACTCTTTCCCTAAATTTTCTTGTAAGAGGGTTGTCTACTTGCCTTAGAAGCTTTAAAGGGGGGTTTCATGACAAAGATTTTAATTTTGTTCTTTGCTGTTTTTACTCTAATTTGTCTTTTGGGATTCATAAAAAAACATGGAATGAATCGGTCCTGATTTCAGGGTTTTCCATGGTGTTGTGCTTAATTAAGTTTGACTGTTTGGTTGCTGAGATTCTAGTGGAAAAAATTGAAAATTTGAGTTTTTGGACTTTTCAGTTCTCATTACCTTTGTCCCACAAAGCCGAAATCTCTGCTGACTAACTTGACGTTTTCCCAACTCAAATCATTTCGTATCTGTTTTGTACTTAAATATCCATTTTTAGAAGTTTAACTAAACAAGGGTTTTATGTGCTTTACTCATTGATTTTCCTTTTCTTATCGGTTTCAATCCTTCATTTTATTTGCAACTATACGGGAAGGATGTATACAGGAATTATTGCTGCTACAGTAAAAATACAGATTCTGTAATCTCAGATCTTTAGATGTCTCTTGAAACTTTTTTTGAATTATTGTTCAAAATGCAAGTACATGTATCTGCAAAAGCAAAAGCAGCGAACTCTTTTCTTTTCTTTTCTTTTTATAGCGTTTGTGTTTTAGGAAAGTTGGTAAGCTTTTTACATTTAGAATCTACTAGAGCTAGGGTTTGTAATCAATCTCTTTACTTCGTTTCAATTTACAGACAGACAAAGCTTCACTCCTAGCAAAGGTTGTTCAAAGAGTTAGAGAACTGAAACAACAGACCTCAGAGCTTCCCGGACTTGAAACTTTCCCATCAGAAACTGATGAAGTCACTGTACTTTCTGGTGAATATTCAAGTGATGGACAACTAATATTTAAGGCATCTCTGTGTTGTGAAGACCGGTCGGATCTCATGCCAGACCTAATCGAGATACTGAAATCTCTACATTTGAAGACACTGAAAGCAGAAATGGTAACACTAGGAGGAAGAATTAGGAATGTTCTTATCATTGCGGCCGATAAAGACCATAGCGTTGAGTCGGTCCATTTCTTGCAAAATGCATTGAAATCTTTACTAGAACGCTCAAATTCTACCGAAAGATCGAAAAGGCGAAGGGTTTTAGACCGAAAATTAATAATTCAATGATGATTAGTATCATTAATGTGCTCGTCTTAGTTTCTTTGTAATCTTTTTTACTTCTCTTTTCCCTTTTTTGGGTAATTTTTTTAGCTGTCACAGGCTTTTTGTAGTCTGCTTTTTATTTGTGTGGGTTTGTTTGTTTTAGTGTAAACCCAGAAAAACTGAAGGAAAAAGGTGGGGGGGGGGGGGGGGGGAGGGAAATGTATTTGTGTAGTAGTTTGGGTTTTTCAACTGGTCTAGGGTTTTAGGACATTGTCAATCTCCTGCATGTGATCATATCTTTCATGTAAGGAGATAAAGCAGAAGAATCAAAGAATCTGAACTGAAGATGACGAAGAGGATCAGAAATATTTCTACGTAATGTATGACTATGGTGTCTGTAAAAGCAAAATCTTATGTGAGTTTCCAAGCAGAAATTGAATAGTTTTTGTCTGTGTGTAGTGCTACATAGATTTCATTTGATTATCTTCTTTGACCATATCTTTACCTGCTTTTATTCAATGAATGTGTAGTACTGAAGTTCAAATATTGAGCATTTAGTCTTCAAGTTACACTGATTTTAAAGAAAGCAAGAGAAGAGAAAGATTTCGAAGTTATTGTATACTGGTTGAGTTAGATGCAATCTCAGAATTTGACGCTAAGGAGTATTAAATTGCAGTGAAAGGGACTGGGTGGGACAGCGAAGGACAAGAATATTCTGCTAGAGAACTTAAGGTAGTGTTTGTTTGAGTTACCAATTTTTTAAACATGTATGAGAAGACAAGTTTGGAAGACATTCTCACAAGAATCCAAGAGGATCTCTGCACTAATTGGCAGGTGTATTGGGCGTCGATGAAAACCAAGACGAACCCTTTAACTTTTTAGATAACTTGTTTGTCTTGATTATCATCAGCCTGAAGTGTATTCTTTCTATTTTATTTGTTTTCGATCAAGTTAAAATAACCATTGGTTTTTACCTGCCAAATGAGATATGTATACGTATATAATCTTAATTCTTTTGTGTTTTAAGTTTGAATAAGACTCGATTACTTTTGAACAACATTTAATTTCAACAATGTTCAGGATGATCTTAATTGTCATTGCCACAAAAATATTTTTCCATTACAAATTGCCTATATTCAGTCACAAATTTAGCCATGTGACAAACCGTATTTAATATCAAATATTTTGATCAAAAGTGATGAGGATTTGAAAAAAAAAAATTTGTCACAAACAAAAAATGTGATGGAAAATTAGTTGTCACAATGATATATATTATAGTTTGGTTATAGTTCTAGGTATATATCCCCTCTAGTTTTATTATTGATGCATCTCTAGTATCTCTCAATGTCTTTTTTTCTTTAATTTAATCTTGATTTTCATAAAAAGATAATAATAACTATATATGGCAAATGGTGAGATTTCTTGTGATGATGACCAAAATAATATAAAACATGTAAATTGCTCACACTGTAGATTGCACACACTATTCACTATATATTTACCTTTTTTTTTAAAAAAAAGAATCGTGAGATGGATCGAATAATGGGAGACTTCTTTTCTTTATGACAATTTCATGGGTGAATTATATTGCGCAATAGAAGCCATTTTCTTATGCAAGCATGTCCCGATTCCTGAGCTGGCTTGCAATATTGCCAACTTGTTTTGATCAGTGAAGCAAAAGAATTAGTAGTAGTTGTGTGAAATCGTTCTATAAGATTGGACTTGTTCACCTGTCCAAGGACCCTCCTTAGATTTTGGACAAGCCATAAAAATGGACCCTAACCTAGGTCAACAAAAATGAGAGGTTCAAAGATCACAAACAAAACCTATTTGGAGCCCACATGAAGTGGGGACAGGCATGTTACTCATGCATAGTTTCTCTTTGACGATGCAACCACTAAATCTTCTGCCAAAGAATGTCTCAATTCTTATTGGTGTGAATCTTAACCTAGTTGCAACGAAGAGGGTGATCTTCCGGGGTTAGAAAATCTGCTGGCATCGGGTTTGAAGTTCTGATTAATGGAAAAAAAAATGTTGTCTTTATGTGATTCAAGTCGTTGCTTTTTTTCTCAAAAGAGTATCTACTTTATTTTTTGTCGCATGGTTACAAAATTTCTATAAAGCATTCCTTTAAATTTGTACCTTTATGTTCTCGATTATGCACACATAATAATCCCCCTTTTGGCTTTTAGAGAGACAAGTAAATTGCCTTTTAAGAATTTTCATATCAAGTACAATCCAACAAACTTGCATGTTAGATATATATATGTATATGTATTAGAATTTAAAATCTAATTTATATCACTTAATTAGAATTTAAGTAGAATATAAGATATTCTATCTCAATATTTATAATCAGTTTTTATTTCATCTTCTCTCATAAAAAAAATTTATCTTGTCCGCTTTTATTCAGTACTAAAATATTTATTCATTAACTACCATGAATAGTAATATTAATTTGTCGAGTAAATTATAAATTAGTTTTTTTTAGATATTGGAAACAAATTAATTAGTCATTTATGTTTCAAAAACTAATTATTTAGTATCTCTTTTTTAATTTTTTTTTGTTTTAAAAAATATAAAAAGAAAAGATATTGTGTAAAAATTGATGAGAATAAAAAAAACTTTTTGAATTAAAATAATATTAAATTAAATATGATAAGTAATGATTAAATAATTAAATAATTAGTTTTTGAAATAAGAATGATATTAATTAATTCATTTTTTTCTTACCCATTTATTCTCATTCCAAGTTAAAGATACGACTAATTATGTCCGGAATGAAAATGATAAAATTTAATACTTCTCAAAAATACAACTTAAAAATTCAAACTTTGCATACTGGTAAGATTAATTCATTAATTTCTAAACATTAGATAGACTCATGTAAAATTTGTTCTTAATTTGTTTAATTACTGACCACTAAAAAGAAAAAAAGTCACAAATTAAAGAAATGAATCTACAATTTTAGCAAATTCACTTTGATACTCATAAGCACATAAGATTAACTTATACTTTCTCAGTTAAGTTATAAAGTGGAAATTCTTCAGTATCGTAAGAAGTTAGCCAATTGTGAGAGAGGACTAAGAAGACCATATGACTGTAATCATCATCACCGTTATCATCCAACCTAATCATAATTTGACCAATTGTCTAAAGGGTGTGCAGTTTCGTCCACATAATATATAGATAACAGAAGCAAAATTTGGAGAGAGAATAGAGAGAGGCGTGCAAAAAGTAGGGCTGACAAAAAGAGGGGCAATCATGGGCAAAGATAAAAGAGGTTTAGCCTTTGAATTCAATGTGCTTGATCGTGTGTGGTAGGGCACTCCATCCCTCTTTCTTCATCTTTTCACTTATTCCAATGAGTAGACAGATGCATCGTGTAGGAGGTGGGTTTGTCGGGGACGTGACATTCTCTCTCGCACATTTTTCTGTCACTGCCGCCCTAGCGTGCTGCCTTTTGCTCGACCTTGCTCTTCTCTCCTTGCTTGCTTTTTTGTTTCGCTGTTTTGTTTTCTCTTCAAGCAATCATTACCTTCTATGAGATTGGGCTAATTCTTGATTTAAGAGCTGGGCCATTTTAGTGTACGTACCTTTTTCTATCTTCTTTATCCCTTTGGTGCTGGGCCTTTGGCACTTGTTGTAATCTTGGACAAGCCTTATTCAACTCAGCAAAAGAAGATGTTAAGAAGTTTTGATCTTAACGTACGTAGTAACTTATATTGCATCTCATATAAATTTTCTTGAGATGCAAGCAACCTACTTTCCTGCCTTTTTCTGAAGTAATGTCCTCTCGTGGTACATGATCCTTTGTTAATTAATTAGAAGATACCGGCTGTGATCATTTGTTAATTTCCTCTTGAATTCTGCTGTTTTCTTATTTTTAATGATAATCGATGTTTTTCTTTAAAAAACAGCATAGCCATTAAGGAAGTGGCTAGCTGCAAGTCTCGAGAAAGGATACAACAGTAGTGAAATTAAACAGATGGAAAACCAGACAAGGCTACAACCATGCAACAAAATCACGATGCCTATGAACACCTTACTTAGCGAGAATATATGTCACTCCATTACTGTAACGATTGCCCAATATTCTTCAGCTTCCTTTTCTGAACTGCAATTCCATTTAAAATACCTTTCAACCTCCATGGGCTACCTGCCTTCGAATTCATCCAGGAGACCGCAATGGTTGAGTCAGATTCCACAATCCAGTTAACTACACTAGCTGCTTGGTGTGAGGCACTTAAATCTACTGCTTTCTTGATTGCAATGATCTCTACTTAATTAGAATCGTTATGCCTATGGGAAAAGAGAACATGCACATGAAATTCCCAACGGAGTCCCTTAGAACACCTCAAATTCCTGCTTGCCCCTTTTAGCCAAGAGATGAGCCATCCACATTCCATTTCAAGGAACCAAGAGGAGGGGACATCCAATTAGTAACTGGTCTAGTCTTTCTTGGGTTTGACCAAGTCCGAATGCCATATGAGCTTCTGAGTAAATCCTTGGCATTGTATGGAAAGTATCTATCCAACACTCTATCCAATATGATACTCGATAAAAAATTAGGCAGCAAACACCTTCCCACAATGGATCTTTGCCTCCAAATACACGCTGATTCCTTGCAATCCAATTGACCGCAAGGTTTCTTAAAGGAGGAGAAACCATACCTTTTTTTTTTTTTTTGGCATCTTACCTCTAGCTAACGAGCCCCATTCACGGAAAGAGAAGAAACTGAGTTTGGCTTCACCCAATAACAGCCCCACCTATAGAGTTAGATAACTGAAATTGGATTCCATCCAAAATACGTATGTGCTCTAACACTCTCCACATTTACAGTCTATCTATTTGGGATTTGTCAAGTGACTTAGACTCCTGAATCTTTATCTATCTAAAAGACTTAAGTCATGTGGTGAGTATCCCTTCTCAATCTTATATGTTAATCATTTTTTGTTTAACTATTTAAGATGGGATATATGCTCTAACACACCTTAAAATCCTGCATCAGCTGCCAAACAACA